GGAGGAATTATGTAGTTCTGGAGTAGGCTTTACGACAGCTTCTGTTTGGTTATTCTCGGGTTTCTTTTGATCCTCTTGAGATGACACATTTGAAGCCTCGCCATGCACTTCTTTGGACATCGAGTCGGTAACATTTGGTGTTGTGGTAGTTGGATTCGTTTCTACAGAGAGAAGAGAGAATCACAAAGTAAAGTTTCATCACGAATTAAAACGACTCTGCTAATCCATGCACTTTCTCTACCGTCTACATACATGTGATACTGATAAGAGAGGATGGCATACTCATCAGATGATGCAAAATCCATAAGATAAACGCAAGACACAAAATACAAAGATTCTTCATATTAGATGAGACAGCTGCTCCAAGCATAAACTTAGCTTTAGACTTTCCATTAACTAAAACGCACAGCCAATCTTTACCAATTATGTTTCCTCTAATATCATGAAGACCTTAAATTCAACCAAACAGATAACGTGGAAGCTGGGCATAACTTAAGCACCAAACTAGAAAACTGATGTAGAAGTTTTGATATGATAAAGAAACTTACGAGTGGTCGATGACATCATTTCCATGGCTTCCTGAACAAGCAGATCATCATGGACATCAGGATGAGACCGGTCAACAGGGTCAGGATTCAGTCCCACATGCCAGTTCTTGTGCACTTTTCTACGTGGCACTTCTAGCTTATCTGACATCAAAAAGCCTGATACCCTGGAAACAAGAAAGTATCATATGCAAACCCATAAAACTCCAAGGATCATGACAATATATTCTATCATCTGAGAGAAACAATTACCTGAAAAAGAGCACTTCGCCATTGTAGGTCGCCAGAGCAATTTCTCTAACACCATCTTTGTCGATATCAAATAGAAGAGGACTCGAATGCACGTTTGACTGGTGAAACGCAGGCCAACCTAGCATTTTATGAGTGCATCAGTAACCTAACCAAATTACTTCTATATTCCACATGATTAGATGAACAAGCCCAAGACAAAAAATTCAGATTGCGAAAGGTAGGAAGATGAGATATCCTGTACCTGGCATCTTGTCTCCATCAGCTCCTTCAAGAACTTCGAGGTAGTGAACAAAAGATGGAACAACAATGTCAAGCTTTCCATCACTATCACAAAAACCAAAACAGGCTTTGAGAAAAAAAATATGGAGGCAGCAATCACGGTCCTCAATCAAACACCCAAATTGGTGGGAAGAGTCCTACCTGTTAATATCAGCAATCAAGGGTGTAGCATAAATGCTAGAAGTGACTTCAGTCTGCCATCGCAGCTCCAATTTTCTCGGGCACTGAGTGTTCAACAGAGCATCTTCATCACTGCGCAACGAAATGACCCAGAAAAGTTTTAAATCGGAGAAACCAAACAGAGAGTCTTAAGAGCAAGGAAACATATCTCCAACAATCAACCCTCCGAGTAAATAGAAAAAGAAAACCAAACATGAATACGCAAAAGTCTATCAAGCTGACGCGTTGCATCGTCTACCCACAACTCAATAAGATCGAAACTTACATTTCTGGGTAGCCCTCGTCGTCATCGGTGGCGTTACGCTCTCTGAACTTGTTTTCCCCATGGGAAAGATTCGATAAGGTAAGGAAGAGCAAACAAATCAGCAGACACCGTCGCGCACGGGATTTCATATGATCACACTCTGCGAATTCTAGACAAACGATCGAGGTACGAAGAGCTTAATGCAATTATGAGGGTGAGATTTTGCAAAACCCCCCTAAATTTGGGGTTTTGGGAATTGAGGTGGGAGTAGAAGGAGAGAGATCGAGAAGGAGGATGAGACGAAGCTGATACTGTGAACGGGAAAAGTGGGAGGCTGGAGTAGATCGCAGCCGGCGAAATCGAGTGACGCAGGAAAGAGTAACTGCTTGCCGTTTTGATCTAAGTAAAACTGAAAGGATCGGTATAGTTTCAGCCTTTCAGGCTTTCAGGCCACGAAAACAACCAGCTGTTTAATTACAATTATGAGAAACATCACGCATTTTATTTTCTTTTTAAATGGAGCGCGAGTGGGCGACATGAGTCTTCATATTTCTCCATGATTTTTACGTTTGTGTTTATCAGATTTTTGATCGATAACTTATGAGTGAAAAAGAATCGAAAACATGAGACAAATGGCTACCAATTTTTTGATTCTGAAGTAAAACAAAACCAAGAATAATATGATACTAATACTAAAGATTACAACATTATCCTTCCTAAGTCCTATTACTTGTACTACTATTACAACACCACCACCTCCATCTAAACATATGAATCACTTAAAGAAGAGTAAACACACCTTTTTCAAAGCTAAAACCATTATCACATATGCTGCCAAACGGAATATGATTCAAGATAAACCCTAAGACTCCTCGAAACAGAGATTCTTACACATTCGAGAGAAAAAGCAGAGTCCCTTCTTCCTTCCTACGTACAATGTTAGTATGGAAGCACCACAGGATTTTGCAGAGAAGAGAAGCAAACAGCATTACCAGCGATTCTGCTCTTGTATTCATGCATTGAGAGAAACAAACAAATGTTGTTTCATCTGCGGCGCGCAGCTTTGCTATCCATCTGAATACGATCTGCATACATTGGCAAACGGATGATCTCCCTTATCTCCTGCAGCAACACTTCCTCTGTGATGTTGTCCTTTATGCTTCTCATCACCTATTTTCACATTCACAATGGAAAATCCATCACACCAGGTAACATTTACATATAGCTAAGAAAGCTAAACTCTTCTTTGGGTCATGGACAATGAGAGAAGACATAAATTTCGTATATTAATTGGTCGATTTATATGTTTTCTGGTAAACAAGAAGAACGCTGAAGGATGCTTTTCAGTAAAAGAAACCCGTTAGATTGACAAGAATTCCGACAGTAACTCAAAAGACAGAGAAATGTTTTGCTAAATACGAGAGAAAAGTTTGTTCGCAAACTATGATCATCAACCAATAATGTAACAAGTGGGGATATGGATCAAAAGAATACAATCAAGCGTATAAAGGGAGGTTATGACAAGAAGTACTTACCTTCCTATAAGTGTTGATATCATTTGGCGTTGATTTATCGACCCTGACCCGCATGCTAACCCAGACTTTCTCATCCTGATCCCAAGAACACTCTACAATCTTCCCAGAGTACTTGGCAGTGTCCGTATCCTCTGTTGCAGTTACAGCATTTTGCAGAAGAGTAAGTTATAACTGACAGTGTTTACTACTAGCTACAAATATAAGCGGAGATTTCACCATCCGTACCTCTAAAAACAACGGCATTTCCATCCATATGCTTCTTCTTCCCTCTTTCAAACAAGGAGAGCATTCCACGGCCACTCTCATCCTCCTCGTATAAAAAGTCAACCGAGTTCATCTCTGGATACTTCCACTTCAACAGTCCTTCATGGGTACGGGCAACGTATGGATCATCCCAGCCCTGTTAACAGAAATGCAGGTTTCAGATATTTATTAAAAAACTGTACATCAGAGACTTTTAAGACTTTACAATCTTTGTATTTGTACTGAAGTATGGCTTTCGATCTAAAATCTAACATCAGAGATACTCTTTCCGTCTCATGGTTACCTGAAAGATTAGGCCGTCGGCTTCATGGGAAAGTGATGGTATGAATCCCTTCAACACCTTCTCAACCGCAGAAAGCAACCAAAAGTCCTTTCTCCGTACCTGGACGAGAAATAAGTTGTACCAGCTCCATGAATACTTACACAAGGAAAAAAGAATTGTAACTATGGAATATATGGCATGAGAACAGAAAATGTTAAATCTTAGCACGCACCCTGAAAGGCTCAAGGTCATATCTGTAGATATGACTTCTGACCTTCTCATGATTACGGGGATCTATCACCTCCTTCTCGAGCATCTTCCATCTTTCATAGAAAGGTCGCTGGTCCATTTTTGAATTACGCAACTTTTTATTAGAATCTTACGCAAATGACACATGATACAGCAAGTTATTACTCTATACTACTAGTTGGCGTGTATGTAATAGATTGTCAACGCCTAACTGTCTGCAACAAAGAATACTGAACAACTTCGACAGATATGTACAAGTATTTACATTGAATAAGCACCACCGGCATCAGATGCTCTAGATGAGCATAGGGATCATTAAAGTTCATAATTCCAAGAGTATTTATTTCTCGCGAGACATATAAGACATGAAAAACAACAAACTCTAAGATAACTAAAACAGTAAGCCCGGCCTAAATACTGCTCGAATTCTCAATGATCTATTATGAGGGTAATGACAACTACGATAGTTATGATGTGTTCAATACATACATAGATCTCGAGCTAAAAAGCTTGAGATCCTTTTTGAGCCAATTTAAAACAAGGGACTCAGTCCAACCATTATCAATCGCAGAAAGAAAAGAAACAATAGTTTATCTAACCTCTACAATTGATTGGCCGTTGATTGCCACCATATCGTAGATTAGATATCTTCTCTCCTGCCTTTGTTTATCTGGCAAGGTATCGATAATCATTTCTCCATCAAGCAATGTGAAATGGTGCACTTTATCAGATATGCCCTGGCAACCAAAAACAAGTAAGAAAAATCACAAGTTTTGAGTAGATATCAAGACACAAATCCACTCAAGAACGTCAGAAAATTACTCACTTCGGTTGGGTGCCTGAAGGGGAACCGCATTTGTACCCTTCGGAATCTAAAGCTCCTATCTACTATATAACAGCCATCTATGGTGAGCAGCATCATATATCGCGTTCCATCAGCCTTCCATGTTGCGTAATAGTATCGCTGCCTCAAGAGTTGCAAATTATCCCTGTTTTAGCAAAAATGGAGACTTATTTATCAAAATGACATGGACTAATTGAGCCCAAAATTTAGAGGATGTTTATTCCTCTTAGCATGCACTACAAACAGTAAGTCAAATATTCATACCTGTTTAAGGAGACAGGATGTGAACCTGGAAATTGCGAACATCCTCTACCCTAGATTAGAGAAAAATGAATTCAGCAAGCACGTGTTAGATAATGCCAAAGAAAAAACGATGAAGAAATAACGAACAAAAATTTATCCTTGTAACCTAGCTACTCGAGGAAAAAGCATACTAAACAACAAAAGAATTAGAATAAACCAAATCATAAAGTTATGTCTTAGAATTCAGAACGAAACCGAAGTCAATGAAAATAGTACCTAAAAGCCAAGGAAAACTTTCTTTCATATCCAGCAGAAAAAAAGAGTACCAAGATGATGTCTAACATCAAATTACCAAATCCTACTTCTGCAATTTTCTTAAGTAGCTTCATAGTAGATGGACGTGCAACAACAGAAGAACAGATATCAATCGACAATCGCAATTTAAAAGGCAATTACGACAAAGCAAATTGAAACTGAACCTCAAGTGTGAGATACGCATATATCAACTACATGATATTATGTGTGAACATCTTATAACAAGATTACAATATTCCTACCCCAATATTCAGCGATAGCATCCTATAAAAGAATTGCCGGTAACCTTCCTCCTGGTCAGGGGGTATTTCATCACCCAAAACGTCATCATTTGACATCTTGACTTCCACGGGAAGGCTTTCCTCCTGAAACAATAAGGCAGTAAAAAACCAATAACTAAATTAAACCACCAGAAAAATACATGGAAAGCAGATGACCACTGGAATGACAGTTTCTGTATATAGGTGATCAGCTAAATAAACAATCAATTGTTAGCACCGAGCTTACTTGCACAGGACCAGCCGGACCGCCATCATCATCATCATCGTCTGGCAAAGCTTCACCATTTAAATCAAGCTCGGTAGACCTCTTCCATTCCGGAGTTGATGGGCAAACAACGCTCTCAGGTTTTATTTCATGATAAAACGTGTATAAAGCATCAATATAATCTGGTTTATAGATCCCAGGGGGGCGGGCATCGGAAAAGATTTTTAATGCCTGACAAAAACCATAAGATTGTTTACTCATAGGAGGAATATAAAGTGCACAAATACAACGAGAGAAGTGATAAATACTCACCTGTGTAACATTCATCGGCCCAGATCGCATGAGATAATGAACTATCATAAACCCTGTTCGATTATGCCCATGTGTACAGTGGACGAGGATATACTTCTTTGACTGTTTTAGATTCAGGACGAACTGATTAACCTGAAGACAGATTTCTTGAGTGAGCTACTAACAGTAGACAAATATGCTTATATGAGAAGATCAAGAGTAAATATATTACAACTTCAGCTAAACATTTATGAGTCACGGATTTTGACTACAGAAAAAACAAATACCTCATTGACAAACGTGTTGACAGACACATTATCTGGCACTGAATCACGACCCCTGCATGCAATCTACAAGCAAATAACACCAACAATAAAGCAATAAGCTACAGCTGTCAAGTAGGATATGGGTACAGAACAGTGTGCGTTTTGTTTACCTTAACATGCTTAATGCCTTCTTTCTTTAAGTCCGTCGTAGAATAGTAACGAGTTGTATTTGTCAAATCAATAACTAGACCAAGCTGAAAAAGAAAGTGGCATTACACAATTACTAGTGTTAAGTCGATAATGATACATACATGTATTTTCAACAAAGCAAGGACAAGTAGATTCCACAAATTACCTTTCTCCCAGCTATCCTCTGGTTATGGATAACCTGTTTAAAAGAGTATCTACTTCCAGGAGGTACACTATTATTGTAAGATTCATTCAAGGGAACTTTCGAAGGAACGATGAATCCTATCTCATTCCCAGAAGCAGGGCAATCTAGCCAACCTGTGATATTGGACAGGCTGTCAAAAGAGCCACTCTATTTAAAGCATTGGCCAAAACGGGAATAAAAGACAAAATACTAGCCAACTCTCAGAAGCCGTTTATACTTGTAAAAAAAATGATATGAATTAATTCAGTGAAGGAAATGTCACCTTGAGGAATCTTGAATCTATCATAAGCTTTATTATTTCGATTCTGATAATACTGGTCGCGGAAAACTGGCTGAGAGTTATGCGTTGGCTTGTCATATCTCATTCGTTTCCTTCTCTCTTCACGTTCCTGAAACAAAAAACATAAGGAAAATCCATCCTCAGGCTCAAGGAAAATAAGAATTTATGTGGGGGAATCAATTATTATAGATGCCGCATTAACTCCGCCGCATTAACATTGATTTTGCATAGTGTAGAAAAATCAATAGTACCCGTCTTGCAATTTCAACGGCAGACTCTATCCGTTCATCACGCGACGAATAGTCTTCCAAATGTCTCACGTAAGGTTCGTCATCCTCTTCGGGTTGGGGTGAAGCATTTAAGTCCATCGTAGCAACCATTCAAGGGCAAATGTGCAGCATTAACTTGAACACATCCTTTCCTCTGCACGAAGCTGCCTAAGTAATATCTGAAGGCCTGAGAAAAGCAAAGTATCAGCACTCAGCAGCGACGAGATAGAAACCAGAAGGAATGTAATGCAAACTCAAAATCCATTCCCAATTCTCTCTACAGCGAGAAACAGAGCAGTAAACTGAAGTAATTACGATCAAAAGAAGAGAAGGAGATCCAGCTGAATTTGATTTCCTTCTCCGACTCTACTCAGCTACTACCAAACAGAAGAAGAAGAAAAAACCCTAGAAGCGACGAATCAACGAAATCTCAGCCGGACATTTCAAATTCGTCCACTACTCGAAAAATTCCCGACGAGAAATCAGGCGTGTCACTAACAAGTGTGAAAACTCACCGAGAGAATCCAATTTCCGAGGAATCAACTAAAGCTTCCGGAGAATCCAGAGGAATCACCGAGGTTCACTTTGAAACAAGGAAAGCTTCTTGGATGTCGAGGAATCAAACGGAGATGGCGAAAGAGGGTGGAGGTTCAGTTCAATCGCGGGTTCAGTGGGAAAAAAAGTGAAATCGAAACCCTAGAGAGAGAAAAGTAGACGAAAGAGAGAAGGAGAGAGATAGTAGTTGAGAATGGAGAGAGAATCTGACGAAGTCTTCAATATATATACTGGTCAATCGAGGCAAACATTTATTGGTAGCCAGAAAATGAGAAATACAAATAATCCCTTGATAATATAATACACATTTTTTATGAGGATTAATTTACCAAATGGAGAGTGGAAACTGAAATGACAAGGATGTAATGTACTAATGTTGTGGAGGAAAACGGATAAAATTATTATTTTTTCTTGCAGAAAAACTTTTCTTATCTGGACAACTTATTAAGATTGTTGTCCTTTTTGTGCCTTTTTCTAAATAAAATTGAAAAAAATAAGAGAATTGCCAAAAAAAAGAATAAGTACATGAGAGTTTGGGCGTTACATGTTAAATTGTCAAAATATCGCGAGCGTGGTCGGAATACGGAGCTTAGAATTTCACGAAATTTCGAGTTAACATAGGAGAAAAATGGAAAATGACAAAATTCCTTTGAAGATATATAAAAAAAAGCTCCGTTGCCGGGACTCGAACCCGGGTCTCTCGGGTGAGAGCCGAGTATCCTAACCAGCTAGACTACAACGGATTTTTGATGTCTCTATTATCTATCCTGCTCATATCGGACAGTTTAACTAGGAAAAAAAGAGAGCAGAAGTGATGGAAGAAAAGAAGTAACGAAATTATCAAAACTGCAATTTCACAAACTTAAAATGAAATGGTGTGAATTAACATAGGTTTTTGGTTTCAAAGACAAAGAGATAACAAGACTGTATAAGCAAAATAAGCAACACTTGCAGATTAACATAGGCTTTTGGTTAACTCAGAGTTTGTGATCAAAGAATCACTTAGAAGACTAACGGCCTGAAACAAAAGTAGAGTTTAAAGAAGCAAAAGGTAAGTTTTCCTCAAGTAACCAGAAGGGATAAAAGGAAGAAATTACAGCATATCTCTGTTCTGCTAATGTTGATCACTTGCTCCTCGATATCACTGATGATCATCTGCAACTTCCTTGATAATAAAATTGTGGAAGATGAATTTATAGGAGTGAAGATTATCTCGTAACACATGCATTTTCAATAAATCTCTCTTCTTGGGTCAATAGATGCTTCTGATCCAAATTTGTAAAACAGTATTTGCTTAATATTCTGGCTTTGCAAATCTGTGAAGCTTATAGTTCAGAAATAAAGAACGATAAGACTGAACAAATTGTATTTGTAAATGCTTAAAGCCATAAAAATGTATAGAAAGAAAGAGCATCAAGCAAAACCTTAAATAAAAGAAGAGAATTCTGCAAGCATCAAGCATTCTGCAATAAATGTTGCAGAATGTAAAAGATGTAAGACATGATCCTCAGAAACAAGAGGCGACTCCATAAAGATGGTGTTTAACTAAGACGTTCAAGTTTCTTCCTTGGGCTTCCTCGTGAGGAAGTTCGAGAGGCCTTTAGTTAATGCAGAGGAAGAGATCAAGGAAGCTCTGAGAATGCTGATGAGCTGCAACCAAAACATGTTCAGAAAAACGGACAAAATGAAGAACACACTGACAAAAGTACAAACATACCTCTGCTTTGGAAATGCTAATCGCCAGCTCCTCTATGTCACTGATGTCAACCTGATTCTTCCTTAACAGCTCGATGGTCGATGATGAGTTCATAGTAGTTACTAAAAGATCATCAGAAACGATGAACTTTGTACCTCTCCTCAAAAACCCATCAGTATATCTCATTAAGTCATCATACTTGTCTTTTGAAGACACAATCACAGTATCTTGTGGAAGCATATGCCACTCCAAATTAATAGGCCGGGTAAAATTGAAAACTGAGCAATAGTCAGAATCTTTAGGAATGCAACACTCAAATTTCGGTAATGGGGAAGTCTTAATGTCAAGCAGTCTGTTACGGCATGGGTAGTAATCAGGAAGCTCGGAGAAATCGGGAGTTAAAGCTCGTCTAGCTTCACTTCTGTGCAAATTTCTGACACATTCCAAGATGGTATTGTCGTCAGAGAATGACCATGCCATCTCAAGAGGAAGAACCAAGAAAGTTAGAAGAGAATCTATGAAATCTTCACTGCTCTCAACATAAAGAATCTTCCTGTCACACTTTCTAACAAAAACTTTCACTTGAAAGCCTGGTTGTACTTGTTCATGTCCAATTTCTTGCACCGACGGAGACAAAGTTGCATCTGTCAATGTCACAATATCTTTCCTGAGGAAAGAATATGTTAATGGAGCATTTGTAGTAAACAAACATCCTAGTAGAGCCACCACCTAGAGATATAAATAATATTAGAAGGGTAGAGAAAAATGAGAGATTTGTGAGCAAGAATTAGAAAGAAGAAAAGACAAATTACCTCTTGGAAACCAACTTGGATAATCATTTCTTGCATGTCACGAAAACCTTGATATCCTAGATCTTTGAGCACATTAGCGATAGCACCAATAGAGTTCAATGTCACTTTCAAATCATCAGTGACAATGAATGATGATCTGCAGCAGACGAAAACTCCATCTACACCATTTCCAACCTGGTATCCTGCTTGCAACTCTTCTGGAACACGAACCTCCTTGGTCATATAACCTCCACAGCTGCACTTGGAGGTAGTGAAATTGCTGTAGTACCTGCTGCACGAATCATGCTTATAGAATTTTGGGCATACAAAGAATTTCGAGGAATGAGCAGTATCATCCATGTTCAGCTTAAGCTTTCTGCAATGGACCTCCTTCTTACTCTTTGGATACATCAACATAGTCTTGCAAACTTCAGTTTGAAAATTATCAATGCCCAAGTTTGCAACACTTGCGTTGAGATTCTTGTAACAACCTAGAGCTTGCGGCAACTTTTGATGCTTCTCCAGCAATCTAGCAATAGTCCCCATTGGGAGAGTCAAGAGGCTGAAGAGTGTATCAACAAAATCTTGGCAGGCCTCAGCGAAAACAACTTTGTTTTTCTCCTCGTCGATGAGAAGTTTCAAGCTAAACTTCGCAGTTTTAGCCATTGTGGAGGTTAAAAAAAATGTATATCCAAAAAGAGAAGGAAAACAAGTAACGAAAAGAAATGGCTAAGCTTTTGAAAAGATGACGTTTTGGTTGCATGAACTCAGTTGCGTCTTTATAACTGCGGTTTTGAATCTCAAGAGGTTTCCATTTCGAACATTGAATGTAAAGTTGTGAAACCCAAAAGCCATAATGTATGTAAAGACCTCTTTTCGTTTTCCCATGACTTTGGGATTTGGAATACAATTTCCCAAAGAAGTGTGATAAAAGAGTCATTACGATGTATCTGGTTAATTAATCTTTATTCTCTTCATATACAGATTCAGTGAATCTCTTTGGGAATGAAGATATTCCTTTGGATTGCAATTGAATACAAAACCTCTGAAACTGATAATTAAGAAGTAAAAAAAATGAATGAGACCTCCATTCGTCAGCAGCAATCTAAAGAATTTAATGTTATAATCCCATAATGTTGAATATAGCAGAAGATCTGGCTTAGCTGTGTTACCAGTAGTGGGATCACTGTTCGTTGCTTGGATTCAGGCTACTGTTTGTGATCTGATGGAATATGAAATGTTGTTAGTAGGCTTATTTGTAAGAAAATGTAAATTTGTAATATTTTGGTTTACCAGTATGAAGAAGTATCTATTCTTTTTCACTCAGCTAAAGGATGATAAGACAGATAATATATAATTAGAGACCGTTAATCTTCAATCAGCGCAAAGATTAGAGAAAACAGAGGAATTAAAGGAGAAACAATAGATAGTTGAAGCATAACCTTAACCAACCACAAGAAAGAGAGGCAGTGATTTAATTATTTTCCTAATTGACACCATGACATGCCAATCAGGCTAAAATCTAAAACCCATAATGTGTATTGAAAAACGTGATTTGAAAAGTGATTTTGCTCTTGTCCTAATAATCGTATCCGGTAATCTAAAGCAGCAAGCACTTGAGTTCAATTTCTCCTGTCATCTAAAGAATCGGAATCCTCTTGTTTCTAGTATGACGAAGTGAAGAGAGCCCAGGAAAGGGACAGAGGAAGGAGACACTGTGCGAGTGTGAGTGTTGTAATTAATGTCTATATCAATTGGGTTTGGATCTTCAATTGGTTCGTGCTTCAACGCACCAACCCATCCTCTTCGAATCTTGGCAAGCCCTAAGAACACCACTATCAAGTTGAGAACGACAAGTAAAAGATTCTCCTTTAGAGTTTCCGCTGTTTCGTATAAGGAATTCCCCGAGTCTGCTCTGCAAGAAACCAGGAAGAAGGTCCTTCTTGAGCCTTCACTTCTCCAGGTACTCTGCAATTACCAAATTTCTAGTTGATTGTTGCAGAAAACAAATCTTCCTGTCAATTTTGGTAAATTGAGCTGAGTTTTCTTGAGGACTACAAGATTTGTGTTGAATTAAGTATTCATTTAGTCAAAGATTTGTGTTTGAGCAGTTATCGAACTGTTTCAGGAAAAGTATAGTAGCATAACAGGATTGGATGGTCAAACCCAACTTGAAATGCTTGCTTTCAAATCTCCAAGGATTAGGCTTTTGCGGAGCATGGCTATCGAGAACCAGACAATGCAGGTTTACAAATTAATTGCATCATCTCTGTGGATATATGATTTCTTTGGGTTTATAATTGTTTATAGTGTCACTTTTTTGGGTATAATTGCAGGTTTTTGACTTTGCTGGTTTCATGGAGCCTGAGTTTGATACGCCCATCTTCTGTGCTAATTTCTTCACATCTGTCAACATGAACATAGTGGTCTTGTAAGTTATCCTTCTTCTCTTCTCTAGTATTGTCGATATGTGTCTTGTCCACAAACATGACCAATAACCTTACTGTTTTGTTTGCTCTCTCTTCTTTAGGGACCTAAATCCTTTGCATCAGTTGTCTGACCGTACAGATTACCAAGAGAAATATTACAGCAACATAATGTCCATATATCCAAAATATGCTGAGGTGAGCACAAGAAATAGAAATTTACTCAATGATAATGAGATAATAAGACGACTGATCTGAGGATTTTCTTGCAAGATTTTCCCATGGGGAGGAAAATTGACTGGTGAGTCCATAAAGTTCTTTTCGCCATTGGTGATGTGGACCAGATTTTCGTCTAGCCAAGAAAAGCATGATGCTTTGTTCTCTGCCTTCCTCGACTACTATCAGGTAAACTCGGGTTTGTGTGCTTATGCCAAAACAGGACTGAGTCCATCAAATTTTTCTTTCTCTACAGGCATGGCTTGAGATGACAATCCAAGCTACGGAGGAGATGGATCCAGCTCAGGTGAGAGTTAATCGTGAAGCACAGCACAAGTACTTGACATGGCGAGCACAAAAGGTGATTAATTTTTTGAATGTTCGAACACAAAATGTATCTGTATTGTGAGTTTGTCACAGTGGTTCTTGTTTTGTTGATGGCAGGATCCTGGACATGGTCTTCTTAAGAAACTAGTCGGTGAAGCAAAGGCAAAGGTATATATCCCATTAAATTGTCCTCATGAGCTTGTGAAGATGTTGTTGATAAATGGATTCTAACTAAACCAGGAGTTGCTGAGAGATTTCTTGTTCAATGGAGTGGACGAGTTGGGCACAAAATCATTCATTGATTACTTTCCAGAGTACCAAACCGAAGATGGAGCTGTGAGTGACAAACGAAGCATCATTGGGAGGTCTTTTGAAACTCGTCCTTGGGATTCAACAGGACACTTTATCGGCTAACTTCTCCTCTATGCTTTATCAATGTTCTTAAGCTTATGTTAATATTGTATCATTGCTTATCTGATTGTAATAAATTTGCTTATTCTAAGTTAATTCAAGATATAAATAGAAAAAAAGGCTTATAAAATGCGTCTGGCTTCTAAAAATCGTAAATCTCAGTCGCGAAATATTCACTGAATCGAATTGAAATCGAGAGAGAGCGAAAGAGAGAGAGGGAGAGAGAGTTTGATCCTTCATCACAGCTTATGCAGACGTCACAACAGTCCCAACTTCTCCAGAACTCGGCGGAGGCGGAGGCGGCGAACAATCAGTCGGAATCGGACGCGCCGCCGAAGCAGGTGGCTCAGGCGATGGATCGCCTTAATCAAGCGGCTAGGGTTATCGCCGATATCCGCCTCGGCGCCGACCGTATCCTTGAAGCCATGTTCGTGACTACGACTCCTCGCCACACCGATATGCCTCTTCAGCAGTTCCTCAGAGAAGACGCCTCCATGCGTCAACACCTTCAGGACCTCCGATCAATCGGTGCTTAACATTCGAAACGAAATGGATTTCAATTAGTATCGATAATGCTTCTCTCTGGAATTACTGATTTGACGAATCATGGTTACTGGAACAGGGAAGAAATTGGAAGAATCTGGAGTTCTCACTGAATCTCTCCGGTCAAGAAGTAACTCGTGGGGTCTTCACATGCCATTGGTATGCCCAGATGGTGCAGTCGTTGCTTATGCTTGGAAACGACAGCTCGCTGGTCAAGCTGGTGCGTCTGCTGTTGATAGAACCAGGTATGACATTGCTGCCAATGAATTTGAGCATTGATTAGGGTTTAGGTTCGACTCTACATTCTAGATTTGATTCGAAGATCCATTTATAGCTGTTAGTTCCTCCTAAAGGATTGTGCTTTCTGTCTCCAACATCATGGCGTCTGGTGATGGAATGATTATTAAGCTTGAATCGTGCAATTATGGTTGATGTTTTCTTATAAAGATTTGTTTAAACTTTGATGCCTAATATGAATCGTAATGACTGTAGGTTAGCTCTCAAGGCCTTCACGGATCAGAAAAGACGATTCTTCCCTCACATTGACGATGGACTCAAGATGGAACCAAGATCAAAGAAGCATTGTGCATCCCATTCACCACTAGAGCATGAAAGAGAGGAGCCGGATGATTATAAAACCTTGCCAGATATACAATCGCGTTTAGAGAAGGTGGTCCCGGATGTGAAGGTGTCTACTTATGGGCGGTTTAACTGGCTCAAAAGGGCTAATTCTTTAGCTGGGTCAGGAAGTGACGATCCAGCAGAAGCGTCAAAACCTGTGTTCCAGAGTTCTAGCAAGCTGAGATCAGGGTTACAGAGTCAGGTTGTTGATAAGGTTGCCGTGATTGAAATATCGTTTCCTTCTGTATTCAGAGCTGTGGTCTCGTTGAATCCAGCTGGTTCTGTTGACCCTGATGCAGTAGCATTCTTCTCTCCAGATGAGGTAAACTTTCAAACTCCCTGCATTATGTAACAGATGAAACTTTTTTAGCTGCTCATGTTTTGCTTCATCCTTACAGGGAGGCAGCTACTTACATCCGAGAGGCTTCTCGGCTCATCATGTTTACAAACATATCACGGTAACAGAGACTGTGATTGGTGTCTTCACGAATCTGATTGATTTGGAACTTGCATTAATTAGATTTTCTTGCAGGAGCACGCTAATACAGCCTTGCAATATTTCCTCGGGTTTGGTACTGGAGCAGCTCTCTACTCTCTTCTGGTAAACCATGTTACAAGGATTTATCTGTCTCTGGATAACATGGACCATTTCTTTCTTTTGGAAGTTAACTAATACATTTCTCTTTCGTCAAATGCAGCTATGGATATGCAGTTTCGAATCCCTTTTTAGCAAACCTTGCAGGTAATTAGCCAGACTCTGTAATTCTTCTGCCATATTCGATCATGGACCAACTTTTGACCTCTCTTCTGATGCAGTAAATGTGGAAGGCTATTGGCAATGGATAAAAAATCTGCTTTAATCCTACCTCCTCTACACCGCGCTTACCAAGAACTGCCTCTTGCACTCAGCCTCGATGTTTGTGAAGCGTACCACGCCGGTTGTTCTCCAGATGATTCTTAGTAATCAGGTGATTAGGGAGGATCAGTTTCAAAGTGTAGAGAGTATTTTGTATGGATCATTGTATTTCATCCTTGACACCTCTTATTTGTGTCCCATGTTGAGGATAAATTCACATTATATCAGCCACTTTCTTTGTTTCTCTTCTCGATTTATGAATATAAGCGACATAGAAGCAAGTAGCTGCTGATACATGCGACTGTTGTATTCTCTCTAGAGATTTGATATGTCGACAAGATGACTAACTGAACATACTTGCGACTGTTGTATTCTTTCTAGAGATTTGATATGTCGACAAGATGAATATCCGAACATACTTAATTTAAGTCTTTTAGCAATAAAGATCAAAATGAGAAGTAGATAAAAGCGAGTAACCTTGATAGATAAAACATAACATTTTCAAATTAAAAAGACAAGATCTTAAATCTGAACTGGCCAAAATCAAGAAAATTATCATACTAGAAATGAAGCAACGACAAAAAGGTAACCTTGATAGATAAAATCTATTCATCATCGAACAAACCGAAACCACCGTAGTCTTCTTCCTCTGATTCTTCAGCCTCTGCCTTCTTCTCTTCTACCGCGGCAGCTCCGGCTGAAGCACCACCTGCATCTGCAGACACGGCCGCTACAGCAACTGCAAACTTGCTAGGATCCTGCATTCCAAAATTATACCCGAGTTAACATAAACACAAACACAATACGCCAACCTTCAAAATCACATAAACCAATTTGCTTGGTTTAATGACTAACCTTCAAGAACTCCTTGACCTTCTCTGCTTGGGGGAAAGTGTACTCGGTGGCAACAGAGATAGCCAAAGCATTCTTGTAGGCGTTGATGAACATATGCGGTGCAGCAGCAAGGGTAGGGTAAGAGATAGCTAGAGCCAAGGAGGTGACCATGGAGATACCAGCAGCGAACTTAGCCACGAGGTCATCTTCTGTAAGGTCAAGAACCTCTGGGCTGAAGACGGAGCCATTGTCATAAACCGAAACAACAACAAGACCGTACGAGAAGGGCCTGATGCCGAGCTTGGCTAAAAGCGCAGCCTCAGAAGAACCGACCTTGTCACCTTGCTTGATGAGCTCAACAGGGGTGATGATTTCAACAGTACCCTTGTTAATCTTAGTTGGGATGTTAAGCACCTAAAAACATTCCAAAACACATTCACGTTTCAGGAAACTTGACATTTCGTATTCACACAAAAAAATAAACCGAGTTTTACAAATTCAAGATTAAGCAAACCTGGAAGAAAGATGTCTGGGATGGGTCGAGACCAGTGTTACCAGGTTGTACAACCACGTCAATTGGTGCAACCAAACCAACACGAGCAGGAGCACCGACCTGTTCATGGATATAGACAAATATGAGCCACTTCAATTTCAATCCAAATCACGTTTAGAAAGCATCAAATTTACACACTCAACTACTAAAGTTGATGCATAAAACTGTATTACTCTAAGCTACTAAGAACAGTGTTACTCAGCTAATATTAACAGAAATGTAAGCAAGATAACATTCCTTTAGCCATTAGATATGATTAAAAGCTACAATCTGACATTGTCTAAGAAGAAATGAGAATCAAATTAACGAACCTTGTACTTAGCAACCTCCTCGCTGACTTCCTTGAGGTCACCCTTGGTGAAGATCAAACCAACATTTCCCTACAACAAATGCAGAAACCATCGCAAATTATAATCTAAAGTCTCCACAAGTATAAGCTTTTAGAAAATCTCAACATTTTCGTGAAAATGAAATCGACCTGAAGGAGGGGAAGCAGATTGAGGATTCCGGTGTTTCCGGTGTTCTCGGCGTGAATCTTAACGGAACGCTTCATCATAGTGTTTTTTCCCATGAGGACGACAGAGTCTCCACGAAGACCCTTCCTGATGTTCTGAAGCTGAGTAGATCCGACGTTGTCGGCGGCAACGACCAGGATCTGAGTGTACTCGTCGACGAGCTGGCATAGCTTGGCGTCATACGCGATCTTCTTCTCCGCCTTTGTTGCCTTCACCATTTTTGCTCACAAGATAAGGCTCAAATGTCCCACACTGTCTACAAAAGAGTTTTGACGGAGAGAAAAGAAGCTAGGGTTTTGTTTCAATCGTTTTATAGTTAGCTAACGAAATGAGGATATTGGAATCTAGGGTTTTTTTAAGAGATCTAAATCTAACGGTTCGTAGTCGCTTTCTGAATTTATGATCTGACGGCTCTTGTTTACTTCGATTTTTTGGGCTTTTCTAAAAACTAAGCCCAAGTTCAGTATTTAAAACGCCATACATTCTAATATTTAAATATGAAAACGGGACACACTCTTCACTAGGAGTTTACAACAAAAACATCAGTAAGTGTTTGACTCTTTCATAAATTCCAGTCTTCCATGTCCCAATTTATTTTTCTTTCAAAAAGGAAGATGAAACGGTGTCATTTTGGTCGTATGGCAAACTCAGCAGGAACATAGATAGATACACACTTCCAATGTGGAGCAATAATGCATTTCCTTTTGCAGACCAAAAAAGTCATTACATAGTGAACAATTTCAAGATTGAATCTCAGGAACAAGTTCATTGATGTCAATTTCCACTAGAGTCTCCTTTCCAAACAAAGTAAATCCCACCGTTGCCTGCAAACCATACAATATACAGATATCAACAACAACCAAAATCTTGTACAATACAGACTTTAATCAAATTTTGTAAAATCTTGTAACATACCTTTGCTGTTTTCCGGTTCAGTTTCTTTAGGTTGCCAACGAATTCAGCGAACGTCCCTGATAAAACTCGAACTGTAGAACCAGCTGCAAGTTTCTTCTTCTTCTCCTTCTTCTCCTTTGTTTCAGTAACAGGAGTAGCTTTTCTCGGGGATCTTTTCGTTTTAGTCTCTGCGAGAGATTCTACATTCTCGATAACATCTGAATTCGATTCAAGAAGAAGTTTCTGTGAGGCTAAAATCGCTTCTTCTTCTTCAGCTCTTTGTAGCTCATCGAACTCAAGGTCTGCTTTCTCTTGTTCTTCTTTTGCTTGTTTGAAAATTGCTTCCAAATCACTGTCGTCTACTGGTCTCGGTTTGTTTATCTGTCTCTTGCTGCAGAAACGCAAATCAATTCACAATTCTTAACACAGACGTAAAGAGAGAGAGAGAGAGATTGAGAGTGAGAGAACACTCACGTGTTTCCAACTTTAGAGCCTATGAAACCTCCGACTCCTTCACAGTCTCTAATGGAGTCATGGATCTCTTTGTTCAATATACATCTGATGAAAATGCAACCAGGGAACACAGGTTTCGGTTTAATAGATAAAGAACCGTTCTTTAGCTTTCTCTTCACCTGTACAGCTGGAGCATAAACCTGGAAGAAAAAAAACGAAATTTGAAATCCATTTTTTAATTCAAAAATCAATCAAGGAACTTTCTCATCATCCTCTGTGTTTAATTCATTGTTCATAACTTCCCGGAGATTGCTCATATACCATTTTGATCTCATCTCAGTGTCAAAAATCCAAATTCAATATCACACAATAACCCAAAATTCAGTAATAAGATTACCATTTTGTTATCATCTCGTTGTCAAAATCCAAAGTGAAGATCACACAGTAAAATCCAGAAGAAGTGAAATTACCGTGAATTCCATTTCAGGGAATTGACGAGCAAGAGCTCGAGCTAAGACTTGAGCAGTCTCCTGACCACGAAGTCTCGAAACCCGAACCACCCACCATTGCGGACCCGACTCAGCCAAAGTATCCAAATTCAGCTCTTCCGTCCACGTCGCATACCGTTTCTTCGGTTTCTTAATCAGCCGCTCCTCAACTTCTTCTCGCCAGCTGTAACCCGATTTGCTCTCGCGCCGCTCGTTCCGGAGCTGCCGCCTCTCTCTCGCCGTCAGCTCGCGGTTCCGCTCGACGACACAGGCGGAGATAGAGAGATGGGTTGTTTTGATTCTAGTGTTAATCGACGGAATTAAGCTGCTAGGACTCCATTGGAGAAGTCCTCCTTGCAGCTTCATCATCGTCTGTTTTTGGTTGTTGTTGATGAAATTCCTTCTGATTAGGATAATGTTTTGAAAACATTTTACCGGGAACCGGTAAATCCCAATACCGGTATGAAACTTAACCGGAGTAATGTTACCGGGCCTATTCGCTCCGGTTTTCAGTAAGATTGTTTAAAAAAACGGTATATTGGTTTAAACTTAAATGAGCCAAGTAATTTTGTAAGCAAGAGTGTAGTGTGAGTGGAGAAACAAACCAATTTTTTTATGTATATCTAGATTCTCATCAGTAAAGCTTTTTTTTTGTTGGTTTTAATTCTCAGTAAAGCTTTAATTATATGTTCTTTACCACTTTGATGCTCATGCTTGATCATAAATCTAAATTATTCGTATAACAAGAGCCAGAGGATTTAAGCAAGATCCCCTCACTTCAAAACTGAAGAAACCTAATCGTTTGTTTTTCTCATTTTAAAAGGAGTTTTCTTTTTGTACAAGTTTTAGTTTGGTTCACTTTGATTGAATAAACGCTGCCCCAAGATTTGAAAAAATAATAAAAAAAAAAATCATATAAACCACACTTTAACCACATACACTGATGAGTGATGATACACACAATAATGTGGTAACGACATTTGAATGGACTACAAAATCAACTTAAATTTTTGAAATATGAAGGACATCCAAATAAATGTAGACAAATGTTGTCTTTTTTGTTTGTTTTAAACTCTAATTTATTTTTAATTGATTTCAAGAAAATCTCTGATCTTGCTTAGCATTTTGGAAGATCCGGTGGTGGTGGTGGCAAGGTGGTCGACTTCGTCGGTCCGTTCTCAACCACAAAGAGCATCCCTAATCCGAATGGTAAGTGAACATCGATATGACAATGCATAATCCACGCACCTGAACAATGTATCCAAAGTTATAACTTGCAAGCATTAATAAATCCTTGTAGTCTGTAGGTTTTAATGTATAGAACCATATAGTTACATTTCTAAGGTTATTTTTATATTCTTCTCTAGTCCTTTGTATAATCATTGGGTTGGATTGAGAGTTTACCAGGGTTATTAGCTGTGAAACGGATCACGGCCCATCCACCAACAGGCACGGCCAATGTGTTACGGAATTGCGGGTTAACGAGATTGTAATACTTGCTCTTATCACGGGTCGGGTCATAATTACCGAACCCTTGAGCCAAAACGTGGAAGTTGAATCCATGAAGGTGCATGGGATGATTTTCCGCCGCCATAAGTGCATGGTTCTGCAGCACCACGTCCACCGTCGAATTGAATTTCAAAACCTTAGCGCTCGTTGATTTTTGAGCGAAGAGAAGTTCCGGGTTTGTTTGGGTTATGTTCGGGTTCGTGTAATCGAACTTAACCGGAGGCTGGTCCGGAAAATCCCTCGTGAAGATCCCGTCGACGCCGTTGTAAACCGCTTCCAAAATGGACATGGTTTTGGGCAAGACAAAGGAGTGATTGCTCATCGAAGCAGAGAATTTGGGACACGTGGTGTTATCCGAGCAGGCCTCTAGCGCGAGCCCGATGGTGATGAGCATCTCTTCGTCCACGTGGAGAGGCACCGGGACGTGGTGGGGTCCACCGACTAGGCTAGTGAGGTTGGAGTAGAATCTGTGCGCCGTTGGCGTGTCGAAGAAGGAAGGCAGCTTAGGCATCAGCACGCGCTTCGACATCTTTGTTTCCGACGCGCCGCCGTAGTGGATGACGCCTCGGGTGGTGGTGTTGGGGAAAGGCACGGCGGGTGCGCTGGCGTAAGGATGAGCCGCCATGTAGTACGAGGAGCCGATTGACTGATCTGCGTAGAGTAGGGCGTCGACGGTTTGGCCAGGTGCGATGACGATCACGTCGGTGACGTAAGGGTTGATGTAGACTGCGTCAGCGGCGACAACTGTCAGCCTGTGATTGGCTATCTTGAAAAACATTTGTATGTTCATTGCCGCGTTTATGATACGGAGTAAGTATATTTTTCCTTTCACCACGTCTAAGCTAAACATCCCTGTTTCAATTTTTTCTTTCAAAGGTTAACTTTGGGTAGCTGCTAAATAATTAGTCATGATTTTAAAAAAAAAATAGCATGTTGTTAGGTATATGACTTGATAATTTATACATGCAAACGAAGCTAATTCAAAAGTGTTCTATGTGTTGTTTTGTTTTTCAAAGAATATTACATGCATGGTGAAAATTAGTTTTGGTGCATGGTGTTGCTTTTTAAATAAAATTATATGATTACGGAGAGTGGGATGAATGTTCTGAAATACGTCATCTGATTAACAACTTCAATATGGGAAAATTGTAGATGGCCATTTTTTATTACGAAAAGTTGTAGCCATTTATAATGAATGCCCAGCAAAAGTGATTCGTTAGTCATTGATGAATTAGTAAGAGAAAAAAAAGACTCACTGTCTTTGGAGCAGGGATATAGGTTTCCGGGTAGGCCATTGATCGTAAAAGCGTCGGAATTGTTTGGAGGAACTCCGGTAGCAATTGCGGCCTCCTCTAACGCCACCACGTCAGTGTTCCACCATTCACCTGTTTAATAAAACAAGATTATCAGTTACTATTTATCAAAAAAAAAAAGATTATCAGTTACTATTTTTGTAATAGTTAAAAGAAATCTTGGCCAATACTTAAGCATATAAAGTTTTTATTTTGAAAGACATGGACCAACATCCTTCGCATCATTCACCAACTGAACTACTTACGTGTGAGTTCGATTAACTATTATAATATATAGTTTGATATCTACAAACAAAATTATTGAGCTGAGACGTACGTACCGAATAAGATGGGAACTTCTTTGTGGGGTTTGGGAAACGGGTAAGAGTGACCGGATTTAGGGCGGATGACGAGAGCACCGTATACGGTGGCGCGCAGGAAGGACGCGTGTGCGTGCCACCACAAAGTACCTTCTTGGCCAGTGATGTTGAACCTGTAAGCGTAGCTATGGCCAGGCTGGATTGGGCACTGTGTGATCATACTCGGTCCATCCGCCCAAACTGTTAGTCTATGAAATATTCCGTGCCTGCATGTACAATAAAATAGTAATTAATTAACAGTTTTCATATTTATACATTACTAGATTAGGCCCCGCGTATACGCGGTTTGTTTTAATATTGTTGAAATAAACAATAGGAAAATATTAAACCAAATCTTGTCACTTTTAAAAGTAAGTAGAATAATATTCAAATTCGATAACAAATCTCTAAATAAAATAAAACTGGTAATATTTTTACATTTTAATTACAATTAACATTTTGTTTTAATTAATGATATGAAAATGAATTAATTTATTTTCTTTTTCTTTTATCTAATATAGAAAGACTTATACGTATCTAATCTAAATTTGATAGGCTAATTAATTCATGAAAATTTGATTATTCTATTTAAGAGATTTTAGTTGATGAAATCTTTTTCTTAATACTGTTTTACCTACCAAAAAATTGAAAATTAATATATTTAAAATTATAATATTGGTCAATTATTTATATATTTAATGTTATAATTTTTTTGTTAATTTTCTATTTATCATGTTTTTTTTTTCAATTTTGTTTTGCCTCAGACCATAAAAATTTTCTTATTCATAGTTCGTTAGTTGTTTTACAATTATTTTGTTAGTTTTCTATTTATGTGATTATATTTTTATAATTTTCTTTTGTTAACACATGTTATCACATGATCATATAATAGAAAAATGGTGCAACAAAAATTTCAATTTCAACCCAACTGATCTAAAGTTAAATATTCTTTATTGATATCTTGAACATTAAAATATATGATTTTCTATTTTGTAATAAAAGATAAAGTTTAAACAAAAGATAGAATTACACATATAAATCATGAAGGCTATAACTTATTATATATATTTTTTTCTTTTTCCTTTTCTTAATGGGAATATGTTTTTTCACATTTTTTTTTTAATGGATGTAACATTTTTTCTAAATTGCTATTTTTTTTTCTATTTGTCCTTGAATTGTGTTTTCCTGATTCAAACAAATGTAAAAATTTAATGTTAATCTATGATTATATACATATTTATATAATAAATATCAATATAATATGTTAATAACATTTCCATCAAGTAATAAAAACTTAACTCTCACAAATAATTTTTTTTCTTTAGGATTTCTAGCTTTCCACTTTCGAATAACATGTATAGTACGGCGATAGTATCTATTTCGATCCAATTGACTTACAGTCAAATATTCTCCACCTTTTTTGAACTTTCAAAGACATGATTTTTTAATTAGAGAAAGATAATTAAAAAGATTTGATGAGTTTGTGGATGAGAAAAAATAGACTACCTTAAATTTCTTTTTATAGGGGTTCACTTAACATATTCCATGCAGTTATAGGAAATTTAGTTTACATAATTTATTTCATGTACTAATAGAAATTTATTATTACATTATTTTGAATTTAATATGTGTTAAGATAATATAATTTTGATGAATGGGAATCCTTTTTCTGTTAGGATTTCACAAATATAATAGATTAAAATTTCCTCTTCTTTTCTTAATTTTCGTTTTTCTAATATTTAACTAAAATAAAATATTTTTTTTTCAAAACATGTGTCATGATCTTAACGGACTTAACATTAAAAGTGACACATGTCGCGATCCTGAATTTTATAAAAATCCTATGTGTCGCAACCACGTCGTGCGCATCCAGCTTTATATAATAAGAGATGTTCATCAATTAGCTATAGTATGACGTCTTGTAAATTAGTTTTAACTTGTTGAAGATTTTATTACGATCAAAATATGTACAAAAGTAGGAGCTCTCAAGCCGCCTCCTTAAAATTAAGTTCCAACGACCATTTTCCAATTTCCCATCACCTTCATGACAAGTCACTAATTTTGCTTGGTACAAGTCTTGTCTTTGTATAGAGTGATGATTTATTTTTGGGAGTTCCATGGTTACAAAAAGCGCTGTCATTTTTTTATTATTTTATCAAAGCATCCGTCAGCAAAACAATTATTTTTGATTAACCAAGTACTAGTTAATTATTTAGCTGTGGAATTTGAAATTTCTAGTATAGTTGGTCAAATTTGTTATGGTCTCATGATAACCTGGCCAATGAAACCCAATTGCATCTCCATGCAGATTTTTTTTTTTTTGTTTCCGTAATTCCATGAACCAAGATAAGGAAAAATAAATAAATCAAAACTGAAACAAGAACCGAAGGCCGATGTAGTTTCATGATCAATATTTTCTACCGAAAAAAGACAAATGTATATTCTATGCAAAAAAAAAGAACTAAGAGACTGCGAAAGGCCAACGTCTAGTAAAGTTAAAAAACAAAAAAAGGTTAAGAAACCAAAACGTAATCACATTATCTAAACAAAAAATAATATAAAACGAAGTTAATCAATCCATAAATTAAGTGAGTACCAATGAATTGTGATGTTGTGAGGGGAATTGTTGAGGACGTGAATAACAAGCGAGTCACCCTCCTTGACGCGTACTGTTGGTCCAGGCAAGCTTCCGTTAACCACCGTTATCACTTGCCGGTTGCACAGCCGAGACACGGTTAAGTTTTGTACCTGGCAAGATCGAAGCACCTCTCACGTCGTTAACGATCGCTTGGTCACTAGTTAGTAATGTAAACTCATATTTTCATATTCTAGTTTCACATATAGTCAATAAAATCGCCCTATATGGCAAAAACATGAATTTGATTTTCAAATAAATATCTTGTTTTAAGTTAATGAACATATTCAAGATAAACCAAAGATGACTGTCTACGCAACGATATATATAGTTATACGAAAAATAACAGAAGAAAACAAAATGTATAATTACATTGAAGGTGTGTTCAACAACTGCAGCAGAAGCTATTGAAGACACTGCAAAAAGAATTAGAGCGCAAGCGAGAGAAACCCTAACACCTTTCATCTCTAGAGAGAGAAAAGATGAGAGAGAGAGAGAGAGCTAGACCACAGAAGAGATGTGTTATGAATGTTTTGAAGCAAAAGCAGTTGGGGTTCTATTTATTTATAGAATGCAAAGTGGTAACTAACGAAGCAGCAATCATAAGACTTTATTACGGTTATCAAGATAATTAATGGTTTTCTTTTGTGTTTTGGTCAATAAGAATATAAGATGCATTATGTTGGATTTAAATTTGGATGATGAGATTCTGACGATATATTAACACTAAGCTATTATACATTTATACCACGACCACTGTTCTATAGCGGTATCAATCAGTTGTCGACGTGTGTGCATGTACATTTGTGCATATTGAAATATATACTGCTAGCCTATAGGTATTTTTCAAATCTGTTAGTAGAAACGTCATTGTCTTAATTTCTAACAGTTGATTAGTCCGTTTTTATTATTGTAAATAACAAAAGTCATCCAAATTCTTGCTTCTCAAGACAAACAATCTCTCACATTCTATTGAATTCAATATAAATTCAATCAGAAGTCCAATATAGTTAGCTACTTACCTAATTTGATATCTAAGTGACAACAACAATTTTAGCGACAGATTTCTGGTAAATCTCCATTCCCAAAATCTATACAAAAAAAGCAGCAACAACGAATTGAAGTACAAGGACAAAAAATAATTAATTATGATTTGTTGATAAAGTAGCTAGTAACCAAACAAATAATCAGAATCGGATGAAAGAAACTTAAGTACTTACAGATATTCAAAAATCATACGAGATCCGTATGTTTTAAAAGTTGATTGAAGTCAACAAAACTAAGGAATCAACGAATCCATATATTGCTTTAGGTTTTATTTAAATGGATGAAGTGAAAATAATACATGCGACGCACTTCAGACACAAGCCAATTGATATTGTCAAATTATATGCATGACAGTTGTGATATCGTCCTGGATATCGTGGAACTATTCTTTCAACTATCGATCCAATTCATAAAAAAAAACTTATTTACTTTATGATGTTAATTGGTCTACTTATAACATATTTTATTAGAAAACGGAGAATTTTGGTACGTGCATAGAAACGGTCCATGTATTCATCAAGTTGAAACTTGAAAGCATCTTAGTCAACTTTACAATACCTTCGAGAAACGTGTTCTATGTACGTTTCAAACATATCTTTTACTTGTCAACATCATATCTGTATAATACAACGATTAACTTTACTATGATCCGTTTTCATTGGTGTATAATTATTATATTGGATGTGACAACTGGTTTCAACTTGATCTGGTTTTTCTAGTTAATCATTTCCATCCCCCATTTTTCTAGTTAGTCATTCTTTTACGAGGTCGTTATGTGTTGTTTATGGTAGACAGTTTATATTGTTGTCAATTTTCTAGGTTAATATTAATGTGTTTTGCATTGTAAACGGCAGTTCTAATCAACCATAATTTGAAAACACATTCTTATCATATCTAAGGTGTGTTGTCAGGCAAAGGTCGCTCTCGTTCATAATAATTAGACTGTTTCTTGTAAGCTCAAGCTTTGTTCTTTATAAATTCTTCATAAACGTATGATCATCATTGACTTTCCAATTTATAATACACAGAGGAAATCTCCATGCGGATAAATCAACTGCAAGATCTTGGATATTCTCTATCTGCAAGATCTTGGATATATCTCTAACAAAACAATCAAAAGTTGGTACGTTAGAGAGTGTTCAATGAAAACGCAATGTAATATTCTCACACTGATCATCAATCCTCTTGAAAGTTGAACAATTGAATATACGAAAGAGTGACAAATAGCAACAATATCTCCACAATCAGAAATCTACAACTAATGGATCAACCAACTTTTTTGCCAAAGATTACCCATACTTAAGTAACTTAACCAAACCATTACCATTAACAAATTTATTTTCATAATTTGTTGGTCTCGAAGAGGCCGGATTTTAGTTGATAAAAGGCCTCTAATTAGGCCCAATAAACGTACATAGTCCCGCGAGTGAAATTTCCCGCCATAGCCGATAGTGATCAACCTCCGAAGCTCTTCCGTTTTAATTGATTTACCTAAATCTCCCCCACAAAAGATAAGGCAGGGAATTAACGGTAAGGGGTGATAAGGTAAATGTAAACAGAAGGGTGAAAGAGTAAATAGCAAACCCAAAAGATCCCGAGACACTAGCCCTATGAATCTAGAAGGGAAGAGCGAGCGTGTCTTCACGCGATCCCAACGCTTTTACAGTTAAGTCCGGTAGGTGAGAGAGGGAAGGAAGCTTATGGAGGGAGGAGAGATATGGAGACGATCAGAGCCGAGGGAATTAGGGGAGGTGGAAGAAGCGACGGCGTGGGATGTGGCGGGTGGCAGAGGAGATGGCGATGATGGTGGATACGACGGTGCGGAAGGAGATGCGGCGGAGGCGAGAGGAAGGAGAAGGAAAGTGCGAGTCAAAGGGACGTGGTCATCGAAGGAGGACGATGTGCTGAGTGAGCTCGTTGATAAGTTTGGGCCGAGGAATTGGAGTTTGATCGCAGGGAGTATTCCTGGCCGATCGGGGAAGTCGTGTCGTCTCCGGTGGTGTAATCAGCTCGATCCATCCGTTAAACGCAATTCGTTCACTGGTAATTCTATCTCTGCAAGCCTTCGGTTTTCAATTGGGAGATTCGGGTTTCGATCGAAATGGTCCTGCGATCATTTCCTTCTGAATTTTGTTGAATTGGGAATTGAGGAATCTAGGGTTTTTCCGCTTAGTTCCAGCAGATTATGCTCTTCTTCGAGAGACTGACTGTTGAGTATTGATTGATCAACCATTTGGTTTGCTTCTGAAGTAAAATTGAATCGTGAACTTGGCTGCGGAATCACTACTCCATTTCTTTGGATTAAATTTGGGATTTTGTGGATTGTGGAACTTCTCCTTGAATCCCAAACGAACAAAAAATTTATGTGGTAGCTCCATCGAAGCATAGTAATAACTTTTGCTTAGCTCTAGATTTTTGTTTGTATATGACATTGCGTGGTGGGAGCTCTCATGGTGTGTGCATTATTAGCTGATTAGTCTAAAGTTGTGTGTTCTGTTTTATATCAGCTTTAATAACATTCCATCAGTATCACTAAACCATGCACTTTTTATTTGGTTTGTGAAGCGGTAGAGGATCAAGCTATCATCACAGCGCATGCCATCCACGGAAACAAATGGGCTGCGATCGCGAAGCTCCTCCCGGGAAGAACAGATAATGCTATCAAGAACCACTGGAACTCCACTCTGAGACGTCGAAACATGGACACTGAAAAGGCGACAGATAATAATGTAGGAACTGGAGGCGGCTTAGCCATGGAGGATTCTGGAATTGACAGAACGACTGCGGTAGCTTCATCGGAAGATACTTTATCTTCCGGCGGTGGTGGCAATGCAACTACTCCTCTTGTATCATCATCAGAAGGAAAAGAAGATACCTCCATGGAAATGTCTGAAGAACAATGTGTAGACAAAACAGACGGAGAAGGAGTTTCTACGCAAGAAGTTAACGATCCTCCTCCGACGCTTTTCCGTCCAGAAGCCCGGCTCTGTTCTTTTAACGTTTACAATCACGTGGAAGGGTCTTCCACTCCACAAACGCAAGACCAAAACCAGTCCCAATTATCTAAAAAGGACACAGCAATGCTAAGATTGCTTGAGGGAGCTTACAGTGAACGGTTTGTGCCTCAGAAATGTGGACGTAGTTGTTGCAGCAACAACTCCGTTGGCGAAAAATCTTTGTTGGGTCCAGAGTTTGTGGATTACTTAGACCCACCAACGATTCCGAGCTACGAACTAGCCGCTATAGCAACGGATATAAGCAGCCTTGCTTGGCTGAGAAGCGGTTTAGAGAGCAGTAACGTTAAGGCGATGGACGAAGCAGCTGGGAGGTTAAGGCCTCAAGGCACAAGGGGACATCGAAATCATTATCTTGCAGCTGAACAAGGAAAGAACATAAGCAATGTTCTCTCCACATAAAAGAAGAAACTAAAACAGAGCCCCTGAGATTTTTCTGAGATTTCTTTACTTTTTCTGGTTTCTAACTTTTTTTTAATCTCTTCATCTCAGAGAGCTTGAGTTTTACTTGTTGTGATGTAATTGAGTAGAGATAGTTGTTATAGTTATACAATTGAGTCTCTTGAACATCCATGTGACTTGTATGGCGTCTGCGTTTACCATATGATGATGGTTTGTTTCTCTTTGTAACCTAACATGCCTTCAGAACAAGCCGACAATGACTAATATTAATCACAAGTTCACGACACTACCAATTAGTGCCAAGGTGTGATAAAAAATCCACAATCCAGTAAAGGTCAAGAAAATCCGGTTTGAGCACACAAAAATCTGATGGTACACCAAGATTCTTCTCAAACGAAGTCAAAGAAGCAAGCATGTATATCTGCTATACGTGTGTATTCACATTTCTAAAATACGCATGGAGAGAAAAGAAGCTGTACAAATCTGGTTATTTTGTTTTGTTTTTTTGTTGTTGCTGTAACTCTAAAAAGCTTCGAGAGAAGAGCCATGTCTAAGTGCTTCCTTAGCTTCAGCCTCCATCCCAAGCTTTAAGAGACAAGCCGCTTGTAAGTAGAGCGCGAATGAACACTCTGGCGATGCGACCTGAGCTTGCATCGCATCGCTTAAAGCCTCGCTGAACATATCGCTCATTAGGTAACACAAACACCGTCTTGCTAATACTGTTGGTGATACCACTGGTGCTCCACTCATGAACTGTTCATAAGATAACATTTTTTTCATATCTTAATAAAACAATGTATCTTTTTGTGGATGTATCTTAATGATTTAAACTGATACCTCTGTGTAGAATTCTACTGCAGTTTCGAAATCCTTGGCACGAAATGCGGCATCTCCATGCTTCTTGTAATCTGCATTCTCTTGCATTTCACCCGTCCACATTTGGAATGAGAACTGCAAGCATATATTGAGATATTATGATGTATCAAAGAGGTTTATGAGGGTGTAATTCTCAGAATCTTACATACCTCATTTGTGACCACCACATCATCCTCTCCATACCCAAGTTTCTCCAGCAGTTCATGTATGCCACTTAGATCCACTCTCCAGCAAGCTTCTCCAAAAGGGGTCAAGCGAAATGGCTGCTTCGTTGCAGGTTTAGTAGATGATGGACTCTGTAATTATCAATACATAAGAAAGTCTTCAAAAACCAAAAACCTTGGACGAATCTATGTGGGTCATGACTTACTGTTACAGGGATGATTTCTCCTTTAGCATTGGGCCATAACTCAGCTCGTTTCTCAAGTCTTGAGAGAGCCGACATAAGAAACTTTATGCTTGGCCTCTCGTCTGGTTGAGGCCGGAAACAGCGGGAAGCTAGGTGGATTAGTTCTGTTCTGTCCTCATCAGAGAACTGACCATCCAGAGCTGAGTCCATTAGCACCAAATAGTTTTTGCCTCGGAACAGATCAAGTGCCTGTAAATAACATTGACAAATAGCTTAACCCAATGAAACTGCTCAAAACATATACATTTATCACAGTCTTGATAACAAAGAGCCAATTCACTTCTAAAGATTGACACCTTAAGGAATCAACAGACAATTGGGTTTGTGAGAAGAAAAGTTACATGGTTAGGTGGAATATGTCTGCCACTCATAAGATCCAGCAACAAGGTCCCGAAGCTAAATATGACACTCTCTGGTATCACAGTACCTACCAAAGTTATGCATACAAGTTTCAGCTGAAGCACTTTAGGATTTTTTTTTCTCTTCAGAAAATCAAATAGAAAACATTTACCTATACGCAAATATTCAGGAGGAGCAAACGCCAAGTTGGTGCTATAACTCTTCCCCTCGCGGCTACACTTCATGAGACCAAAGGAAGACAGCCTGGGATTCCCAACCTATTCAAACACTTATGTTAAGAAAAACTTATGATAATGGTTACAATTATCAAAAGAGAAAGTTTTTATTAACCTTATCAAACATTATTCTGTAGGTGTTAAGATCATGGTACAAGTCTATTCCCCTATCATTACAGTACTCCAAGGCTGTCGCAGTATGTAACGCAACCCTCAACCTCATTTCCCATTTCATCGGTCGTTTCTCCCCTGAAAACAATTTCACAGTCAAACATTTTTTAAAGACACAATTTCACAGTCTGAAGCATGAGTTTAACAGGAAGTGAAAAGAGTTGAGTCTCTCTCACAGTGGAAGAGATGTTTTGCAAGTGTTCCATTGATCATATACTCAGAAACGAGAAGCCTCTCGTGACCATCTGAGCAACAACCGATCAAATTAGCCATGTGCTCACTCCTACACTTCCCTACAGCTCGTGCTTCTTCCTGGAATAAACAATGCCATTTTCATGAAATTTGGCCGTGCAAACAGATCAATCTAGCACCTAATTTGAATCTACACCAAGTCAACAGATCAGAGTCTAGAACACGGCCACATTCAAGAGAACTTCTTGGTAATATCACCCAATCAAGTCAAATACGAAAGACCTCAAATCAGATTTCATGAATGAATCAAGAACATGAACAACCGATGAAACAGAGAAGAATCCAGAAGCTTAAACAGAGAAGAAAATCCAGAAATTTTATCCGATTAATTTTAATTCTAATCATCAAAATGACGGATCAACTTTTAATCAAAAAAAAATCAGTAAGTGAGGATCGGTAAAAGACGAACGATGAATTCGGAAGAATCAGGCCAGGAGAGCCTCTGAAACCGCTTGACGGCGATATGTCTGCCGTCGTCGAGCCTCCCTTTGTAGACGATGTTAGGAACCCTCTCGTTGTGCTCCGACACGATGTTGCCGGCGGAGAATCCGTCAGTCGCGACTCTCAACTGCTCCAAGCTAAATTCACGGAAAGTCGGGCAAGAGCTTCCTTCGCCGTCTTCGTTATTATCTGCAGCGACCGAAAACGACTACGTTTAGCTCTCGATCGTCGCCTTATTCACGATTAAAATGCAGAAGAGGAATGGGTTAGAGTAGAGAATTCGTCGGATTTTACCTGGTTCGTCGATGACGGTAGATGTAATAGACGGAGAAGGCGATCGACGCCAAGGCTTGAAGCAAATGCAGCCCATCGCCGGCAATGGAGAAATACGACGAGATTAATTTCTCCGGTGGGTGGACTAAACAAACTTTGAAGTGCTTGGTGAAACTCCCGCGTCCGGAAAAAAAATTACAGATATTTTTTAAAGACCAGTAATCAAATATTTGATGAACAATATATAATATGCTTTTGAAAAAATCAACGTAGGTTTAGTATTTTAAATTCGAAAAATGTCAACATGATCTTGTTAAATTATAAAGAATGTAGGTTGCTTGTTTCATTTGGTTTCCCGCATGAAACATACCAGATTTTTATTTTAGGAGAAGAATCATAAGATTTGTTGAGCTTTGTCTTCATTTTATCAATGGATCATCTACAATTTAGTTTGTTGTTTTTAAAGGTTAAACAGAAAAATACAAATTCTCATACAAAAAACTTTTACTTTTCTGGTTTTCAACACTGCCTTTCGATCAAGATTGGGTGTAATACAATACCCATCCTACTAATCATAATTTATAGTTTTGTTTATAATTCCATCCGTAATGATGGACTTTTAAAATCTTTTGAAAATATCGTTGTCAAATCGTTTTGGTATATATTGCTAAATACTGGCAAAAAAACACTTTTACAAACTCTAGTGTTTATAATGGGACGCTCGTTTGGCTAATTTATATATATAAAAAAAAATATTACTTGAAAATTCACACATTATGGGCTCTAACGTAAAGGCCCATTACGTTTACGATATAGGCCTAAATACAAGTTTAACTTAATAAGCCCAATAACTTTATCCTCAAGTCTGTAGTCTCTTGAGCTTGTATCTTAGTTGATTCGATCGTGAAATTTTTTCCGGTTGCTAGTCACCGAATCTCTTTGAATCTTCCGTTCACTCTTTCCATGGCGCTTCATGGGTCTGGATTTTCATGCAAAGTAAGTTCGAGTTACTCTTCTTCAATAACATTTCATCTGATTGTCTCACTTGCTTATCAAGCTCCAAGTTTATGCTTATCTCTATGTATATGCTTCGTATCCAATCTTAAGATTTTGTCGATTGTTAAGAAGAACCCATTAATATAGGATGGTTTATGTTCCATTTGCATAATTAGAATCTTGTTTAGTCTGAGAATTCATAAGGATTAGTTGTTGTACTAAGGTTAAACCCTAGAGGAAAATTCAGATCGATGGGATCAATATTTAATCAGAAAGTGTTTGAACTTTGAAATTGTAAGTTTCCTTTTCAAGATCCAAACTTTTTGTTACTGATTAATCTCCCACTTGAGCTTCGTTTGATGAGTATTCGTTTTATTGGTTACTCTTTCTCTGCTAATCCCATTTCAAAACTTTTGCTGACTGATAGGTATCAAACACAGTAAAGATCCCTTCTCTGTTTGGTGGCTCTACGAAGCTGCTTCACATGCCTAAGTCTTATCCGAACCATTGCAATATGGTTTCAGCCCGCAATACATTCGGGTCGGGTCGTCTCAAGCTGCAAAACAAAGAACCGTGTGAGCTTTTTCACTCTTTCAAGATCTTGTTTCCATTTCTTTAGTATTGGTTCTCCTGTTTTGACTGTGATCCGTAACATTGTGAAGCAGTCTCTCGTCTAAGGCCGTGTCGAGTCAAACACGAAGACAGTAACAACCAAACCGCAGATGTTAGCATATCAATCGACGAGAACACCTTGAAGCAAGAACTCGAGACTGCGATCAAGGAAGAGAACTACGTGGAGGCAGCGAAGATCAGGGATATACTAAAAGAGCTTCAGGAAGACAAGAAAGGCTCTGTTTTAGCAGCCAATGCTCGGTTCTACGAATCTTTCAGGAACGGTGACTTGGCCGCGATGCAATCGCTGTGGTCGAGATCAGAGAACGCGTGCTGCGTCCATCCAGGAGCCAAAGGGATAATTGGGTACGAAGACGTGATGGAGAGCTGGGAAGTTGTGTGGATGAACTATGAGTTTCCGTTGAGGATTGAGCTGAAAGATGTGGAGGCTCATGTGAGAGGAGAAGTGGGTTATGTGACGTGTATGGAGTTTGTGAAGACGAAAGGGAGTAGTAGCTGGGGAGCTCAGTTTGTGACCAATGTGTTTGAACGGATTGATGGGGAGTGGTTTATGTGCATTCACCATGCTTCTCCTTTTGAGATTTGATCAAATATACAAAGAGAGAGAGATGGTACACCGTTTATTTGAAGCGTTTTCTCTTTTTGCGTTTGGAGGTTGCGGTGGGTTATATTGGCGGTTGCTTAGTGTAAACGATAATGTATTTATTTTGTTTTGTGGTTGGAGATTGGGACCAAAAGCCATTAGAGAGAAACTTAAGAGGCTTAAGTTTTTGACGTTTCATATGTTGTGCTTGTACTCTGTGTGAATTTTTATTTGTAGGAGCAACCAAATTTTAGATAATTCGACTATATGAGATTTGAAAAAGCTTATGAATAATGAGTAATGACATATAAAGAATTTGTTTTGCATGATTTTTGTTTTTGAGACATTAACGAATCAATTTTGCCCAATCTATTTCTATGATTTTTTTGGTAAAACTATTTCTATGTTTACAGGTATGTATGTACTTTAGTTTTTTCATTATAATTAGATGTTCTTCAACTTCACAGATGACTACTAAGCTACTTTTGTTTCGTAAATTATATATCTTTAAGATTATCTTATTTTAATATGCTTAACGTACCAGCTGGTCTCTATTATTATTTTGTAATTTCGTAGTTTATGTGTTTTGGATCGATCTTCATAACTACCACCACATTCATGGATATTGTCCTAAATCAATTGTTTTTTTTCCTTCCTCAGTGATGAGTGACTAAGCTACTTTCATTTCGTAAACTTTATTTATACGTATATGTAGGATGACTCATTGCAATATTGCATGATCTTTGTCGTCGTGTTATTAGTTAAACAATTTTCAAAATCTATAACACAGCCTAATTTGGCACACTTCTAACTTGCAACAATACAAAAATAGACTTCGAATTTTAAAACCAAAATCACATTATTATTATTATCCAAATGATTTGACATTGACATTGAGAAACGAGAAAAGAAAAACACACTTCAATTTTATTCTAACCAAGACCTAAAGAATCTTGGTCAATCACAAACTAAAACAGAAGGAAGATACATTGAAACAAACCCACCAAGTAATAGCTTAAAGCTCCGTCTTCGTCGCAGGTATATCATTCTTGACCTTGGCTGGATCAAGAACACCTTTACTGAGGAAGTCTCTGTAAAACTCTCCCGATTTTTTCAAATGGCGTGTGAGGTTGTTCTTGTAATCAACGAAATAGAGTCCGAATCTGACTTTATAACCCGCTTGCCACTCGAAGTTATCCAACAATGACCATACAAAATATCCTTTAACATTCACCTTCTCAACGCTGTAGCGTTTGAAACAAATTAAAATGATTATCCATCAGATTCTTCAAATACAATAATTTTATAATCGTTATTTGGTTTACTGAACAAAAGAAAATAGGACTTACCAAACAGCTTCATACAGACTGAAAAGATGCCTCTGAAGATAAAATTTCCTGTTAGGATCATCAGTACCATTTGTAACGTGAACGTTTCCGTCTATATCTGCATGAGGCATGTCTCCATATCCTAAAAAAAATCAAAGTAAAGATTAATATACGAAAAAATAATCCAAATGTTTGTTTTTAAATTAAAGTTAAAATCTCTAGTTACCATTCTCCATGATCATGATTTCTGGATTTCCGTAACGATCCTTGATGTGCTTCAAAATACTTTTTAAGCCTCTCGAATATATGCTCATATCTTTCATAGCGTTATCAGGCTAGTTAAAATTCAAAAAAAGCTAAAAGAGTTACGTCGTAGACACAGATATATTTGATCACAAATTGCTATATATTACGCTAATTAAATACATACCCTGCTACCGATTGCGTAATCGGCTTCATTCTTCTCTGAAAAGAGGAATATACATATATAAATTAATTAGTACCAAATTAAATACAAACCTTTTTCCTTTGCATTATGTATATTTTTTAAGGTAAAGTGTGAAACAGCTAGAAAAGCTTACCTGTCCACTCAATACCAGAATCTTGCAGCCATCTTGGTTTGTTTTCATCTCGCTTGTCCGACGTCAAATTTTTTGGAAACTTGGAAACATAATAGTTGAGCCCTACGAAATCAAACGAGCCCTTCAATTTTTCGCTTTGTTCAGGAGTAAACTCAGGCAATCTTTTTCCAACAATCTTTTTCATTGTTTCTGGATAATCCCCTGTAGTAGTTGGATCCATATGCCTACAAAGTAATAATAGAAAAAACCATTCAAATGAAAATACATTTTCTTTCAAAATATTTAGATATTACACTGTACCACTTACCATCCAAGCATAAACTCAAGTGCACGCTTAGCAGCTTCATCCTCCACTTCATTATCTTTGATATATGATTCGAACCACAAAGGACAATGTGCGATTCCGATTTTCCCACCTTTGCACTGCAACCATAAACATAACGTTATATGTTTTCTTGTAGTTGACACACAACAAACTAGTATTTCATAACAAAACTATAGTTGGAAAATACTTCTTTTTTTTTTAGGGTAATGAGTTCTATTTGAACCCTTTTATTTTATTTTTATTTTTGATAAAAGAGTTTGCAATATATTTGTACCTTTTCGCAATTCCGGAAAGCTTCTACGGCTTCTGCGTGAGCGTTAAGGAGGTTATGAGTGACGTTATAAGCCTCATTACCTGATGATCCGCCTAAGCATTCTACTTCTTTATCGACGTAAGAAGAGCAACGTCCTGGTGCTTTCTTGCCTACGTCATAACCGGCGTGAGCATAAACCCATGGCTCGTTAATAGTGATCCAATTTTTCACTTTCCCACCGAACTCATCGAAAAGATATTCAGCATAATCCCGAAAATCTTTCCTGCATTTCCGCAAAGCAAAATTGAATGCGTAATCATGTTAGTAGTTAGTGGTTGTTATATTTTAAAATGGGGTTCGATTTACAAACACTTAGCTTACACAATTTTTTCGCTTAAAAAGCCGCCATACTCGTCTTCCAAAATTTGTGGAATGTCCCAGTGAAAAATAGTAACCGACGGAGCTATGCCTGATTGCAATGTAGAAAGTAGTTGAAAAAATGAATATAAGGGTATTAATAATAATATATATGCTTCAAAGTATATGATATCTGACCATTATTGTTGAGCTCGTCGATGAGGTCGTGGTAAAATCTTATACCATCTTTACTCACTCCTCTCTCCCTTTTTCCATCTGATAAAACATTGTTTTGTTCATTAATATATCCAACGATCGTATATTATATATATACACCAAATAAGTGACTCAATTAGTAGAGATTTGTGTATAGATATTGATCCGAAGCACATATAAATACGGACAAGGAAATATTCTTGGCCACGAGATAGACAATCTGAAGGCGTTTGTGTTTAGATTCTTCATTAATCGGACATCTTCCTGCAAACATTTTCCAGAGGAGAAATTTTTCAATAAAAACTAATCGACACATAGAGCAACATGATATGTATTTATTTATTTTGGTTTTAATTACTTGATATACGTGATAAATAATATGTTCATCAAATATATATACCTTATAACGATGGAAAAAATCAACCGCCACATCACCGGTCTCGTTACTGCATTTTTCTGTAGTTAAAAAAATTCAAGAAAAATGCATAGGTGATTATGCAGGCTAGTTACTTGATTCAAAACTATAAATATAGTTAAGAAGTACTAAGAAAAGTAAATATAGAGACACTAACTTGGATATTTCATACAGTAGACATCCCACATGGACCGTCCACGATTTGTTTCATACACTCCACCTTCAACCTATTGACATAACGAAAGTAGTGATGGGGTTAGCAAATAATTGCACAAATATGACGGCGTTCTATACATATAACATATCTTGAGCTGTTGTTTAAGAAATACAAGTATATAAATACACATGGTTTGTACCTGATATGATGCAGTAGCCGTGCCAAATAAAAAATCTTTAGGGAAAAATGCCCGGTTTAGAGTGTCCTCCTCCTTCGGCATCACTGGGCAAACAGGTTCATTGGCGGATTCCCCAGGTCCCTCGGCGGTTGTCGGAGAGCCGATAATGGTTAGGAGCAAGAGTAGTCCCATGAGAGGAAACTTCCACATAGCCATTTTGGTTTTAGTTTTCTTTTCTTTCTTGGTTTCTTAAAGAGAATGTTTGGGATGCCTCCATACATCTAAGTAAAGCTCTTTATATAGTGGTTTTGGTTCACTAATCGATCCCATTTTGTGGTTTTTTTAATAAGCCTCGTTTCTCATTTTATAATGTTTGTTTTTTTCATTAATCCAGATCGTGTTACCTCATGCATGGATATTGACGTTACTGGCCTTATTGCTGTCTCTCCTGTTTCTTTTTTGGTTTTTGTTTCTATATCAGTGATGATGAGTAGACTATTACTGTTACGTAAAAAATTTAAAATTAGTATATAGGATGAGTCATGCACTATATCGTTTTGGAACATATAACATTGCACGTGTCTAGCGCGCAACGTATATTAAAATGTGACTTTTTATAGGTCGACAACATATAATATTTCTCGTGTTTAACGAGCAACAATTTTAACATGTAATCTCTTGTATGAATCATCGTTTTGCAACTCCAGTAAAATGAAGCTTCCATCTAATGTCATATAAACGACTTTAAGTAAAAAAATGTCATATAAACGAATACGATTATCTACTTCAAAATGCGCCATGTGTAATTATTTATTATTTAAGAGTTTATACATTTTCTTTAATTTTTTTTTTATAAAAATGATGTAATTCATTTCTTTTCAAATATATCTTTTGTTTTTTATTTGAAAGGTAGCAAGAGTAACAAGTTTACATTCTAGAAACAACACATTAGGGAAGGAAATAAATAAAAACCAAGTATAGGGTCCTATGGTTGAAGCCCTATAACCGACAAGTAGAATCTTTTGATGTAGCGTTTTATTTTGTTTAACTAGATGCAGCGTTTCCAAATTGGGCCTTGAAAAGAGCCACGAGCTTCTGCTTAGGCGGCAAGACTTCCTTGATGATATCATTCCCAACGAAATCTTCCGACCAACGTTGAAGTTTTGGAAACTTGTCTGCGGTCATGAACGTCACACCTGAAGCTTCTTGGACGATCCCTAGCCAATATCCTATGAAATCAGCCGCTATATCGACAAATCCAATTGTTTCTCCTCCGAAAAATTGTTTATCTCCAAGCTCGTTTTCTAGACATCTCAAACCCTCATAAGCCTCTTTCACTTCCTTTTCTCTTTCGCTTTCCGGTCCCCAACAAGCTTTCCACACTGCTAACATTACCTAAAACCGGGACAGTAATACAAGTTATACTATTTAATATTGTACACAATGCATCTTGATATATCATATGAATATTTGTATATTCATTAGTGAATGTTTTCACAATACAAAACTCAGATATCTATTAGTTACTTTGTAGTATTATACCTTGTCATCCACATACTTGGCCCAAAAACGGGCCATGGAACGTTCATAAGGATATTGAGGCAAAATCGGGTGACTTGTCTTCCACGTATCTTCGATGTATTCGACAATCACCAGAGACTCGGCTATGGATCTGCCACCGTGGACGAGGACAGGGACTTTCTTGTGGATAGGATTGTACTTAAGAAGCAGAGGGCTCTTTTTAACATAAACATCTTCTTCGATGTATTCATAAGGTATGCCCTTAAGTTTAAGGACCATCTCGACTCTTTTGCTAAAAGGACTTCCCCATAATCCAATAAGCTTCACTTGCTCCTCTTTGTTCATCTGTTTTGTCCGGTTTAGAGAAAACTTAGCCTGTTTGGTTTTTGTGTGTGTGTTATATTGAGCAATGGTGGTGAGTAGCTATTTATAGTCACTTTGGGTTTGGTTAAATGCATGTACTCAAAATTATTGATCATGATAATTTGATTGATATTGCCAACAAAAAATTGAAAAGTACAATAAAGAAAGTATTAGTTGGTCAAGCTTTTTGACTTTCATGGAGGTTAGTGGTTGAGCATGTATGTGTTGTGATTTGATTAGTTTATGTAACTGATTAAAATTTCACTTAGTTTAGGGTGATAGTAAACGTACCATATACCTATTTTCATGGATTTTTCTTTTGACATTCTTTAGTTTAACGTGAAATATATGTTGGTAAGAGGTTAAACTATTAGTAGTACTAGTACCTGCAGAATTTTCAGAATTATAGCTTTTAAAGACTTTGTTTTGTGTAGAGTAGAGGAAAAAAGAGACTTTGTTTTGACTTTTGAGTAACGTTTTAGATCGGTGACACCGTCAGCTTTGACGGATTCAATAATACTTCCATGTTAAGTTTTTGTCTTTGGAATCTTTACATTTATGATTAGGTTTTCGTGGTTACGTAAGCAATTACGTTTACGAATGTGGAAGAAATGGGTCTCTCTAACCGGAAGTTTTAGAACAGGCCACATCATCTCTAGGCCCAATAGCGATACGAAACATCTCAAAGCCTCGAACTAAATACGCAATTTCATCAAAGCTGATATGAAGTAAAATTAAAATTTAGCAATAATACAAGTTTTATTAAATTGAAGAAAACAACAAAGGGTGTGAGTAAACCAGAGTAAAACAATTTACTCTATCTCCACAGTAGTTAGAGTAAAACTTTTTTTGTTATTAAGTGATTTAGATTTTTTTTCAGCTGAAAACTTTACTCCATATAAAAGAGGTGAGAAATTTTACTATGGTTTTTGTGGGTCCATACTCCATACCCTTTCTTTCAAACTTTTGATTCCACCTTATTACTCTAGTTTGTTTACCATTCAAAGCCCTAGAAGGGACAAATACACATTCAAGCTCAACTTATATTACTATAGTTACGGAGAAGACAAAACAAAAAAATCATTTAAGCCACAGAGCTTTTTTTTATTAATTAAAAAATTTACAAACACTTACTAGTAATCCGTTGACCAAAAAAAATCAAACTAAAACCTTAGGAGTCTCTGTGTCTTGCTCATCGTACTTAGGTTTGTGTTTCCTCGTGGCCCTTATATAACAAAACACCGCCACAAGAAAAGTAGTTGCTAAGCCGCCGAGAATAACTCCACCTCCGGCGACCGATCTTTCCACCGTTAAATGGTGGTGTCCTCGCCGAACAGTCTCTTCTAAATGTGAAACTTCCGGTGCTGCTTCTGACTCCTCTCTTGGCCAGACGTTCCCACCAAGTTTCCTTGCTGCCGGAGGCTCAGCTTCATTTGATGCTGCCGCCGTAGCAAAGGCGTACGTTAGCAAGCAGCCTAGAACTATAAGTTTCGAAACCATTTTACGGTTTGGTTGATAAGTTCTATGTTTTCTTTTCTTCCCTTGGCTTCCTTGGAGATAATTTGTGTTGATTGTGTTATTTATAGGACGATATTTTGTTTCTTTGGATTTTTCTTCTCTTGAAACAGTTTTCTTTTGTTTTAATCAGGAGACTAAAGAGATCGTGTGGTGTCATATGGAAATTTCCAGAGTGTTTGGTGTCCGGGAAAATCGGGTAGAAACACTTCGACTTTTGCCAGAAAAAATATTTTAGTGCAATTTTTTTTTATATAGAAATTAATTACTTTGTGTTCTTCAATGCAGCTGTCGGGTTGGCCGGAGGAATCATACGGGTGTACACGTGAATTAAGATACAAAATCTATTTTAAAATCAACAACCCATTCAAAAAGTCTAGAGCTTAATATATGTAACATTTTTCTTCTAAAGGACTATTTTAAGATACCTACATTTTTCATTTTTAAAAAACTTCAAAGTTTAAGCCGTATACTTCTAAACGAGTATATTGCACTAAATTTCCTTCTATCTTTTAGCTATGATAAAACTAAAATTATTTTACAACTGACTTGAATGAATAAACCATTTCAATGTAATCTCTCAATTCCTTCACCAAACAGCTGATTAAATTGAATATCTATATTTAGAAATTGAAACAAACAAATTAGGGATTTGAGAGGAGATAAATCAAAAATGATTTTAATTATTTGGAAAATATATTAGATCCCTAGCTACTAATTAAATTACACCTAATAAACTTTTATATACAAGTAGATTAAAGACAGAGAGATCTGTGATGTGTTTATATGTTCTGTTTGTCTGAGATGTGTTTTTCTTACTAGAGGAAGTGAAGCTTCTTTGTCTCATGGCAAAGACGAAGATGGTCGGGAACCAGCTTCCTCTTTGTTTTGTACTATTTATTATAGAATTCGTAATGTTGGGGTTAAAACAGAGATAGGAAATTGGTACATTAATGTTCAAAGATAAATATGCCAAAATAGTGACAACATGTGTAATTGTTTAATTACTTTTGTTTAGCAGCTAAATATCAAAAGTGTAAAAGGAATCGCCTTTTGAAGAGCAAATGAGAGCAGAACAAGCAAATGTTGCTTTTGTATTGCTTCATGACTTCGCCTTTCCGTTACTTCGACAAAGACAAACCTTTCTCCTCCTGTCGTTAGAGAAATTAAAGAAAAAGATCATTAGGTATAAAAGTTATTCTCATTACCTTTCTCATGATTAGCCTGTTGTTTTTCTTTGGATGCCGACATGTAACTTTGTTTCCTTCACGAAAAAAATCACGATTAGACAGAGTTTACGGTGAGATATAATCCGACAATCTTTACCAAGAAAAAAAATTCCCAAAACTTTTGAAAGATATTTTCAATTGGACGATTCATAAAAGTACCACAACAACAATTTTTTGTCCCAAAATTATCACCAATAGTTTTATCTTCCAACAACAGCACTAAAATTGATTTGTTCCAAAAATACCACTAAACTTAAAACTAAACCTAATCACCAAAACTAAATTTGTAAGTCCAAAATGTTCATTAATAACAACAACAACAACAAAAATCTCTTCAAAGGGTGACTAAGATCTGCACAACGTTCTCGCTATTGAATGTTGATTCTCATATGAAAGGTCTTTGGTAACTAGAGATTTATAAAGAACAACTTATAAACACCCCAATAATTAAAAGACTTGTTATATTAACAACCCGTAAACTCTAACCTAATGAAAACACGAAACTCAATCAAATAGGTCAAACGAAGAAAATGTAGCCGCTGGAACTATTTTTTTGTTGATATTTTGATGCAGCTCATGGATGTCTAGCAATATATTTTCCCTATATATGTAACTAGGTAAATAAATCAATAATTGTGAAGGGAATCGGTTCAGATAATGATCCGAGGGAAGATCTCTTTGGCATACAAGACACAATAAGAATAAACAAGAAAAGGCAGTCAAAAGAAGTCGATTATCATTTGTCTATTAAAAAGCATAATCCTAAGTTCCCATCATTGGCTCCTAAAGAACCAAGAATCTTTCTCTAATGATTTGATGTCTCACACTCTCTCCTTTTACATTTCACGCTTTTTGGCCTAGTGCTTACGCAGAAAACACTCTATGCAAATGAAGTGGCGATAATTTATTGTTTTGTCGACATCAAAAATAGCACTTTCTTTTGTTATTACAGTATATATGCAAAACAGTTGCCAAGAAATTCACGTTCTTAAAGAGAGCTATTGGTAAATCTAGTTTTAAAAGATTATTAAAAACCTTAAATTGGTAAATTTTAAAGAACACTATATAGTTCAGAGTACAAATTCTACATCGCATCGATCCGACGCATTTGTTATAGCCTTAACATCTATCTTGAACCAAAGCACGATTTTGATTTCCATAAGAGCATATGTTCTTATAGCATTAAACCTTTCGAATAAGAATATTCCCATTACTATTTAGCCTCAAAAGGCTTATAAATTCTCACATTTCCTGAGTAACTTCTCACCAACTAAAGCAAAAACAACAAGAACAAACCACAAACCATAAACCCTCCTAAAACAAGAACTTGGAAGATAGGGTAAAAAATGAAGAGCTACGGGGTACGAATCTACAGATGATAAAGTATTGGTTAGGACCAGGTAATCTGCATCCTGAGGTTTAAAAGCCTAATTAACGCAAAAACAAAAACACAAAAACATGATGCATATATGTATATGTGTTTTTATAGCTTTTAATCTTCGGGATGTGGATTACCTCTTCCTTACTTACAATACGTAATGGAGACACGATAGCTCGAACGGTTAGTTTATTTTGTTTTCTTTCAAACTTAGTTTTAACATACTATATAGTTAACACGATTATCCTCCACATACACAAGATCTATGCCTAATCGTAGGATATGTAAGTAGACTGTGTACGTACCTGCACATGCATGTATTACTATACGTATATAATTGCTTATACGTGTCTCCTACGCTCACCGGATAAAATTAGTTCTAAAGTCTAAACTAAAAAGATGCACATTCTAGACCCAAAAAAATAATGAGACCCTTTGGACATATATATTTTTTGGCGATTAGATCACTCATATCAACCAACAGAACAGTACTAACACGACTTTTTAAAATCGTATATCTATGTGAATTACGATTTCAGATTAATTCCAAATATTATAGTATCATAGAATTTGTTTTTCTACAATTTTACTCATGTTAAAACTTAGAATATAAATGTCCCTCGGGGACATCCGATAAAAAGCAAAAAAAAATTAGAATATTATATAAGTTGGGCTAAAACAAGAAACTGTAATGACTAGCACATGCGATAGTAGCTGAAATAATAGGGTGGCTTATGTGATTATTCCATACTAAGTTTTATAATCAAGAAAAGTTCAATTAATGACTCATTGCACGAATGCTCGATGGCAACGGTTGAATTGTTTACTATTAACTATCTATAGAGGTGTCTGATTAATTAGTCTATAACACGACTCTTGTGTCTCTTTGAATCAGTGATATATATTTTGTAGATTTATACTTAAACAGGGTAACTCTCAACTAATATATTCATTTTATGGCTAGTCTATAACTATACGCAAATAGAATTAGCGAATAGATAGAATCACGACATAGCTTTATCTATTGCTCAAGGCCAAGGGTCGTTCATTGCCTTTGACAAGTATGTTTTGGACCTTTGATTTGGCGGCATTTTGCTTCGACTATATATTCAATTAAGTTAATTGTATATATTCATTTTCAGTTAGGTGATCATTACAAGAAACTAAAGCATTGAGTTTACAATCAACATCCACCGTAAAACCATTACATTCTTATGCAAAAGAATAACAATAATAATCTATATATTTGTAAGTTGTAACATTGATTCTACCAAAGATATAAGATAAAAAAAGTTGGATAATCCGGCCGGTGACCACGGAAATCCAGTTACCTGGATCTTGTACTGGATTTTAGGTTTGAGGTTTAAATAGGTTTATATATACTGTTACCCTTGTACTAAAATCCAGTGTGAAATAGCTTTGAGGTTTACTGGATTTATTCACATTTCATAGATGTCAATAATACTGGAATTGTTGATAATTTCAGAAAAAAAACACTAAAATAATGCTAATAATTAACGAAAGCAAAACTACTGTTTTGTACTATTAAACTATTAACTGTGCAAGGACAAAAAGAAAACGCCAAAATGCTTGGTTGGACCATTTGTTTTGTCAACTGCGTATATGTTTATGTATATATAAAACTATTGAGAGTAAAAAATAACAACAATAACAATTTTTTTTTTCTTGAAATAATTTGAAATGATCAAATACAATTTAACAATTAAAATTTTGTGTCGTTTTGCTATAATGTTGAAAGGCTGCTGATCTTTGTAATTGTGATATACAAAGTGGTTAACATAGAGTTATTAATAGTATATCTTGAGTATGCATTGTTCATTTTACTTTAGCGGCCATATAAAACTAATGACATAGATCTTAAAAGAATGAAAATTATTATACATACTCTTAATTCGTATGTTAATCATATTGGGAATGGTGTACGGTCGATTCGACTGTTTTAGCCGAGTTGGAAGATGTAAATCTAATATTGGGAGTGTTAGTTGCGACAATGTTTTAACAAATATTGTTTTTATCATCGTATAGAATAAAGTATTCATGTAATGACATGGAAACAATTGTTTTACTTTTCTTGTTTTGTCGGTATGGTAGATTTTGATTAGAAGTGTTGATTAATTAATTATTCACAAAAAAAAGAAAACACGAGTTGACCATTTCATTTCTTGATCAAAACACTCTTCCTTCTCTTAGTGCTAAAATTTTCATAATCTTTCATCATCTTTCTCTTTTTCTACGGAAGAAATCCAAAACTTGTATGGACAACATCAAAAACCCTAAAACCCCGGATGATTATTCCAATCGCAAATCAAAAAACACTTATCAAAGCGTTGATGATTCCCTGAACCAGTCAAGATCTTACGTATGCAGTTTCTGCGTAAGGGGCTTCTCAAATGCTCAAGCACTAGGAGGGCATATGAACATCCACAGAAGAGACAGAGCTAAACTCAGACAAAAGCTTATGGAAGATAGTAAAGATGCTGTTGTCGAGAGTGATTCATCAGAAGTTGTTTCTCTAGAACTTAACGAACAACAACAAGAAGAAGAAGCTATGGCATGTGAAGACGATCATGATGATCAAGATCAAGACATGGACAAAGATACAAGTCCTGGCCAGAAATTAGGGTTTTTGGTTCAAGAAACCAAGCTTGGTGCTAATGATCGTGGAAACGTCGTGGATGGTTCGAGTTCAAGTAATCATGGGCAGAGTGAAGAATTGGATCTCGAGCTCCGATTAGGCCAAAAAGCCGTGGAGAAGAAAACATAACATACCAACGTTCAGTCATATATTGATTGCATTGTATGTATCAAAAGGGAAACAAGAAAATCTCGAAACATCAAACTCTCGCGAATCCGTCTATTACAAATGGATATCGTGGCTCAAATTGTATTGAAGGTATGCATGTGTATCTATTATTGCTACCATTATCATTGTTTGTATATATATTTGAAATTTGTTCTTGCTTTGGTTCATTTCATTTCCCAACAACTTTTGTAAATGACATACACGTCCAAACAAATTAAAACACTGTGTTTGCCATATGATTATTAATGGAAAATGAATAACTTTAACCTAATTCAATATTATTGATCTAGCCATCAGTGGTATAAATTTGAAACTGAAAGTGAAGGTCCAACAACAATCATCGAAAGGCTAAAAAATTGTATCAAACAGTAAACTCGTATAACGATTGCTAGAAAACATGTAATCGATAAAGTTGAACAAAACAATATATACCAAAAATCGAAATATATGCCTTGTTCAAGAGGTTCTTATTCATAATCCTGAAAGTGTATATGAATCGTACGTATTGTATCTAACCTAATTAAAATTATATGTCTGTTTTTGATAAAAACCGAAAACCAAAAGAAAAAATATTAGTACAAGTCAAACTAAATCTAGCAATCTACTGCCAAAATTTGTGACATTGTGTCATCATTCAAAAGCTCTATATAAGGAGAGATCATATATAACTCTATTGGGTATAGAGATATGACCATGAAAGAGCAAAAGTGTTGTGTGGTTTGGAGAAAAATTCATAAATTCCACAAGAACGCTAAACCAATAATGATAAGGCGATAGATTATAGATAACCAGTCAAACAACTTCAACCGAATCGGTTCGGTTTAAGTTTTTTGAATCAATCCGATTCGGATTATAATTTAAATGGAACCGGTTTTGGTTTGGTCATGTTAAAATCGAAGAAGTGCCAACGAAGACCAGCACACGATCCTAAAATCCTCTGCATCGTCTCCATCGCTGGTCTTCCATTATTGAGGAATCTCTTTGCCTTTTCTTCATAAACAAACCCCTCATTGGAATCTCCACGCAACGCTTCTCTCACTCTTTCTCGATTTCTTCATTTGGCGGAGCTCCTAGTGTTCTGGTAGTGGGCGGATCCGCGGGCGGCGAGATGGCTCCTAACGATCCTAAAAATGGCGGCGGCAGTGGTTTCTTCGCTTCTCTTGCTTCCTCGATCTCTAATTTGGGATCCGCCATGACCAAATCAGTTAACGGGTGAGGTTTTTGAGATCCCTTTCCTTAAACCCGGATATGCCACTCAGCTAGATTCGTATGCTAGCTATATCAATTTCCTGGGAATTTTTGCTATTTGCTTCTCGATTCCTTTTCAATTAACTTGTTGCGATTCGATGTATCCTATGTTCAGATCTTCTTCTTACGTATATTTTTTTTATTTCGGAAAATCCTGCTCCTTTAGTATTGATATCAGATGAGAGCTTAATTCACAGATGGAAAGTTTCGATCCACACTTCTAAACTGGGATTTGCTGAAAGTTTAGCTCTTGTGAAATCAGCTTAACGATTCGTTGTTGTTTGATTTGCTTCTCAGTTTGGTTGGCTATGAGGGACTGGAAGTTATTAATCCCGAAGGAAGTACAGATGATGCAGCAGAGGAAGCAAACAAAGGAAGATGGAAGCAAGAGGTATATATATGTATATATACGTCTTCTGCGTTACCGTCGTTGTCATTAACTGTTAATCTAATCATCTCTTTCACACGAATTATCAGGATCGCGATGGATATTGGAAGATGATGCAGAAGTACATAGGATCTGATGTCACATCAATGGTGACCCTTCCTGTGATTATTTTCGAACCAATGACAATGCTCCAGAAAATGGCGGAGGTTTGTTCTCATCTCAAACAATCTACTAATGTTTACTTCCTCTCTGATATAGTTTTGTAATCCGGATGATAAGGTGCTCTGTTTCTGACAGTTGATGGAATATTCGCATCTACTAGACATGGCAGACAAAACTGAGGACCCTTATATGCGAATGGTGTATGCGTGTAAGCACATCTCTCTTCCTTCCTTGATTTCTTCTATGATCAGTATCTGTTCTTGTAGATTATGTCTCCGTGTTGCTGAATTGTAAAGAATTGGTCTTTTGACAGCATCATGGGCTATATCCGTGTACTATGCTTTCCAACGTACCTGGAAACCGTTCAATCCAATCCTCGGTGAAACTTATGAGATGGCTAATTACAATGGTGTTAACTTCATATCTGAACAGGTAAAGAGCCATTTCTTTTTACAAATTCATAAGCTCTTTAGCTGCCAGCTTCTTCCAGATTATTGATAACAATGTTCTTGTTCTCAGGTCAGCCATCACCCGCCAATGAGTGCTGGTCACGCTGAAAATGAGCATTTCACTTATGATTGTACTTCAAAACTGAAAACAAAGTTTCTCGGCAATTCCATTGACGTTTACCCAGTAGGAAGGTAAATCTTAGAAAGCAACTTGGTATACTGAGATCACATTCTTCATTAGTACTATATCCTGAACCTTAAATGCGATGAATGTTTGGTGCAGGACACGGGTGACACTGAAAAGAGATGGTGTTGTTCTTGACTTGGTGCCTCCTCTCACCAAAGTTCACAACCTGATTTTTGGACGGACTTGGGTTGATTCACCTGGAGAAATGATCATGACGAACCTTACTACTGGTGACAAAGTTGTGCTTTACTTTCAACCATGTGGCTGGTTTGGGTAAGTTCACTTCACTGCAACATCATCTTCATGCAATTTTCCCCATTCAAAGCTGAAAAAATGTGCTTTTCATGGTCTCAACAGATCTGGTCGATATGAAGTGGACGGATATGTCTATAATGCCTCTGAGGAGCCCAAGATCCTCATGACCGGTAAATGGAACGAGTTCATGAGTTATCAGCAGTGTGACGGTGAAGGCGAACCTCTCCCGGGCACCGAACTGAAAGAGGTTTGACAAATCTCAGCTCTCTCATCTACTCCATTCTCTTTGCACAAAAGTCTCAGTTTGGTGACATTCAAATGCTGTCGTGTTGTTCATAGGTCTGGAGACTCGCTGATGTTCCAAAGGATGACAAATACCAATACACACACTTTGCTCACAAGATCAATAGCTTTGACACTGCCCCAAAAAAGCTGTTGCCATCTGATTCACGGTTACGCCCTGATAGATACGCACTCGAGATGGGCGACATGTCCAAATCCGGCTATGAGAAGAGCAGGTATGCTCATTAACTCTTTTATGATCTAATCTCAAATTGAAGTGAAGCTAACAATTTGGGATCTTTCTTATCTTGTTAACAGCATGGAAGAGAGACAGAGAGCCGAAAAGAGGACCCGCGAAGAGAAAGGCCAAAGCTTTACCCCAAAATGGTTTGATATAACCGAAGAAGTCACTCCTACACCATGGGGAGATCTCGAAGTTTACCAATTCAACGGAAAATACTTGGAACACAGGGAAGTCGCGGATAGCTCTGAAGATAACACCGATCCCAAGTCGATCGAATTCAACCCATGGCAATTCCAAGATCTTTCTGCGTGATTTCAAGAAGATACTCCAAAAGACCAAAAGATCAAATCATCTTTTGGTAACAAATGTTGTAATTCTTATTTCTCTCGTAGCTTTCAACAAACTCTGCTAGTTTTCCTTGGTTTTCTCTAGTAATAGTTTACAACTTATATTGTTCTTTTCTTCTCTTTTATTTTTTATTCAAATCTCTGCTTGATCCTCCTCATCGCCATAGTTAGCTTCTTCTTCTGCTTCTCCTTCTTGGGGCTTGCTTTCGCTCTCATCAAACCACCTTGGAGGATCGAATCCAGATCCACCTGTCCACAATTTACTCAGACAATTGATTTGATCGTGTAGAAGAAAAGAGAGTACAAAAGAAAAAAGAAAGTACCGAGAGGATTGCAGCGGCAGAGACGCCAAGTGGTAAGGACGGTGCCTTTGAGAAATCCATATTTCTTGTAAGCTTCCATTGAGTATTCGCTGCAAGTCGGGACGTAACGGCAGCTTCTAGGTAACACCGGCGATATCTCCCCTGTTTTCCACCGGAAAGCTCCATTAACGGGACCCGAGAAAACAAAATCCCTAATTACAGAAACAGAGGAAAGATTGAAAATGTGGTTGCTTACTCTTGTAGAATCTCAGCACCGCTAAAGCTGCTTTGACTCCCACGCTCTCTTGCTCTTCCCCATCTGAACTCAAACTCAACACAATTAGTTACAAAGCTCAAGTGGAGAGAAACCCAAATTTAAGATATAGAGAAAGAGAGACCTTGAGGAGATTCAGGGTCTGGATTCGAAGGCGTCGATGAGCAACGAAGACCTTGATGCTTGTTTTTCGGAGGAAGATGATGAAAACTCAGGCGAGAACTGTTGAATTTCTGGTCAAGTTTAGGAGGATTACGGTTTTCAGAGATCAAGAGTGTCGCATTAGGACAGAAGATGGAGACGACGACCGCCATTGAATTTAGAACTCGAAACTCAAACCAACAAAGCTTCTAAGTTCTAAGCAGAACTCTCGATGTACTATTAAGTGAAGTCTATTATGAACTTAGGTGTGAAACTTTTATTAATTTTATTCGTGTTGACGTTGGACATTTTCTTCTTATTCTTCTTCCAATCTGGTCACAAAATTCTTGTCTTATATCATTATAATATCAAAGAGCTTACAAGCTATGATGATTATGCTTTCTGCATATTGAGAAGAACCTGCTACTGATAAAACATTATGAAAGCCTTTGATTATCTTACAAAATGATGTCTTTTCACCTGTTAAGTTGTATGTATAAGCATAATTAGCTTTTGAGTTTCTGTATCCACAAACCTAACTTCCTTTTCCTTTTCCTTTTCAAGGAAACCAAAGAAAAACAGAGGAAATACAACAAAAACCTTAACTACCTGACACCATAACTTTCACAAACGAATCTTCCTGATCCAGTTAACCATGATGCGAGATAGAGAACCTTGTCAAGCAGAGTCTACTGTTGACTACACTGGCTAGTCTTGGTTTTGAGCTGAGGCGGCTTAAGCACCTGAGAAGGACGACCCATCTTCTGCCCCTTTCCGATGGAGCTCACCAAAGATTATAAATATATGGTTTTGGGTGGTCAGGGCTAAGATTTCGTTTCGGATGAAACAGGGGCTGAGTCAAAAGCTGTACGGAAACGCAAACCAGAACCGATATGCCTCGACGTAGGGCACAGCCAAGAAAGTATGTTCGGACCCAAAATCTGAAGAAGAAGAAACAGTTAAAAACTTAACAAAGACTAAACCTTTGACCACTACTGACCATATCTCTAAAGTAGACAAAGAGTTATTACCAAGGTCAGGTTATCATATGCGCCAATGTCATATGGATGCTTATACACTTGCCCACCTTTCTCTGCTAACCACATAGCTCTCACTCCTTCGTGGTACTGCTCAATCAATTTCCGCAACATTGAATTAGCTAAGGAAAATCCATAATCTAGCAACTGAAGAAGTGAAAAGGCAAAAGAAGAGAAAGAAGAAGAACAACCTCGATGGTCGTTTTGTTCTGCAAAATGAGGTAAATGTGCCACCCGAGAAGCACACCTAACGCGACGCTCATTGGGATAAGAAGAAAAGCTGAGAGTACATATATAGTTCTCAGATAGCTCCCCATCTCTTCGTCTTCATCTTGAAGTTCAACAGTAAGGCTTCCCACAAGCAAAACCTAAGAAAATCCAATGATAATGTATCAAGTGGCACACAGAGAGATACATTGACCTAAACGGGAGTTAGAAAATGTACCATGGAGTATACACATGCAGTCACCGCATAGACAACGAAGACGAAGAAGACTTTGTAGTTAGTGTGTCCTACGCAGTTGTTGATCCATATACAATGGTGGTCCTTCAAATCAAATACAAATGGTTTAACATACTATCACACGGGTTTTGGGCTATTTTGATGTTCAATTTGGCAAGAAACATAAGTGTTAAGGAGAGCATACCATTCTAAGCACACATCTTTTGCAAACTCGACAATGGTGAGCTCGCGGAGGTTTAAAATGTGAACATTTTTGGCAATACCTCAAATCTCCTCCCTGTAAATAACGTAACCAAAGCTTCATAAGTGGAGTTTCACCAGAAAGATCTAAGACCAGTTGCAAGAGAATCCCATAAAAGCCTCAAAACATAGCTCACATATGGAAACTGAAAGCTTCATACTTTTAAGATCCTAACAAGAAGTTAGCAACAAATCTGATAGCTTGAAAAGTTGAATTCACGCACACAAGCCCTCAAAACAATGTTACGAGAACAAACAATCTACAAGAAGCACCATCGATATAGGCAAAAAGATGGATTTATGTGTAATCCCAAAGTGTCAATCTTTAAGGTCCTCACTGATAATTAGAGGTTAGGAACAAATTTGACAACAAAATCTCTCAAAGGGAGTCAAACATCTACAAGAATTACCATTTCTCTAGTCAATCCAATACATCCAATACATTGAATTGATAATGTAAAGATGCTGAGAGATTAAAAAAAAACATTCTACAGAGAATTTACATTTTTAGTTTTTTGTTTTCCATAATCGGAAAGCTATTTGACCAAAATGGTAAAAGGAAAACAAAAAGAGCTGAGAAATCTCGGAATTGACTAATCATCACCGAGAAATGAAGGACCCAGAAACAGTTAAGAGAGAGAAGGAGGCAAAAAGAGGTCACCTTGCGCTTGATCTCATGAACAGGACTCTCCGGATCTTCGACATCTGGCATGTAATTGAGTGGAACACGACCCGGATCCCTGAAAATCGCGATGGAGTAATTGTAGACGCACATCAGAGCCAAGGCGGTGAACGCGGCGGCGTTCGCGATTCCGGGAGAGGAAGTGAGGCTGAACCACCGGTCGATGAAAGTGAAAACCGTTGAGAAATAGATGAAACCGATCACCATCATCACCACCGTCACGGGGAGAGAAAATCCGACTCCTTTTCGTTTCATTTCTATTTCCTCCTCCGACAAACTTCAGAGGGTTGAAACGGAGCACCGGCGTCGAGACGACGGCGTCTCCGGCGAGTGGATTTTAATTTAATTTATTTATGTTTCGATTGATGTTGTTGTTGGAGTACGTCTGAAGTTGTCGACGATTTTGGAGATCTCTAAAGTTAAGCTTCCACCTAACTAATACTAGATTTTTAATCCGCTCATAGCTTTTAAATTATCAAAACGTAATGGATTTACAAAAACTGTTTTATAAAAAATGTATTAAAACAAAACAAAAATTAGTTATGCTGTAAGAGAATCAAAAACTTATTTTGGTATTTTTAAGAATTGTCCTTTAATCTATGATATGCTAGTTTAATCGGTGATAAATAATTTTATTTTTAATTTTTATAATTTTACATGGAGATTTGTAGGAACATGCTAAAATTTTTAATATGTTGTTTTCATATTAGTCAGATGCATGCAAAGAATTTTAACATGTTGATTTTAAATTAGATATTTCTCACTATTGTTAGAATTTTGTCAAAATTTTATCGTTTCTTTTAGTTTGGGAATTGGAATCCTTAAATATAATTTGATAAAATTCAAATCATTTTTTTTTTTGATAAAAGGTTTTCTTGTATTGAAATATTTTTCGAATTTTCTTTAGTTTATATATCATGTGGATTACTTCATAAAATCCGGTATAAAAACAAAGCCTAGACTCTTTATCTTTCCAATAATATAGTATTGTTTTTTATTTCAATTAAAATATTTTTATAACTTATCTATAATTTTAGAATAAAACTTTAGAAAATATTATAATTTTTCAAGAATACATAATTTTTAAATTATTTCATAATAATCTTGTAAATAGATTACTTAATAACCCTATAAATTAATGAAATATTAAAATCCTAACATAATTAACTTATAAAGTTTCTAATGACGAAACCAAAGTGTCTAGGTTTGGTAATCTTCATGAATACATAGGCCTCGATGTCAAATTTCTGGGAAATAAAGTAAAAGTATTTGTTACGATCTTCCCAACAAAAACTAAGAAAATGTGGTATGCTTTTGTCTTAAAATTGAGATATTATTGGAGCTCTTGTCTATTTTTTTTTGTTTCAAAGAAAATTTCATATTATTGAATGTGAAAGTTTGTGGAGAATAAAACTCATATACCAAAACATTTTGGATTTTCAAAGAAAAAGTAATATAAAACAATATGAAAATAAGTAAGTAATAAAGTAATATACATATCAAGTTTTAAGAGATTAAAGTTGTAACATTAGTATTAGTTTATTTGTAGAGTTACATTTCTTTATAATATTATTTGCCACAAATTTATGGAGCTTATATGGAAGAACAAATACCTTTAAATGAAGTTTCACATGATGAGTCTCCAATTTGATCCCTATGCCCCTTTTGGTTTGCTTCTTATTTGCGTAATCCACAATGTGTTATGCGATCAATCACATAATTTATATGTGTTCCAATTATGTACGATTGTGTTGAATCATCTTTTGTTTCTCCAAATCCTAAATCCAGAATGTCTGGGTTTGCTTATATCTAGGTCTGACATAAATTATGGGACGATTATGACAGCTAACGATCTATTCAATATACAATTAACTTTTCAAATTTTTCCAAATGGTAGACTTGTGTAGTTCGAGTGATGCTCAACGTGACGGACGAAGATATAAAAAAGAAAAAGAAACAGTAAATTGATCAAGGATTTAAACCTGTTATTAGATTGGGGGATGGGATGAAAAGAATATACAAACGTATCATGATAATGACTCATCAGGTATTTGAACTAAGCCTCAAATCACTATCATATGTATATATTTGTGTAGTTATTTAATGTGGTTTATTTCATTTTTTCAAGATGAAGATGGTATACACATGACTCATTATTAATCTGTTCCACACTTTATGGCCGTCACTATTAAAAGAGGTGGATCCCATTCATAACTTATGTTGGCCATGAATGTTGAACTAGTTTTTAGATTTTGGTTTTTTTTTATTTTAGTTTTTGATTTTAGATTTTGGTTTTTTATTTTTTATTTTGATTTTGAGTTTATGTCAAAGGGTTGAAACCACACTTGATTAAATGTTATCAATGGTCTTTTAATATTGTACAACCCTTTGTTACAACTTACAATTTTGTTAATATAATCTCTGAATTTAAGTTTGTATTGTTCCACACTTCTAAGATTGTTTACTTCCCCCAATCAGTTCCATTCTCCTACCAATCTTCCAATGGCGGAGTATGTCCCGCAGCAACCGCTTGCAATGCCACATATTATAATCAAAACACACATTCCCATCTGCGAAAAAACAAATAAAATTATCATGTAAAAAATCAGATGTAGAATCAAAAGATTTACCACTTTAGGCATTAAATAAACAAAACAAATGAATGTGTGTATCTCTTACTTGTGTCTTACTCAATCTACCCCTTAAGATACTGAGATAACAAAGACACGGAAATATAAAAGCCTGCAAAGTATATAAACAACTTTAGGACATGTTTGATATGACTATATACAGTATATATATTTGAATATTCAAACTCCGATCAAATGTTTTTTTTTTGTCTGACCAAATGTTAATCAAAATTTGAATGGATGAAAGCTGGAAATTCTGTTAATGGAGTACTTACGATAAGCATTGCGAGGAATGATCCCACTAAAGCCCCCATGATCGCTGCAAAGTTATCACAACAAATGAAGTTGATATGGTTATTTTTTAAATTAATTTATTGCAAAGGAAGGCAGGATTTACCGAAGAAAGGGAATGTTAGTGCGACAACCAGAGTAGAGAGAACTAAAATCGTTCTAATAAATATTGATACTCCGTTGGATCTCATCTTCTCTGACGAAGGTATTAGTTCTTCTAAGCTTAGCACGATCGGTGTGAGAGTTAGCGCGTATTTAGTCATCGGTGTCATAACCTTAAGTGGGAGGAAAATTAGTAATCAAATTCTAGTATATATAGAAGAACAAAACATTTGTTATTTAATCAATTTATTTCTTACCGCTGTCCAAACTGCGATTTTAGATGACGTGAATTGTTGCGGCATGTTTAAGGTAAACTGCGATTGAATCTCCTCACCAAACATACTATAGCCGCAAATCGCCACGGCCATGTATAAGAATATGCAGAAACCGAAACTGCAAAATGAAGAAAAAGAGAAATGTAAAGTTTGACCTAATATCATTTACTTCTATTACAAGTAACCTGAAAAGCGACCTAGTGAAGAGCACCAAAGAGAACTTGGATGGATCTTTCATGGAAGAGTAAATATTTGGGAAAACCGCGTGACCACTGAACCCAAACCCAAAAATCCCGATGGCTACAGGTATGTTAGCGAGATCGAGAGCTTGTCCACCCGGGTGAAATCCGACTCCAACTGACCCGACCCAGAAGAGACAGAGAGCCAGCAAGATCGAAGAGAAGACTCCTCCGGCTAAAAAATGCAAAGCATGTAACTAGAGAGAATGATGGAATCTCAAAGCTATATGTAAGGGTTTGTGATCCAAATGGAACCTGAGAGATAGGAGAGTAAGCTAAGGTCTCTTAGCCAAACCGTAGGAAGAACAACAAGAGTACTTGCGATGGCAAAGATCTGCGAAGAATCTAGAGAAGCTCCAACGATATGTAAATAAATGTTAGGGAAGAGTTTAGACAAGTTATCACTCATCATGATTATATACTCCACACAACATGCGTATAACTCCATGTACAGAAGTATCTGCGCAAGTCAAAAACCCTAAGTATTAGTTTGGAGATGTTAGAAAAGAATCTTTAAGCATGTGTAAACGGTTTTCATAAAACTTACGGAGATGATGAGGCGGCCGGTGAACCCAAAGGCGGCTTGACCGATGTCGGGATAGGTGTGGAGGTCAGGAGAGCTTTCAAGACATCGTTTGAGGAGAATGCCAGTGTAGCAAGTGATGATGCCGAAGATTAAGAGTACTAAAAGCCCTAGCCATCCTCCTTCTTTCACCGCGTAAGGCATTGTGAGTAAACCTACTCCACATAAAACATTGATTCCTGCACACAATAGGTTCAACGTTGAGAGAGAGAGAGAAAGAGAGAGAGAGAGAGCACAAAGTCAGGAGAAGTTCAAAACGTGTTTGTAACATTGGTAACATGCCTATGTACAACCCTAAAGCTATGCGTGAGAACGGTTTTGAGACAGAGATGATATTAGGGCTTACCGTTGAGAACGGACTGAGGAAACGAGCTGCTGTTGTGTTCTGAAAATGAGAGATCGGTGATTGATAACTTGAGGTGAGAGGAAAAGAATGATTGCAGTGAGGATTTTTCTTTCTCGGGGAGAAGCGGTTGTTTGCTTGTGGAAGAAGCAAACGAATTTAGGTTAGAGTTGTGACGACGTCTCTTGAATAAAGAAGAGACCGAGCTGGTGAATGATGTTTGAGAACCCGTCAGGTGAATGAAACTGGTCGTCGGAGGTGTGACTCCGGTCAAGAGGTCCATAGATTGTCTGAATTTTCCATGAAAAGGTGGAATCTTTGTTACTGCAACCCTAAATTCTTGAGATATGATAGAAACAGAGTAATTGATTGTTTTACCGATAACTCCGAGGCCAAGGAGCGGAGTCGTTCCGGGATAATTGAGAAGATGAAATGGAGATAATTTCGTCGTCATCATCGGAGACGTCGACTTGGCATTCATCATTACCTGTCTGAAACATAATGTCACTTTCTTGCTCCTCAAGCTTCATCTTCTTTGTCTATGTTTCAGAACAGAGTACAAACAGAGCAAGCAACAGATTTTGGGATAGAACATACGAAACCAGAAGAACGAGTTGATGCTCTCTTGTGATTTTGATTTGATGTCATTGTCACGTCGACTTCTTATGAGACCATTCTCGTTCGTTATATTTAAAATTTAATTCAGGTTTGAGTGGAAACAACGTTTACAGTGTCAAAAGCCTTAAAGTCAAAGGCATTTGAGTGAAATGGATTTTGCCAAAATCGTGTATTACAAATGCAACAATCCCTAAACAATGACTTACTGAGTCCATCATTGTGCCAGCCGAGTCAAAATGATGGATCAATGGTGGAGAAACGGCAACGAAGGCTTGGTACTCTCTACTTTGGTGGCTCTAGGAGGAAATAACGACTTAACGAGTAGGGTTTCTCCGACAAGGCGTAGATGCTCACACGATGTGGTCAAAGCTCAAAGAGAATGGGCCCACGTAGGCTTCATAGACAAAAAAATATAAAAATGGCCCACATTTATATTACATAGAAAAACAACACTGCCGTCGATTTCGTCTCTTTAGGTCCGCCGATGTCGTATCCGGAGAAGAGAAAGAGAAGGAAGAAGAAGGAGCCGTCTCCAACACTTCCATCGACCCCAAATCCGGCTTCTTCATCCCCGAAAAAGAAGAAACTGTCGCCGACGCCGCAAACGAGCCCGTTTCTGTCGCTGCCCTATGATTTGCTGTTAGACTGCGTGGCACGCGTCTCAAGGCTGTACCATCCGACGCTCTCCCTCGTCTGCAAGAGATTTGGATCTCTCCTTGCTTCACCGGAGCTTTACAAAGCCCGGTCACTCTTGGGCAACACCGAGAGATGTCTCTATGTGTGCATAGGCCACGGTGCTAATGAGAGTCGGTGGTACACCCTCTGCCGGAAACCTGATAAAATCCTAGATAACGAAGACACCAAGTCAAAGTCAAGTGGGTATGCTTTGGCCAGAGTCCCATTTCCCGAATCTCCACGTGCTGACTTTGTGGGTCTCGTGGTGGTTGGTTCTAGTATCTACCAAATCGCTGACTGGGAGACACTAAAGTCTCAGTTCTGGATTGCCGGTCTCACACGTGGCGCGAGGCCCCAAGCTTCCCGGCGAAGCTATCGACACATTTTGCTAGCGTCGTCGACCAAAAGATATATGTAGCAGGACGCTACCTTTCCAACCTTTTCCACGTGTTCGACACAGAAAGTCAAGTTTGGGATGCTCTTCCGCCCCTCCCTTTCACTGGTAATCATCACGTCAAGGGAACCGCATGTATTGACGGAAAGTTCCACACGATTTCAACGTCGAAAGTGGACGTTGCTTACAGTTCCACGGAAGGTAGATGGGACCTGGTTAGATCAGGGATGAGCGAATACATGTCCAATAATTCTTATTGCGTGATAGAGAATGTTCTGTACTCTGCTTCCTATGGAGACTTCAGATGGTATGACAGTGAGGCACACAAGTGGAGAAATTTGAATGGTTTGGTTGGGCTACCAAAGTTACGTTGTGAGCATGGGATTCGATTGGCTGATTATGGTGGAAACTTGGTGGTTTCTTGGAACCAGCAGACGTATTATTCGTTTCTTCCCCAGACGAAGATTTGGTGCGCAGAGGTTTCGCTTGAACGACGACGCGAAAGCTGTGAAATCTGGGGGAAAGTTGAGTGGTTAGAGCATATGCTCACAGCCCCTAGGATCATTGATGTCACCAAGGTTCTTGCTGTTGCTGTCTAATGGTTAATGAACGCGTCACTACGGCTTGTACGCGTTTCTGTTTTTGGTAAACTATGCGTGTGTCTTCTTTTGGTGTGTATGTACGCACAACTATGATATTGATGGTGGCTCTCTCTTTCTGAATCAGTGTATTAAGCTTATTCTGTGTGACCAAAATAAATGGTTTTGAATATTAACTATTAAGCGTATTTGTGTCTTGAATAAACTCGCTTCTCTCTTTACATTCGTGGAACAACAACACACACTATGCATGTGCTGGCCAAGAGCTGGTAGCATAGGAACATGGACAACTAAGCTTCAGAAATGCTTACGAACAGAGCAAGCAACAGATTTTGGGACAATACGGAACCGGAAGAACGAGAGAACAGAGGAACGAGTAGGGTTTCTCCGACAAGGCGGAAATGCTTACGAAATGTGTGCAAACTCACACGATGTGGTCAAAGCTCAAAGAGAATGGGCCCACGTAGGCTTCATAAACAAATATATAAACATGGCCCACATTTATAAATTCCGCCGATGCCGTCAAAGAGAAAGAGGAAGAAGGAAGAGCCGTCGTCTCCGACGCAGACGCAGCAATCGAGCCCGTTTCTGTCGCTTCCCTATGATTTGCTGTTAGACTGCGTGGCACGCGTCTCAAGGTTGTACTACCCGACTCTCTCCCTCGTCTGCAAGAGATTTCGATCTCTCCTTGCTTCACCGGAGCTTTACAAAGCCCGGTCACTCTCGGGCAACACCGAGAGATGCCTCTACGTGTGCATACGGCGGCACAGTATTGATAGTCGGTGGTACACCCTCTGGCGCAAACCTGATAAAACCCTAAACAAAGACGACACCAAGTCAAAGCCAACTGACTATGCTTTGGCCAGAGTCCCATTTCCCGAATCTACACAATCTAGCTTTGAGGGTCTCGTGGCGGTTGGTTCTAGTATCTACCAAATCGCTCAATCGGCGGGAAACTATAGCGTCTCAGTTCTGGATTGCCGGTCTCACACTTGCCGCGAGGCTCCAAGCTACCCGGTGAAGCTATGGACACGTTCTGCTAGCGTCGTCGATCAAAAGATATATGTACCTGGACGTGTTCCGAGTTTTGTAGATGGCGATTCCGTTTGCAACATGTTCCACGTGTTGGACACGGAAACTCAAGTTTGGGATCCTCTGCCTCCGCCTCGCATCCCTTGCAAAGGAGGTAAGTATAGCGTCTTCGGAACGGCATGTATTGACGGGAAGTTCCACGCGATGACTAGCTCAGATGTGGACGCTGCTTACAATTCCAAGGAAGGTAGATGGGACGTGTTTAGTTCGGGGATGAGCGACTATATGATTGATGACTCTTATTGCGTGATAGGGAATGTTTTGTACTCTGCTTCCCGGGGAAAGTTTAGATGGTATGACCGTGAGGTACACGAGTGGAGAGGTTTGAATGGTTTGGTTGGGCTACCAAAGTTGGGTCATGAGCATGAGATTAGATTGGCTGATTATGGTGGTAACATGGTGGTTTTCTGGAACCAGTATCTATACAGGATGAGCAAGATTTGGTGCGCCGAGGTTTCGCTTGAAAGACGACGCGAAAGCTGTGGAATCTGGGGGAAAGTTGAGTGGTTAGATCAAGTGGGCATACTCCCTGCGGAAGTTGATCTCATCAAGGTTCTTGCTCTTACTGTCTAATGAACGCCTCCTCACTAAAAGGCTTGAACGTGTTTGTGTTTTTGGTAATACTATATATGCGTGTCTTGTTTTGGTCTATGATGATGCTCTCTTGTTGGATGAAAATTTTATTTTTTTTGTGTTGAATAAACTCGCTTCTCTCTTTACATTGGTGGAACAACACACTATGCATATATGTTGGTAGACAAGAGCATAGGAACTTGGGCATGCTAAGTTTCAGAAACCTTGAATTGCTCAAGCTGATACCACGTATACGGTAAAGTTATACATGGACCAATCCAGGTGATACCATAGGTATTTCTTCAAATACCTTATCCTTCATTGACCAATCCCTCTTCTTCTGGATTCCTTCGGGTTTTTTTCATCCATTTCCTCGAAATTCTCGGTCCGGTTTGAGTCCCAAAGGGTTTGCTATGTTCTTGAAGCTAAAAGTGTTTTGTTTTCTAAAATGTACTTCATGCTCTACTGTATTCACAAGTTGTCATGCATGTTAGATCGCCTCAATTTGATTGGTAACACCCATATTGGCATAATGCCACGTTGAATCTCCTGAGGTTGCATATGTATGTATTGTGATCATTTATGGAAACGATAATGAATCTACTGAGATTGTTATGTGGAACTGTGCAATAACGATGTTCATAGAAAATTTAATGAATCAATGTGAGATTTACTGAAACTGAATCAATGAACGGTTTAGCGAGTAAAAAAGCCGGTTTGACCAACCTAATACGATTTACTAGACCAAACTAAACAAGGTGCCCCATTCTTAATGGTTTATATTATTGGTCCTTATAAGCCCATTACTGCTGGGAATTTGGGAAAGCCCAATAAAGTTGAATACGCGCGTCATCATCGTCATCGCTTTTTGGCTTTTTCTTCGGTGGTCGACAAGGTTTAAGTTTTTTTCAGAAGCTTCGCGAATACTCTCCGGTGTTTTATAAAACCAAACTCGATTAGTCGACTCTTTCTTCTTGCTATTTACAAACACACAAAGATAAAGGTTTCGATTTTTTGTACTTTCATTCTTCTGTACCAAGTTTTTTTTGCGGTGGAAGCGTTCTTCAATGGCGAAAGACGGACCCAATTGGGATGGATTGCTTAAATGGAGTCTCTCTCACGCCGACGGTACCCGACAACCTCGCCAGTTGAGGTACAGACTTAATTTTGTAACTTATTAGCTTCTCTATTTGTTTCTACGAGATTGGATTGGATATTTGGATGCCTGGTGTGTAGATAGTTAGAGAAATTTGTGGAGCTATGATTTAGCTTTGTGAGTAAATTCAAATCTGGGTCTGTGTAAAATTTAGGTTATCGGTTTGATTAGATTCAATTACTGAATTCGGCAGCTTATATAGGGGAAAGGTTACCTCTTTTCTCGTTTTCCCTTGTGCCTATAAGTTTTTATGAAACTCTGCTAAGCTTAAGCGAATCCACTATTTGATTATGTCAAAAAAGCTTAGAACCTGTGTTATGTAGCCTTTGGTGTTTTATTGTTTGGCTGATTGGGTTGTTTGATGAGACAGCGAGGAGGATAGAAAATGGTTTATGGAGGCGATGCAATCGCAGACTGTGGATGTAGTCAAGCGCATGAAAGAGATCACACTGGTTATGCAAACACCTGAACAGGTTTTGGTGGATCATGGAGTAACACCTGAAGATCTCGAAGGTGCTTTATCCTCCCAAAATCCTTAGTTTCCTTCTTGTCTTTATCTTTTGCCATCTTTTGAGGTGTACTAATTTGAGTTATAATATGCTGTTAGATTTGCTGGATGAGCTGCAGGAGCATGTTGAATCCATTGATATGGCTAATGGTAAACATCTCTTACTTGGAACTTGACTGAAATCAAGTTTTTTTTTTCCGGTTTATTAAGTCCATCTGAATATTAACTTGCTTGGTGTTTGTGTAGATCTTCATTCAATTGGAGGCTTGGTTCCTCTTCTTGGGTTCCTTAAAAACTCTCATGCCAATATTCGTGCAAAAGCTGCTGAAGTCGTAAGCACGATAGTTCAGAACAATCCTCGGAGTCAGGAGTTAGTCATGGAAGCCAATGGTTTGGAGTCATTGCTTTCCAACTTCACTTCTGACACAGATGTCCATGCTCGAACTCAGGCTCTTGGCGCAATATCATGTAAGCCCCTTAGACTGATTCAAAACCTTCTTGTGCCTAGTTTAGTTTTGCTAGTGATAGTTTTACTAAAAGAGACTAACTTTTGGAATGTGTCATGTAGCTTTGATTCGTAATAACAAACCCGGAGTCAACGCTTTCAAGCTTTCCCAGGGCTATGCTGGTCTCAAAGCAGCCTTGGCGACTGATAGTGTGCGGTTTCGAAGGTAATCCACAAAGAAACGCTTTTTATGTTTTCTCTGGCTATTGTAGATTTTTCAGACTTGTGATATATTTGCTTTCTGAATCCTCCAGGAAAGCTTTAAACTTGTTGCATTATCTTCTTCAAGAGTATGACACTGAGTGTAGTATCGCTGTGGCACTCGGTATTCCCCGAGTGATGATGCATCATGCGTCTAGTGAAGATGCTGAGACCAGAGAAGCTGCTCTTCGCGGATTGATTGAGTTTACGAAAGGGAAACACTTTGGAAGTGAGCGTGGCACCATTGAGAAAGACGATGAGAAACTGAGGCAGCTTCTTGAAGAACGGATCCAAGGAATCAGCTCCATGTCACAAGAGGATCTCGAAACTGTTAAAGAAGAGAGACAGCTTGTGGATTCGCTGTGGAGGTTCTGCTACAATGAGCCTTCTCCGCTGAGAGAGAAAGGGCTTCTTGTTCTTCCCGGTGAGGACGCTTTGCCTCCTGATGTCGCAAGCAAGCTCTTCGAGCCTCCTCTCAGAGCTGCTGCAGCGAATCGTAATGTTGAGAAGAAAGAGGAACCTTTGAAACTACTTGGACCATAGGCGAAATGCGAGAGCTTGAAGCTAAATTTTATATTACTGTTCTTGTAACTTTACAAATTTTCAGAAAAGATTCATGGATATCAATGTCAAGAATCTAGCGTTATGTAATGGCAATTTCTATTATGATTATATTGAGATGTTCTATTTCGTTTTAGTAACAACCAATATGGACAGGTATACACGGATGCGCTTTACGTTCAGTAATCTCTTCTTCGCATCTCCTCAGCTCAGCTTGAGTGACGGCAGTACCAAGATCCTAACCGCATGATCCACAAACATTTATATCGAGTACTTGACCCGGCCTACTCATACACACGACCTTAATTTATGGAGTATTAGATTCAAACATATTTAATTTAATAATAGTTTATGTTAATGGTTTATAGCTTAATGTTTATGTAATAGGATAACAATTAACAAACCACTACACTCAACTTAGTTCAAGAGCTAAATGTCTTTTTAGAATATTTTTTCTATAAACACAGAAAAATTCGTAAGTAAATTAGTGACCTAAAAATTTCTAAATGGAAGTTAACTCGTGGCTGTGGAAGTTAACTCAAAGGCTTCACTCGCCCTTCTTCTTCCTCTGTCTCCAGACGGTTTGGGATGAGGAGAAACAAAAGATGTTTCAACGATCGATGACGTATATACTTGCGAGATGACATATATACTTGCGATTTTGAAGATGTTTGACGGTTTTATTCTCTTTCATACCTTAATCACTAGTTAAAGTATGTGATTGCTAAATGGAATTGTGCAAACGATGTTCATAAAAATTAATGAAATCAATCAACCAGTGGTGAGGAGTGCATAAAATTTTCAGAGAAATTTATAGATATCAAAGTCAAGAATTTAGTGTTATGTAATGGCAATTTCTGTTTTTGATTATTTGAGATCTTTACTTTGCGATATAAGAACGTTTTCAGCTCCAATTCTTCTTCAATTCAAAGATGTCGCAAAATTTTCTTTCCGTTTCGGTTTGGTAACAGCCAATATGGACCAGATATAATCTACCGGTTTAACTTGTAACATCTTGAACTTGCGAAGAACACATTCCGGTTTAGCATCAGCCAATAATAAGGACCAGATACAATTGACCGGTTTAACTTGTAACGTCTTGAACTTGAGCTGAAGCGAAGAACACATCAGCCTTCAGGTTATCCGTGTATAAAAAAAAAGAGAAGAGCCTAACTCTTAGGGCCCGAGTTCGATTCCAAGCAGTCACAAATCGGAGGAATCTCTCAACACGTCTCTCAGCTTCGGCTTCTTCAGCCATCGCCGCCTAGAACCGGTATGTTGTGCATATGTAATTATTTTTCCAGTTAAACCCTAATCCTTTCCCCTTTCTCGCACGATCGCTTAGAACAAATTCATTTTGCCATAAACAATCCGATCTTCTCTTTGTTGAACAAGCAACGCTTGAAGCTTTTAATTTCGAATTGATTGAACCCTAATCTCTGGGATTTTGATCGATTTTATCAGCTAAGTTGGGAGTTTTATGAGTTGAAGAACTATGGTGTGGTGTAACCACTGTGGGAAAAATGTTCCCGGAGTACGCCCCTACGATGGTGCATTGTAAGTGTTGATTTTGCTTCTTATCGTTGCTGCTTATTCGAACGGGTCAGTTTCTGTTGGATTTGATGTGAATACAGCTTCCGAATGATGAATTTCGTATTTGCAGGGCGTGTAATCTATGTGGGAGGATATTGGAAAATTTCAATTATTCTTCTGAAGTAACATTCGTTAAGAACGCGGCTGGACAGGTATACGCAGATGCGCTTTACGTTCAGTAGCCTCTGCTTTACGACTAGTGAATGTTTCACAGTTTGTAGGGATAATCTCGATGTCTCTAGTGGTTTGTGGATATGATTAATACTAAGATTAGGGGTTGTATATTATATGTACTTGTGCCTTTTAGCTTGATCCTTGCCTCCACTAATCTGATATTTTTCATTCCGTCTGAAACTTGTTTTTGATAGAGTAGACAACGGGTCTCTCTAGGGAAATGTAGTGGGTTACTTGAGAAATATGCTGCCTTGTCTTCTTGCCTTTCAATCATATCCATTGTTTGTGTACCTGCAGAGCCAAGCGTCAGGTAACGTAGTGAGTAGTGTTCAGAGTGGGATTTCAAGCTCACGCGAAAGGAGAATTAGGATTGGTATGCCTTTTCTTTCATAAAGAAAACTTCTGTTCACTGTTGGCCTAAAATAGTACAACTGATACATCTAGTCTACAGCTAATGTTTGACGTAATTATCTAAATTAGATTCAGCTTGATGATGCAATTTCGGATTTTGAACATTTTAGTTCAATAGTTGCTTAGGTGGTGGTGTATTCATGATTCTGTATTTCTCATCCTTTGTTCTCCTGCCAAATTTGAGACCACCTGGATGGTTGGAAATCAATTGCATTGTTACTCTTATGCAATTTTTGATCATTATACTTTGGTATGACTGACTTTGGTTTTTATTTGCAGCAAGATATGAGCTTACGAATTTGAAAAATGCCATGGGAATTGATGAGAGAGAGGATTTGATTGACATGGCTGTTAAATTCTTTACAGTATGTTTGGCTTTCATATTTTCTGAATATTAGTTTGTAAGGATTTTTATTTTCACCCCCCTTTTTTTTAAACTCAACTTTTCTTCTGAAGATGGCAGTTGAGCAAAATTTCACTAAAGGTCGCAGGACTGAACTTGTACAGGCTTCCTGTCTCTACTTGACTTTCAGGTTAAATTCTTATTAATCGTCTTGTTGCTCTTTTTGTTTTGTTTCCTCTTTATAATCTGAAGAATGTTACCATCATTCATTGTATATTGACCAAAAGACTTTCTTGATCTGTAGGGAAATGAACATTCCGTATCTTCTTATTGACTTTTCCAGCTACCTTCGAGTTAGCGTGTAAGACTAGTGCTTGCATTTCCATACTTTTCTCTTTCTTTTGTAGACTAGTTACCTTTTGTCCAAGAATTGTAATACGGGTTTTGGTGTTTTGGTTTCTTTAAATCTTGTACAGCTATGAGTTAGGTTCTGTGTACTTGCAACTATGCGAAGTGCTGTACATTGCGGAAAACAAGAATTATGAAAGGCTTGTTGATCCTTCGATTTTCATTCCTCGGTTCTCAGACAGTAAGTGTGACGTCTTTTCGCTCCCATTTATTTTCTATATTTGGTTAATGCTGAAATTTACTATTACTCTATTTACTTTAGTTGCATTGAACATCACCCAAGAAACAGACATTTATATCGAGCCTACTCGTTTCATCATACAATTGCAGGCTTATTGAAAGGTGCACCGAATAGAGCTCTCGTGAACACAGCTCGAGACATTATAGCTAGTATGAAAAGAGATTGGATTCAGGTGTGAATTCTTTTTGTTAACTAATCGTTGTTTCCTCTGTGCCCTTTGTCTTAGCGTTAGTATTTGTTATGCCTTGTGCTAATACTAGCCATGCATTGGTTTGCAGACCGGCCGGAAACCTAGTGGTATATGTGGAGCAGCACTATACACAGCTGCGCTTTCCCATGGTATCAAGTGCTCTAAGACAGATATTGTAAGATTTGATTATTACCTTATAAAAACAATTGTGTAAAGATGAGAGGAAAGACGTTTTAGCCTTTTGTTTCAGTAATTTAGTGCAGATGCTGATTTTCTGTGTTCTCTAAATATTTCAGGTAAAAATTGTGCACATATGTGAAGCAACTCTAACCAAACGATTGGATGAGTTTGGAAATACCGAGTCTGGAAGTTTAAATGTGAGTTAAGGCTAAGTTTCTACTTGTAGAGTTGTTCGCTAACTGGTTTGAGTATCTTGCATAGTCCTTTGCTATTGGTTGTTTTCATTTGCAATAATAGCGAAACATAGGGATAATCTTTTTATCGCCTAATATCACTTGAAGAACATGTTAATAAAAAATATTCCTAACGGCTGTAAATTTTTGGCTAGGTTGAAGAACTCACAGAAAGGGAAAGGGAAAGGGAAATTGATAAGAGATCTTATACCCCAAAACAAAAGTCTATCACAGAGGCGGTGCTTTGTATGCATACGAAAGCAAAACCTCATGGTTATGGACTATGTGAGAGCTGTTACATTGATGTAGGTCACTGGTTTGATGCCTGATTTGTTTCCTTCCATGTTTTTTTGTTTGTGAGTCTTTTAACATTCATATGCTTTTGCAGTTCATAAATATTTCTGGAGGAATTGTTGGTGGGTCGGATCCTCCTGCTTTCCAGAGAGCAGAGAAAGAGAGAATGGAAAAAGCAGCTAGAGAAGAAAACGAGGGAGGAATTGGTAGCGTAAACCATGACGAACAACTAAATGTAAGTTTATATGCATTGCAGTTTAATTAATTTCTTCCTACTTAAAGCACCTGTATAGGAAGCTTGTTTAATTTTGCCTTGGTGGAATCTTATGCTTATGCTTCAAAACTTTCTGGTGTCGAACTTTTGGCAGTCCGTGAGAGAACCAGACTATTGCAGTGTGAGCAAAAGCGAAAAAAAATGTTCAGGTGAGTGCTTTCGCTGTCTACTCAGATTAAAAAGTTTCGCTATTGTTTGAGGAGCACTTGAGAATCTTTGTGTGCTGTGTCCCAGAGAAAGGTGAAGAAAAGAAAGATGGGGCTGATGGAGATGCTGCATCTTCTGATGAATCAGACAACTTTTCTGATATCAGTGACGATGAGGTCAACAATTATTTCTGTTTTCTTGTGTTGTTATATTACATGCTAAGTGGTCGAATGCTCAACTTCAGATATATGACAATGAATGACAAAATTCAAAACACTGTCTCAGTCTCTTTTTCTTATAACAGTTTCGCTTGTTAGATTGATATTGGTCGTAATATGTTACTGTTATCCAGGTGGATGGCTATATTAATAACGAGGACGAAAAGCGCTATAAGACGATCATATGGGAAGAACTGAACAGAGAATACCTTGAGGTTATATCTATGGCTATATCATTTTATCTTCTCGTGGTTTCCTTCTGAATTGTCACATAAGAATCTTTCGAAATTTTATTGGTTTGTAGGAGCAAGCAATTAAGGAAGCAGATCTGAAGGCGGCTATGGAAGCTTTAAACGCGAGCAACTCCAGTTGCCCAGAATATGCAAGAAAGCTTGCTGAGGCTTCTAAAGCTGCAGTGTCAAAATCTAGAAAGGTGACGACTCTATGTTACTGAATCTTGACTTCATATCAAGTATCTGACTTATGGAGAATAAGATTAATTCGATGAATGAGATATGGTTTCTTAATCAAATGCCTGATTCTTTGTTCTCTCTTCTTTAGGAAAAGCAGCAAAAACGAGCCGAGGAAGCAAGGAACGCACCTCCCCCAGCCACAGCCACGGAAGCTGTTCGCAGAACGCTTGATAAAAAGGTAAAAATGTCTCTTCTTTGATGCCTTTTAAGACTAAGAAGCGCTTATGCAAAGCTTTGAAGAAGTTTTTGGAGTTTGTGTTTCTTCTTGTTTCCTGACTTTGAGTCTCGATTCTTATACAGAGACTTAGTGGGTTAATCAACTACGATGTCTTGGATGAGCTTTTTGATATATCTGTAAGTTTCTTTTTTACTTTTCTCTTCTTGTTTCCTTACCTCTCATCGCTTTCAACTCTATACAATTTTCTTCTCATTTCTTTTTCAGCCAGCCGAGCAATCACCCAAGAGATCAAAACTCGAGACAGTCATGGAGGAGAAAGAAGAAGTGAAGAGCAATGAGCATGAGGATGGTGAAGACGAAGATGAAGCTGAAGAGGATGAATACGACGTGAACACAGATTTTCCAAACGGCGATAAATTATATGACGAGCAAGAAGAAGAGGAAGGTTATGACTTTGGATCGTATTGATATACAATTATGACACTAAGTTTTCATCTTTTTGTCAGACTAGTTGAATTTATGTGGATTAATAGTAGGATAAAAAAACGCAAACAAATGTATGGCTCTATAGAATCTTTGATTCTCTATTTTATGTCAGTGACAAAAAGTTTTGGGAAAGAAAAAGAAACGCAAACACAACTGCTTTATTTGTTCCATCAAATTGTTGATTTGGTATACCTTCGCTTCTCATCTCTTTCACTCCTTTGTTACGTTAGAATCCTTGTTTGCTACACGGGTTATTGTTTTTGTTGATGATTTAAGTTATTGTTACAGCAATCTATATTGGTTAAGCAACTACTTTAGTACCAACTAATGATTTTTTATTTAAATTATGTCTTATTTTTTTCAAATAACTTAAAGTAAACTTTGAAACTAAATTTATATAATTTAAGTTCGAGTTGTTTATTTCTTCTAAATTTAGTACAGTATAAGATAAGTAATTATTTAATTGATTATAAACATATGACAAGTGACTTAATTTATAATCAAAATGAAACATATTAATTTTTATAGCTTCTTTTCATGGTTATATTATATGGTTATTCAGTGAGATAACAGTTTACAAACCACTAATAACAGGTAGCAACACTTGCATAACTCAACTTACTTCTCCTATTTCAAGAGCTAAATGTCTTTTTTAGAAGATTTTTCTATAAATCCAATCAAAAATCGTAAATAATTGATGAACTTTTATGAAATTTCCCAAAATATACCAAAAACAATATCAAGATCTCACATGTTTTTTTGTATTTGAGAACCAAGAAGTTTAATTTCTTCTTTTGGGCCTAACGGTTTTCTTCAGCCTAGTAGTTAATGACTTAAAATCACAAACCGAATCTGACGGTCCAGATTCACCTTCAAAGCCTGGCATCGTATACGTGTTGGATGGTCAACGGATCAGCTAATAGTGCCGTTTGAGGTTCAAACTTCTGTTTCTGAGGTTAACTCTCTTCCGTTAACGTCCGTTATTACCTTTGACCTTTCCGACTCTCCACTTCCCAGGATAAAACCATTGACGGCGTTAATTCTTTGGTTTGTTCACTGAACCAACTAAACCAGAATTCGCTATGCTACTTCCATTTTCATCAAATCAAAATCACTCTCAATCAGAGAAAAAATAGCACCCTCCGGTACAAATTCTTCTGAATTGAGGGAGTTATATACCGGTTTGGTCTGGTTGACTAGTTCTTCGGTATGTGATGAATGATGATAACTGATAACTACAAGATTGAACCGGGCGGTTTTCGGAGAGTAGGTTACTTTTATGGTAAAAAGAACGGCAGATAACGGTGACGTCAGCTGGAGAAGTATTCGTTATAATAGTAGAGAGAGAGAGAGAGAGAACTAATTTAACCCTTTTGGGTTTTTTTAATGTTTTTGATTTTCTTGTTTCGATCCAAGTCTCCTCTTTCTCTCTCTATATCTCTCTCTGGTTCAACGGGCAAAGTATTTTTCGAATAAAGTTTTGGTTTTTTTTTTTTTGTTAACGTTCCCTTCGTCTTCTTCTTCTTCTCTCTGCTGCCGAATTCGTGCATCTGTGTATCTCGATGAGCTGCATCGTAATCCCACCGGCTTGTTCTCCAGATGAGGTTAGTCTATCAAATCTGATTTTAAGGGTTTTGGTTCTTGTGATCATCGGATTGTAGTGAAATTGAGTTCACGGCTGTTTTAGGTCTGAAATCGAAACGAATTTCCACCGTAGGGATTCTTATCAATTTCTGGGAATTAGAATCGTTATAAACCCTAAATTGTATTCTGTTGATGACCGAGTGATGAGCTGTTTTTTTTTTTTACTGATTTCACGATTTGTGAGATCTGGATTCTTTCTGCTTCTTGTTGGATTGGATTTTCTAGGGATTTCTGTTTCTTAATCGAATTCTGGATTTTTTTTTTTCTTTTGGCTCATTTAGATGGATCTTCAGGACGAAAAAGGTGAAGTGAAAATGGAGGATGAGTGTATTGAAAACAAGCAATCAACAGCTGCTTCGTGCTCCTCTGTATCTGAAGGCAGTGCCAGTAGTTTACTCAAGTCACCTGCGATTGCAAGTCCCGTCACGCTATCTCCAACTCACAGGTAACTTTGATTTACAAATTCTTCTTCTTTCTCTGTGTAATGTTTAGTTTCTACAGGGGATTGATGTTGATAGCTTTTGTTTTGCAGGAGGACGAGTGGTCCTATAAGGCGAGCCAAAGGCGGTTGGACTCCAGAAGAGGTTTGTAGTAGTGATTGCTTTGAGCCTTTGACTTAGTATAAAAGTATGGATCAGTAGGTGAAAAACTCAAGATGAGAATTGTCTTGCTTGATGCAGGATGAGACATTGAGACAAGCCGTTGGCACGTTTAATGGGAAGAGCTGGAAGAAAATAGGTAATTCTCTTGTTATTTCCTTTTACTCTAAATTCTCTAGTGACAGTAGTAATGTCTGTGTTGCAAGATATGCCGATATTTCTAAATGCCTACTTGCTTACATCACTTATTAGTTCCAGACTCATATTTGTATAGTTTTATGAATTCCGCTCATTGATTAGCTTGATCATAAGAGCTTCTTTGAGCAGCTGGTTGTGTGAAGCATATAGTGTGTTCTTGTTGTCTCAACTGGTGTTTTTATCTTTGCAGCGGAGTTTTTCCCCGAGAGGACTGAAGTTCAATGCCTGCACCGGTGGCAGAAAGTTCTGAATCCGGACCTTGTAAAAGGACCTTGGACACAAGAGGTTCGTTCTGTTTCTGACTCTCTGTTTTTTTTGTTTGGCCTTTCCTTTATATGTGATGCACAAGGTATTAAAAGTTATTGTTTTGTAGGAGGATGATAAAATCGTTGAGCTTGTTGAAAAGTATGGACCTGCGAAATGGTCAGTTATCGCAAGGTCTTTACCAGGTCGAATTGGGAAGCAATGTCGTGAAAGGTAATTAGTTAAAGCTGATCAAATCCTTTTTCTTTGTAGTTATCTTGGAAGCTTGAATGTGTTTTGATATATGTATATACAGGTGGCACAACCATTTGAATCCTGGTATTAACAAGGATGCTTGGACCTCAGAGGAAGAATTAGCTCTCATGAATGCTCATCAAGTCCATGGAAACAAATGGGCTGAGATTGCTAAGGTCTTACCTGGCAGGTATATACTTTTCTTTGGCATGCTTTAATGGATTTGGGACTCTGCAGAAGGCTTAATGAAACTGTTGACTTAAAAACTTGATGCAGAACCGACAATTCAATAAAGAACCACTGGAATAGCTCACTGAAGAAGAAGTCAGAACTCTACTTTGCTACAGGTGTCTTACCACCAGCAGTAGCAAAGAACTTTGCTCCTGACAGTGCAAGTAAACATTTCTCGTCTTCTCAGAAAAGGGATCCTGATTCAGTTGCTCAAGCTATGGATATAAGCAGTCCATATGAAGACAGAAAAGGCCAATTAAACTCTTGTGTTCCAATTGCAGAAGTAGTAGCAGCTGCTTCACCAATGATGACCGATGTGAATGGGTATGCTCGTCGCTCTCCTCAGCTGCCTAACACAGAGCCGTTGCCAGAGAATGGTTATCATCATTACTACAAGCCCCAATATTACATGGCGTCAGAAGCGGATAAGCAGCGGATGTACGGGTATGACGAATGTGGTTGCAGTCCAAGCGCATCACCGGTCATCTTCTTCACTCCACCGCCTAGTAGAAAAGAGTACAGTAACGGTTTAGCTCCAAGAAGCCCTGAGTCTTTCCTGAGAGAAGCTGCTAGAACTTTCCCAAACACACCTTCTATATTCAGGAAAAGACGACTCAAGATTGTTGTTCCGGATGCCGCCGAGAGAAGAGATGAAGAAGAAGCTAAAGAGGTTGATCAAAAGGTGAATGATGATGATAGAACAGAAAGCCCTGGCTGTGAAGAGAAGGAAAATAATGGATCAGATGCTTACAATCTATCTCCTCCGTACCGGATCAGATCAAAGAGAACAGCTGTTTTCAAATCAAGACAGCTTGAGTTCATCTCTGCAGAGGAAGAGAAGGCTGATGATGAAACCAAATCACCTGAGGTAGATAAGATGGTTGATGGAGACTCTCAACTCCTAGGGTAGAAAAAGGAAATGGGATCCGTTCGTTACACGATTAAATTTTTCATTGGTTTTTTTTACATTTTGTTTTATCTTTTGGGTTAATGTGAAAGCTGTAAATCCAAAGAAGAATTTACACCGTACATGAGTTTAGGTTCGGGTTTCTAATAACCCAAAATAAAAGTTTTAATAGTACAACAAAGCTAGAGATCAGTTTCAGGCCAATACTAGACTCCACCAAACCCCTCTCATGTGTCGTTTAATCATTATGTCGATCTTTAGTTGAACATAGCCACCAGGTTGGGATTCTCAAGTGCTGCAGCGACACGCTCTTTGTCCGCTAGTAGTTTATTGACTGCATTTTTATAAGACCAAATTGAAGAATCAGTCTCAAAAACTTTTATTTCAATTGCAACCAAAACTGTTAAAACGCAACTAGTCTGAAATTTTTTTATACCTGCAGCTTCTTGTGCATGACTCCCTGGTGCTACTCTTACATTAACCTGAACAAAAAAGAAAAATGAAGGAAGTTTAGTTACACAAAAATTAGCCTAAATATTCTGATTGCTCTTTGATTAGAAACAAGTTAGTCATTGTACCTTAAATCGAGCAGGAAGGCTTAGTCGAAGTTTTGCGTAGATGCAAAGACCAATTACGTTTGGCACGTGACAATGTGGAACAGTTGGCGTGAATGTAATTCTGTAAATAAACATCGAATTATTTTAGCAGACTTGGACTAAAAGGAAAAGAGTAATTTAAGTCCCACTTTTTTTTTTGCTTTTTACCTGACGTAACTCTTCTCGTAATCCAATTCAACTGATTCTTCTGTAATCACATGGAGCTGTTCCAGAGAACGATCAGGATGCTCTGGATCTTTGATATCTCTTATATGATGTGTAGATTATTAAGGAAAACAATTAAATTAATCCAATATTAATACTCATTAATTAGTACGAGAAAAAGTTAGAATAAGAAATTAAGGATATCAAAAATCTCGAGCTCATCTATCGGTTCTACTGAATACTCGTCGGTGCTACTGCTATGTTCAGTACGAACACGACGTTCTTTCTTCGGGTAAACAATCGGGTTCGCATTAACCAACGCAGTATTCATATTTCCTCTTCTTATCAAATTGTGGGATCGGGAACCCTATAAGTTACCGCAGTAAAAGCTTTTTATCGACGTTGGAGTGTATATATACATGATGTGGACCACTCCTCTAGTTTCAAAAGGCTATTATGATCGGGCCATAGTTTCTAAATCGAACCCAATATATTGAGACACACGCAATCTTATGTATTGTGCACGTGTTTACTGTTAATGAGGCTTTCAAACTTTATTATCCTCATCTCTTCAGAAAAAGTAGTGCTAAACAAGGAAAATATTCGGTTTAGAGTGGATCTCACGCGCCACGAAAGTTTCTCCCAAAAACTTCACCGAGCTTTTCGTCTCTTCTCTCCGACTTGAGGTCTTCTCCGTGCTCGGCGCTTGCCGATGCCGTGAGGGGACCTCCTTTCTCTTTAATTGCGTTTAAGATCTTCAACGGCGGTTCGATGGATCCAACGACATGAAGATTAGATCCAGTTTCTTCTCCGGCAGCGATGGGCGTGGATAATCGGTGGGAGAGGCGCTGCGGAAGCTCGGGTTGCTCAGAGAGGCTGTCGCTAAACTATCCATGGGTGAATCTCTGCTAGAGGACGGCGGAATAGCTTGTGGTGAGTTTGACGATGGCGGATCTGAGTTTCGAGTTGTGTCTCTCTTCGCCGGTTCGGTGGGTTCGCTGCATCTCGTGAAAAGCTCCGGTGGAAGGTGGTGTGAAGAAGCGTGGGGATGGCGGGTCCTCTGTCAGATTCACTAAATCTGATGCTGGTTCGAACTTCCGTCGGATTGAAGTTTCTAGGGTTTGCGGAGGAGGAGGCTAGAGTAGGAAGCGTGGGCTCTTCTTTGGTGGTGGAAATCTTTGTCACTGTGAGCTGATATTTGGCTTTTGGTGGTGTGGCCGTGGGGTTATGGATCTATGCTCAAACCAAATCCCGGAAGAAGTGTGGCGGCTTGGAATCTAGCCGGATACCTACCGAACGGCGGAGACGGAGACTCCGGTTTACTAGGAGGTGGTTCGGGGACGGTGAGGGGTTGTGCCTCTTCTTTTCTCCGCCGGAGGACGGTGAAGAGTGGTCTCTCTTTTACCTTTTCCCATCTTAGAGTAAAGCCTCATAGATTGTAGTGTTGCGTTTTTGATCTGTTTCCTTACCGTACTTTTGTCTGATTGTCGGAAAGTGTAATCGGCCGATGCCCATTTTTTTGGGTTGAATTAATAATATATATTTTATTAAAAAAAAAATAAAAATTGAGTAGTCAATAAAATTGGAGTTGTAGAAGACCAATGAACAAAACAAGAGTAAAGAGCATTAAGAAGCTTAATATATTTTTGTCATTCCACAGAATGAGAATGAAGTACAAACGGGACCATTAAACCATGGTCACACTCACATGGCAGAGATATCTAAAGACAGATGACCAAAACACAAACGAAGACCATAACAAGGCAGCAGCCGTTATTACACATAAACCACAACTAAAACACCATTAGAGTTAATTATTATTACTTAATTAAAAAACTGGATGATTATCTCTGCCTATTTTTTAAAAAGGGTTTATTCATTTACAGGTGCAAGGGTCACACTTGCAGTCAGATCCACACTTGCAAGCATCGTTCTCAGCGCTACTCTCGTCGGAAGCCTCGTACTGGTTCTTCATCGCCGGTGCAACGCCGAAGACGAATGTCTCGGTCGTGGTCGTCTCCGCGGTAAATCCCAAGTCTGGGTTCCTTTTGCAACTGTAACAACCGAACAATACTCGTCAGCATCCGATCAAAACAGAGATCCTCGAATTAAAAATGCAAAGAATTTCAAAAAACAAAATTGATATTTTCGAAAATTCAGAATTCTCATATTTTCCAGCTCTTTCTAATAACCAATTCAACCGTAAGAGAAATGTCATCCTAATGAAGCGAGAATCAAAACAGAGCCTCGAGGATCTATGGATTTATAAATCCCGAATAATTTTCAAATAGCCACCCAAAATTTCACCAAAAAATCCGAGAAGCTAATCGTAAATAAACAATACACCATCGATTCAAAGTTTTTGCATAAAACCAAACCGATTGCACAAAAAAAAAAACAGAAAATTCACCGAGAACATGCATGAAACTAAAGGAGAGGATCGAGACATACCCTCCGCAACCGTTGCCGCACTTGCAGCCAGATCCACATCCACAGTTTCCGCCGCAGCAAGACATTTTCTCGAGAAAATTAACCGAATTTGATTGATGGGAAAGTATTGGGAAATTGTTATCACGAAATTGAAATTTGAGGATTGAAGAAGCGCCCAAATTTATAAGCGAGATAAGAGAATATTGACCATACACGTGTCCCGATCTTTCTCGTCTTATCTCCTAAATATCCGTCCAGAACGAGTTCTTATTTACGTCTTTACCCTTGGCGTATTGATTCTCGTACGTCGGTTCAATAATTGGAGTCTTGAGTCGTGTTCTGGTACGTTCTAAGGCGTTCCGGTGTTCCGTGTGTTACGGTTTTATCACCGTTCATTTACACCGCCTTACATGCATATCTAAATCTACGGTTGTGATCTAAGTTTACTCTATTAAAAATAGAATCCTAAAACAAATTTTTAATCACCTACTGAATCATTTCACACTTGAATACTTGGAGATTCAACTTGAGATATGGATTGATATTCAATCTTTAATTATTACTCCCTTTATCCCAAATTATAAGCTATTTTGAGCTTTAGCACAAATATTTAAACAACATTACTTTATGTTTTTTATAATCTTTTGAAACACTTAATAAAATAAAAAATTAAAAGTTAATCAATCTCTAACTTTCTCTCTCTCAGCATTGGTTTCTGAAACAGTTTATATTGTGGGACAAAATTTATAAGCTAAAACAGCTTATAATATGGGACAGGGAGTACCGTTTTACTAATAGTAAACTTAGATATTATTAGCAAGGAAAATATCTTCCTCTTTTAGGCATGGAAACGAAAAATATCTAAACAAAGTTGATATGCACATAGCACATTACTAGAGTTCCTTTTTTGTCGTCTCTAAATCAAAGAGGTTGGCCCAATAAGAAGAGATTGTCTTGTGGAACAAAACCATAGATAGTTTGCCTGTTTAATGGTTTGTGTATGTATCAATTTTACTAAACTATATTTGTCGTTAAAAAAATACAACATATTGAACAGATAACAAAAACTCAATGGACGACGTCTCCCCTCGAAAAGAAAGCCTACCTTACTTTAATTAGTCTTCTCCACAACAATAAATATTTACATGGAAGATCTCCAGATTCTTCCTTCAAGTGAAATGACAATCACAGAAACATCGTCGTGGTACTTTCGACGATCTCCTTGCGGAATTTCCAGCAATTCATGAAAGTCCATACCTAAAAGAAAGAAAGAAAACACGTGTACATTAGTTTAACTGTAATCGCCTTTTGCATCTTCATTAACAATGTTTGCGTTTAATACCATATTTCTTGGCAGCTCGAAGGAGGACCTCTTGGATGAGATGTTGAGCAGGATCGCCTTCAGGGAAAGCTGAGATGAATGAGTCGACCTCGAAGATGGCTTCTTCATTGGAGAAGTATTCATATAATCCGTCAGAGGAGAGGATCAAGAATTTGTCACGCGATGTGAGTCTGTGGTGGTGGAGCGACGGAGAGCACGTAACGTATGGTAACGTTCCAACGTAGTTAATTCTGAACATCTCTAGAAGAGCCTCGTTCCATTTCGGCTGAAGAAATAAATTAAACCAAACAGTGATTAATTAGATATAAAACGATCCAAAACATTTCAAGTCTTATCAATGTGTTATTACATTTAGATTGATCGTATACCTGTTTAAGAAATCCAGCGCCAAATGCACGAGTGACCTTGAGATAACCTTTCACTCTATCATTCTCTATCGCCAACGTATCATCAGGATGTTCCTTTTTTATTCTTCTCACTTCCTTTATCACGTATTTTTTTTATAAAAAAAATGTTATAATCTATCAAACAAAACAATTTTGAATTAGGATCGGACACACAAAAATATTTACCTCTCCAACACTAGTGCTATGTTCCATATTGAGCTGTATAGGAACCAAAAGACTCATTCCTCTTTCTGTGTTCAACAAGGTCTCTAATGGGCTCTCTTCCTTGATTCTCTCTAGCTCCTTTACTTGCGTCTTCTTCTTCCTCCCGAGATTATGTCTTTGAGCCAAAACCGCTCTGCTATCTCCAACGCTCATCACGTAAACATCTTCTCCTTTCATCAATGTCACAAGAACGCACGATCCCATCAATGCGAGTTCTGGATTCTCATCAACCGTAAGATCAAACGCTTCCTCTGTTTTCTTCAACGCTTGTTGAAGAGCTCTTAGAACGTCTTCGTGGTTAATCATCTCCGAATCAGACTCTTTGTGATCACTCTGATTCGCATTGTTGTTTCTTAAGTTTTCGCATCTCCATTGCAAGTTCTTCACATTACTACTCGTTATGTTTCTTGAGCCACAAGCAACAACATTTTCTCCTTTCATCACATGGCAGTTTTCTTCACCGGAATCAGAATCATCCTCGACTGGACTATGTTTGTCGTTCCATAGCAAGCCTTTGAGCTCTTTAAGCACGGCGGTGTAGAGATTGTTGAGAAGAAAGTCCGGCGGATCTGGACCACTGAATCCGTCGTAAATCCCGACGAAAAGCCAACCGTTTTCCTCGGAGAGGATGACGTGTACTCGATCTTCCCCTGCTTTCCCCTGCGCCCATTGAATCTTTGGCTCCTCTGAAGCAGACTCACTCTTCTCTTCTTCTTCTTCGGTTCTAGGGTTCTCGTGGCTGCTCGGATTCTTGCTTGACAAGTTAACTTCACGTCTATGATCATCAGCAGCATTTTGATCGGAATCTGATGAATCGGAACTGTTGATAGGCTCGACCACGCTCTTCTTCGAACGAGACAGATTGTTAGAAATCAAATTCGTGAAAACGGTTTTGAATGTGAGAGATTTCTTTTTCGATTTGGGTTTTGAAAATGATTTGAGTTTCTTTTGTTTCTTTGTTTCCTTCTTTTCCTTCCCACCTGAAACTAAACCGCTTTCGATCGGACCAGATAAGAACCGGCGCTCGAATAAACCCGGTCCATGACCCGCTTTCTTAACCGGACCACGTGGCACGGGTTGGAGCGGCAAGGAAGCGAATCTATTGGAGCTCTCGAACCCGGAGGCTAATAGCGACGCGTCTGTTGACGGAGAGGCAGAGAGCGCCGTCGAAGTATTGGCGCTAACGGAGGCGCCGGAGATTGAACGGTAAGTGGTAGTTGTTTCCGGAATCGGGTCGGGTCGGAGGGACGGTTCGGGCGGGAACGAAGATTTTGATGCGGTGAGAATTGGCCCGACGTAGCAGAAAGAGTGGCCGAGGTTGTCGTGAACTAGTCCGACTCCGACATCGTATCGACTGGAAATTTCTCCGGCGGCGGTTCCCGCGCAACAGCCACTAGCATTTCCCATTTGTATGTAGAAGAAAGAGGAAATTTGGGAATTAGTGGAAAAACGGTGTCGTGTCGTTCATTGGAGACAAAAACGCTGTTGTTGCTGCAGGACATTTGTGGGGACATTAATGAATAGCTTTTTGGCTATTTATGTTGGAGCCAAAAGGTGAAGAGGATGAAAAGAGTTGACTTTTAAGAGGTTTATTCTGTTAGTATTCTGTTTATTCTGATTTATTTTTTGGAATTAGTAAAACCTGCAAATGAAACTTTTGACAAGAGCTATCTCGTCAAAAAGAAAAAAAACTATTATTCAAAAACTAGTATACTAAACCCGAAAGTCCAAATGTTGTTTTTTAATTTCTTCTATACTTTTACTTATTGTAATATAGGTGAATTCTTGTGAACCAAGAACATTGTGAATACTCGAGAGATTTTGATATTGCGACGATGGAATGAACTCAGTTTTCTTGGCAATTTTTTTTTGTCATTATTCATTTTCAAACAAAATCGTTTTTGGTACGAGGGAGTTGACTTTTAAAGAAGGTACGTGTGGTTTGATTCAAAAAAAAAAAATCGCAGAAAAGTATGAATTTATTAAATTAATGGAATGCAAAAAGTCAAATGACTTAGATGTTATAATGTGGTTTAGTCGTTTAGACTAGTCACAGCGAAGAAACTAATTGCAGGAAATTTGCTTTAGCTTCTATCTACGGGAAGTAAATCGTTAGTATACGCTATTCAACAAAGTGCAAGATGAGAGATCATAACTTTACTGGTTACTGAGTTTTGTAAATGAATAATTTTTATCTCATTTTTGTGTATATTTTTATCAGTAATAAACACGATACTCAACAAATATTTTTCTTACGTACGAAAACTGATTTAACCGTTCTCCAAAGATGTTTATAACGGTGAACCATTGGCCGCCGGAAGGGAAAGTGTCTTAGATGTCTGGATACTCGAGCACAGCATTGAGGAGAAAGGGCAACAAAGAAAAGAAAAGAAAAAAGATGTTTAAAACGTAACGTTGTAGATAACAAACCAATATTCAACCTTTACATCGTCATGTCTCATGTGAAGATCGCAATGACTAAGCATGAATGTAGAAAATAAAACTAATATTTTTCTCAGATAGGAAATTAATATCATAAAAAGATACCAGATATTCTTGAGAGAGCAGCTGGATGCTTACGCTGCAATATATGCATTGCATGAACTCGGCAATCAAATTTCTTATTTTAAAAGAAAAAATTGAAAATTTCAACATACAACATGTTTCTATTTTCTACAGACCTCAATAACAATCTACATAACTAATAAGGCTTGGACAATCTCCAGCCTTTGACACGTGGCACTCTCTTTTTTTTTTTTTTCGCCTAACACCAAAACGACGTCGTTTTGCTTTATTTTTTTTTTTTCGTCTTACACCAAAACGACGTCGTTTTCGTATTAAAAAAAAAAAAAAAATCTAAATCAAAATTATGTGTAATGCTGTTCGTTTTGATGGCTTGATTATTTATCGGACCTCTTCGTTTCCATGGTAGCTTTAAATGGGCTTACTGGCTAATTAGCTCATTTCATTTCCTTTTAAAAAGGATTGCAATTATTATTATCTATGAGTCTGTAGGATAATAATCAATCTATAATGATTGTTAGTATAAGGAAAATTAGAAGAACTCAACTCCAGTCGATAAATTATTGTATAAAAGAACAAAAAACATATGAAACTATTCACTATGAGTCTATATAAGATTTCACGTAAATAACAACTAAATTTTAAAACTATATGAAAAAAAACAAAATGCAAAACTTACAGAATCTAATATATTCGAGTAAAAAACAAATGATATATTCGAATCTAATGTTCTGAATAATTAAATTAAAAATATTTGGTTTAATAAACCCGCGCATTGCGCGGGTTCTTTCCTAGTGACAATAATACTGCTACTAGTCGATGAAGGCCACGATCGGGACATAATGTTGGAACATTTAGATTATTATTATTATATAAGTCAATTAGTTTAACAGCTTAACCATATATAATGCTTAAGCACGTAACTACATTTTGTGGATCCTTTAAAAACTTGTCAACGATTTTGGGATGGAGAACGTGGAAGCAAAGAGTTTTGCATTTAAATTCACATATAATCTTTGACTTTTTCCTATTGTGATTTGCGAAAACACTATTTTAACAACACAAAATATGTGTGGTTTCCGTAGAACTAAGTTTTTCGACTAGAAAAAAATGAGCATTTAAGAATATGCCAGTTTTTTGTTTTTCTTTGTAAGAAATAAGTCAAATAACACATTACTTTATAACATAAAATTCTTCCCCAGAGTAGTTGCCTTAACCCTGCATTCTTGTTTTTAGACGTGTAGAGGAGATACCTCAGTTGGTTCGTGATCACATCCATTTGCTTAACAAAACAGAGACCATCTTTTGCTATCTGCTTAAATATACAATTCAAATCTCTTCTTACATAGTCTATCACTCAATTGACTCTAAATGACATACTTTAACCTTTTTTATAAGAATTATATTAGCCTATGTTATCTGGACCTCAAGATGTGCTACTTCCATGACAATATTGGAACATCTTTCCACATATCAATCAACATCGTTTCAATAATTTATCACAATACATACATATGCAATCTCAGGAGACGATATAACATGTACAGAAGAGCATGAACTACATATGTTTTGTACATGTGACTTTCTCTGGATTATCTTCAGCTTCAAGAACATAGATAACCCTTTAGGACTCAAACTCAAACCGGATTGAGAGAGAATTTGGAGGAAATGGCTGCTTCTCGGAATGAAGAAACTTTCGGAGAACCGAAGAGATTTAGAAGCAGAGTGATTGTTCAATGAGGATTATAAGTCAAGTTCAGGTGAAATTAATGTTGTAACAAGAGGGATTGCACGGGTAAGCACAATCGATCAGCTTCACCGGTTTTCGATTGAAATACCAGTCACCTACAGACTCCGCAATTGTCTGCTCCAACAACAAAACAAGAACAGACACAGATAAGGACCGCATCAGTTCCATTTGAAGTATGAAGAAAGACTCGAGAAAGAAAGCAACAGATGTCTTTACCTTATTCTCGATTCTTGGTGAGGTTGGAGAGTGCCATGTCAGCGACATAGTTGTCTGGCAATGAGAAAAGCAGGAATCTACGAACATCCCACCAACTTTGCTCTGATGAAACTTCCCTATCGCATCCATCAGAGAGCTGCGGAAACCTGCAGACCAAATACAGAATATTATACAACTGACCATTTTAGAAAGCAATACTACAAGAATAATCGGATCCAAACAGATCATATCTTAACATAGTCTATAGCTAATCCAAGGAACTAAAACAGATCATATCTACTGATTAAAATCTGAAACAGAGGAGATCTTTGGTAATCATGGAGTAAATTACCATGTAGAACTTTCATTTGTGAGGCATCACATTCCTTAAGATTGAGTCTGCACTTTGACCAACTTCTATCTTTATCAGCAGAAACTGGTACCAAGACATGTTGAATCTGAAATGTAAACATGAGTTGGATTAGCTTATTAATGGAATCAGGGGAAAAGTTTATAAAGATTGGCTTTGCAAGATCAAACCTGCCAAAAATCGTAGGCTGCATTGACAAGAAAGACTGGGGTTCTTATGTTGCTCACGAATTCTTGAGGAAACATACACTGCAAATCATATTAGACAAAAAGAGTCTCATTACCAATAAGAATCCAGGCAAGAAAGATTTTAACAAAGTAAGAGATGGTAAACTTACCTTGGATGGCTCTATTTTGGCTACACAATTCTGATCCAAGCTCTTCCCTACGCCCTGGTTGGAATCAAACCATAGGAAACATGTTCTTGTTCATATCGATGAAGAATTCAAGACTATATTCCGCAAAGTATGATTTCAACCATCGACAGAAAGTGAAATAGGAAACCTGAATGTTAACAACATTATGGTAGAAAGATCTCATCGTAGGGTTTCCAAGGACATCAGGCCTGAAAAGATGGAAAATAGCTTTATTGAGACTGAGAGACCAGTGTTAGCAGATTTCACATTGACAGTAACATCCTAGCTCTGTGGAGTATAGTATGCTAAGTCTTACAGGTTTTCTTCTGTAAACTAGCTTAGACCAATTTAACAAAAGAGCACTAGAACTCACAAGTCTTAGTAAAAAATTCATGAGAAAATAAGGCAGTTTATGAGCGGAAACATACAGGTTGAGGAAGAAGCCGCCATCCGAAACACATTTGACAGATGCATCTTTTGGCAGATGATCTCGAAAGTAGTCACAGTGTATAAGAGCTGCCAAGCCACCAGCAGAACATCCTGTAAGTATGGCCTACATTTTCTCAAACGTCAAGTATTAATCTCTAGCAGACGCAAGCTACCTAAGCAGGTGAATCCTAGGAGTGCAGAAAATTTAACAAACGCAATTCCTTTTATGAGATCAAAGAGGACGCTACCTGTTTCGCATTTGACATACCCATCGACAACACTTCATCCAAAACTGCCTCCCAAATGAGCTGTCCCCGGAAGAAAAGCCGTGTCTCATTCTTTTGAAGAAACATGAAAATGTTGAACCTTTATTGCTCTCTGACACAAATTCTCAGCCTAACAAAACCTTAATATTACCTTGAATTCAGCTTCAGGGCGTCCAGCAAAAGAAGCACCATCACAGTACCGTATCGCAACTTTGTTCCAGTTAAAGAATTCTGCAACATCAACAGATTCAAAACTACCTTATACAAGAAGGGCAACTATAAAAAACCAACAACAGAACTATAGCTTTCTCGTACCTGGATTCTGAGATGGATCATTGCTTAAAACACCTTCAAAGGTAACTTCTTTTTCAAAGAATTTGGAAGAACCAAACTTAGTCGTTGCTCGAGCTGAACATGACGCAATTGTGTCGCACCATCCTCCACCCTTTTATGCATTTTCACTCACATAAACTCCAAAATTTTCCAAGTAAATTCACCATATTCTAAATTCAATCAAAAAAATAAGAATACCTCCAAATGAAGAATCCAGCTTTTCGAGCCAGATCCTGAACCCTTATCAAAATGGTACCCAGGCAAGCTTCCATCTAAGCAAACTGCGAAATAGCTTAAATTCCAATAAAAATCTCAGAAAGCTCAAACTTTTAAAAACGAAACTTAGAAAAAGGAGAGGAATTACAGGCTCCTCTCTCTTTAGCTTTACTCGACAACTGCAGTTTGACCAGATCGGGTGGGGATATGATGGTTGGAGATCGGACAACGGAGGGGACGGAGTCCGAAGCTGGATCGAAGAAGAAAGAGAGGAAAAATACGATCAAAACGCATCCAATGGAAGCTACAAGCCAGTCGCTCTTAGCCCATTTTCTGCATGGAAGCAGAGAGCTCAACCTGGGAATCACCATTGAAGACGACGACACAGGCAAAAGAAGGAGCGATCAATTCGTATGTACAACATAGTAACACTTCACTGTAGACCAATTACCCACGTGGGACCCTTCCCATTTAATTCTTAAGCCCAACCAAATGAAATGGTCAATTAAGGGGTCCCAATCATATGAAATGGTCAATTAACGGGTCCCACATGGTTAATTAAAAGGAACCTCCATAACCACACGAACCACGTTTGGCAAACCGAAATACCGGATTTTATACATTTGAGAAATTGTGATTCAAAAGGAAAGCCTTTTATTCGGTTTGGTGTGATTTTAACCGGAGTAGTAAGAAACATATAATGATAAAGGTGTGTGTCTTTTGATGCAATCAAGGAATAGCACATAATCGTTACCGTCTTGTAGAGTATTATGCACCTGGTGTTTCTGGAAACGTGGTAAGCAATCATTTTCTCTCATCTTCATGAAAATGGAAACTGTAAATTACAAATTCAAAAAGATGTTGTCTGCGGCATTGAAATAACATATTTTAACCTTTTTTATAAGAATGATTTTAGCCTATGTTATCTGGACATCAAGATCTGCTACTCCCATGACAATATTGGAACTTCTTTCCACTTAATAGTATAGATATCGTTTCAATAAATTAGCACAATACATACATATGCAGTCTCAGGAGATTCAACGTGGCAATATGCTAATATGGGTGTAAATGTAATCGATCATATGGAGACATGACTGTACAGTAGAGAATGGAAGTACATTTATGGATTATCTTCAGCTTCAAGAACATAGATAACCCTTTAGGACCCAAACCGGGTAAAGAATTTCGAGGAAATGGTTGCTCCTCGGATGAAGATACTTCCGGAGAACCGACATATTCAGAAGCAGAGGGATTGGTTAATGGGGATTATAAGTCAAGTTCAGGTGAAATTCATGTTGTAACAAGAAGGATTGCACGGGTAAGCACAATCGATCAGCTTCACCGGTTTTCGATTGAAGTACCAGTCACCTACAGACTCCGCAATCGTCTGCTCCAACAACAAAACAAGAACAGACACAGACAAGGACCGTCTCAGTTCCGTTTTTAGTAAGAAGAAAGCAACAGATGTCTTTACCTTATTCTCGATTCTTGGTGAGGTTGGAGAGTGCCATGTCATCGGCTTAGTAGTCTGGCAATGAGAAAAGCAGGAATCTACGAACATCCCACCAACTTTGCTCTGATGAAACTTCCCAATCGCATCCATCAGAGAGCTGCGGAAACCTGCAGACCAAATACAGAGTATTATACAACTGACCATTTTAGAAAGTATTGTACTTTGAAACAGAGGAGATTTTTGATTAATCATGTAGTAAGGAGTAAGGAGTAAATTACCATGTAGAACTTTCATCTGTGAGGCATCACATTCTTTAAGTTTGAGTCTGCATTTTGCCCAACTTTTATCTTTATCAGCAGAAGCTGGTACCAAGACATGTTGAATCTGAAAATGTAAGAACAGTAAAACATGAATTGGAGTAAAATGAAATGGAATCAGAATAAAAGTTTCTAATGCTTTGGCTTTGCAAGATCAAACCTGCCAAAAATCGTAAGCTGCGTTGACAAGAAAGACTGGGGTCCTTATGTTGTTCACGAATTCGTGAGGAAACATACGCTGCCAACCATAATAATAGACAAAAGGAGTCTCACTACCAATAAGAATCCAGGCAAGAAAGATTTTTAACAAAGTAAGAGATGGTAAACCTACCTTGGATGGCTCTGTTTTGGCTACACGATTCTGATCCAAGCTCTTCCCTACGCCCTGGATTTAATCAAACCATAGCAAACATGTTCTTGTTCATTTCGATGAAGAATTCAAGACTATATTTTTAACTATTGACAGAAAGTGAAAAGGAAACCTGGAGGTTAACAACATCATTGTAGAAAGATCTCATCGTAGGGTCTCCAAGGACATCAGGCCTGAAAAGATGGAAAATAGCTTTACTGAGACTGAGAGACTAGTGTTAGCAGATTTCACATTGACTGTAACTTCCTAGCTCTCTGGAGTATATAGTCTGCTACGCCTCTTTAAACTAGCTTAGACTCCAAGAAGTTAACAAATGAAGAAATAAGGCAGTTTTATGAGCGGAAACATACACGTTGAGGAAGAAGCCTCCATCAGAAACACATTTGACAGCTGCATCTTTCGGCAGATGATCTCGAAAGTAGTCACAGTGTATAAGAGCTGCCAAGCCACCAGCAGAACATCCTGTAAGTATGGCCTACATTTTCTCAAATGCGTATAAGAAAGAAATAAAAAAAGCAAGTATTAATCTCTAGCAGACGCAAGCTACCTAAGTAAGCGAATCATGGGAATGCTACCTAAGTAACCTACAATTCCTTTTATGAGATCAAAGAGGACGCTACCTGTTTCGCATTTGACATGCCCATCAACAACAGTTCATCCACAATTGCCTCCCAAATGAGCTGCCCCCGGAAGAAAAGCCGTGTTTCATTCTGAGAAGCGAGAAAGAGCGACCAAGAAACATGAAACCATTGAACCTTTCTTGGCTCATAATAGAAACTGACACAAATTCTCAGCCTAACCAAACGTTTGTTACCTTGAATTCAGCTTCAGGGCGTCCAGCAAAAGAAGCACCATCACAGTACCGTATCTTAACTCTGTTCCAGTTATAGAATCCTAAACAACAACATATATAGATTCAAATCTTTAACATTTGCAAGAAGCATAGAGTCTGCTATAGCTTTCTCGTACCAGGGTTTTGGGATGGGTCATTGCCTAAAACACCTTCAAAGGTAACTTCTTGTTCAAAGTATTTGGAAGATCCTAATTTAGTCGTTGCACGAGCTGAACATGACGCAATTGTGTTGCACCATCCTCCACCCTTTTATGCATTTTCACTCACACAAACTCAAAATTTTCCAATTAAATTCACCAGATTTCAAATTCAGTCAAGAAAAAAGAAATGAGTACCTCCAAATGAAGAATCCAGCTTTTTGAGCCAGATCCTGAACCCTTGTCAAAATGGTACCCAGGCAAGCTTCCATCTAAACAAACTGGGAAATAGCTTAAATTTAAATTAAATATCTCAGAAAGCTCAAACCTTTAAAAACGAAACTCAGAAGAAGGAGAGGAATTACAGGCTCCTCTCTCTTTAGCTTTACTCGACAACTTCAGTTTGACCAGATCGGGTGGGAATGTGATGGTTGGAGATCGGTCAACGGAGGGGACGGAGTCCGAAGCTGGATCGAAGAAGAAAGAGAGGAAAAATACGATCAAAACGCATCCAATGGAAGCTACAAGCCAGTCGCTCTTAGCCCATTTTCTGCATGGAAGCAGAGAGCTCAACCTGGGAATCACCATTGAAGACACAGGCAAAAGAAGCGATCAATTTAGTACATAGTAACACTGTCTAAGATGTTTAATTACCCATGTGGGACCCTTAATTTGATTCTTAGGCCCAATCAAATGAAATGGTCAATGATCAAATACGTAAATGAAAAGAACCTCGTAACCACATGAACCACGTTTGGCAAACCGAAATACGTATTTTATACCGGATGTTAACCGACCGATGAGTAAATTAGACTGTTTTTGATTTATCTCCATCCACAAGGGCCTGGTCATTTCGGGACGGGGAATCCGGTTCCCACTCTTACCCATTTAAAATTTCTCAAACGTTTCGGGAATGGGAATTTGTAATTTCCCGTTTGAGAACATTTATTTTATTCAAACGGGTAAGGGAAGGGTTCGGGAAGGGTAAGGGATTTCCCGATTTTCCCGTTTAAAAAAAAAATTGAAAATTATATTTTTTTTTCTTAAATATCTCAATTTTTTCCATATTTTCTCAAATTTTCCCATAATTTCCCGTATTTTCCCATATTATCTTCAATTTTCTCGATTTATTAAGACTTTGGGTATTATTTTTTGATTTCCAAATTTCCCATTCCCTTCTCATTTCCGTGATTTCTCATCCCGTTATAATAAGAGAATGTTTCGGAAATCATATTTGATTTCCCGAATTTCCCATTCCCATTCCATACCCGTCAATTCCCGTCCCAAAACCCATAATGCCCAAGGCTAAGGGTGTGGGTAAGATACAATGTATTGATATTTAGTGCCGTTGTTATTTGAATAATCTAACATTGATATTTTTCCAGTCAGGCACATTGAGGTGAAGAGTTAATGTTGCTATAACAGAAGTTGAAACATGTGAGTTGAAAAGTTAATGGTGTATTGAAGAGATCGCTTGCTGTTAAAGGTGACTTGGAAAAAAAGAATATTTATAGATTTATATCACTTACAAGTTACAACACTTATATATACATCAATTATAAGCCACTAACCACGGGTGATTTTGCTGAATTTTCCCTCAGTCATAATCAAAGTACATTTATCAGATTTTTGTGTGAGAGCATTGTAAGCATCCTCACATGTTTCAACTTCTGTTATAGGGACTTCATTGTTGTGTGTGGAAGCCAATAAAAACAACTTCTTTACAAGGTCTTTGGAAGTCTACAAAAACAAAGGGGCAAAACATGTACAAAATGTGATCATATGGATTAATATATTATGCCTTTGTCTGATTAAACTCAGACAAACATCCCATTGGCTGCCACCAAATTTCTCAGTCAACACTCTAAAATTAAACAAAACATAATAATCAACTCCGATGAACAGTCTTTCTTATAGATATTCAACATATATTCAACAAATTATAATTTTGGATTTGAATTGTCTAAGAAGTATTTCGAGACATAATCCTCAAATGGTCCGACTTGAATGATTTGGCCTTGAAATGTTACCTCCACGAGTTCCCAGAAACCAGGCGATTTGGGACTCCATCTCCATCATTAAAGACTGTGATTTTATTACTCTCAAAGTCGATTGAGACATCCATTTTACTCATGGTCAGATTTCTGATTTTGTTGTTCGCAAAATCATAAGTATATACGTCATGATGGTTCAACACAACCGTACATAATCAGAGCACATGTAGATTATGTGACGAATTTGATCGCAAAACACATTGTGTATCACATTAATAAGAAGCAAACCGAAAAGGGCATAGGAATCAAACTGGAGACTCATAATGTGAAACCTTATTTGCTAGTCTTTGTCAACGCTCGGATTGACAATCCAACATTCGAGTCACAAAAGAAAGAATTGAAAAATAACTGGTCCTTCCACAACGTCTCCATAAATTTGTGGCAAATGATATTCTAAAGAAAGGTATACCTCATTTGCCTGAAGAACTACTCTACAAATAAACTAATACTAATGTTGGAACTTCTAATCTCTTAAACTTGAAATGTATATTACTTTATTATTTACCTATTTTCATATTGTTATTATTACTTTAATCTCTTTAAATTTCCAAAATGTTTTGGTGTATGAGCTTTATGAGACTCACAAACTTTCACATTCATTCATATGAAAATTCTTTTGAAACAAAAAAATTAGACAAAAGCATACTGCATTTTATTAATTTTCTTGTAATCGTTATTTTCTTGTAGTGTTTTTGGAAACGTGGTAAGCAAGCAATCGTTTTCTCACATCTTCATGAAAATGGAAAGTGTAAATTACAGATTACAAAACCGTGTTGTCTGCGGCATTGCTTCTCTTGGGATGGATGGATATGGATATATTGGGTACGTTTATGCCACACGATTCATTTTTAGCGCATGAGGCCATTGTTCTTTCTTTCTCATCACGCTTGACTCTTTCTAACGCTAACTTCTCAATGCTAATCGGACACAGGAAATACGCTAGCTGACATTTCGTTTCATAAGGCTTGGATTTTCAAACGGTTTCCTATATGATCCCCACTCAGTTTTTATATTTTACACAAACCACTAAACCGAACACTGCCTGCTTTTACAATTTACATACAATGATGTGAACTTTGATGACATTATCATTTTCTTGAGCTCCCTGGGAATTGCAGGCGTAGCTGTAAAGCTTGTTAATTTATCTGCGCTCAAAGTCTTAAGAAACAAACATCATCAGTTCGTCTAGTTGATAAAGAAATGTCAGACTCCAAAGACATTTCTCTTGCTGGAGGAGGACAAGCCAGTGAGGACATCTGTTATAAATCCAGTGTGGCCATATATTGTGAATCCAGCAGTGGATCAACAGAAACAAAATGACCTCACGCCGGCTGGTGGATTTTATTCTCCTTTTGGTTCTCCTGAAGCTCCTCAAGCTGAACCCTCGAATTTGAAGAAACAAGCTGTTATGCAAACGAATCTTGTGCCTGGACCAACTTTGCAACAAAGTCCGAAGTCTATGCCAATGGAGAGTGTGCCTATAACTACTATTTCAGTGTAGAAGACAGATATGCTTTGGAAGAATCAGTACGTTGAAGTTGCAATGACTAGTACCTTTTGGAAAAGGACTTCCCATGACACTGAACAGGAAGACGAGGATGGGAATGGGGTCATCACTCACACATCAAGTGGCGAAGGCAAAACTCAAGTTGATCATAAGGTCTACTAGCTCCTCATGCAAGTTGATATGTGGTTTAGGTTGTTTTTTTTTTTTACTTTTCTTTTCCAGTCTTCACAGATTATGGAAGCGGTGGTCTTCACGTCAAAGTGAATTGCGGGAGCGGCGACAGTTAGCTGCAACTGCTGCCCTGAATTCTCTATCCCTGGGCACTCCTATCCGCTTTAGCAAAACTGATGTAAGTTTCTGTTTTCTTCCCCATTACATGTGCTGATCATTGGTCTTTTATTCAAGGAAACAACAAGAGTCTTAAACGCATTTTAATATTGAGGTTGGTGGTCTAATCTCGGTTCTCTCTTCATACACAGCAATCGAGGGCGTGTGGTGAGTTTGACATTGATCAAGCCATGAAGATGAGATTTGAAGAACAAGAAAAATCATGGTCAAGGCTGAACATTTTCAGATGTGATAGCTCTGATACACTAGTCGGAAGGAATCCAGACTCAAAATGCATATGCTGGGAGATCATCTTATCTACTCAGATTAAATCAGTCGAACACATCAAGTCAGGATTCACATTCAGTAGCCAGTCGATGCTTATCATCAAAGCTCACACTGAACATAGTGTCTCCGATGATAATCTGCTGTTTTCAGCTCCCGGTGTGTGTCGGTATGGAACAAATGGGTTGCAAGTGGGTCTGGCTCAGATTTCAGATGCCGTCTCTCAGTAGCTAGGGATGTGGAAGCTGATAATGATCTGTGTGAAGCAACACGTGGCGCAAGTGCTGTTATTTTCCTGAGAAGAGCTTAACCGCATTCTTGAATCAGTACCGAACGGTTCTCTCCTTGCCAGTAATCAGAGCTCATGCAATGGGGAAAGCGTGGGTCCTGATACAAATATCGTCTCTGAACAAATCAAAGACGATATAAGCTTAGAAATAAGTTAAATTTTTCTTTTAGTAATAAGTTAAATCAAAGCTCTTGTTTTTTTCATCCTTTTAAATTTTTCCTCTGCTTGAAATAAGTTAAACTTAGAAATTCTCGGAAATGGTATAAATTTCATATTTGCATCCAAAACAAAAGTCTGTAATTTTGCGCGTATATATAAATCTTTGTGTTAGTGTACTGATTCTAATTGGTCTGCGCGTGAAAAGAATCAACTATATTACTGATCTTTCAAAGGGTTAGCGCTGTCGCAATTTAATAGATGATGAGAGAGCAAAGAAAGCAAACTTTTATTACGAGTCTAAAAGAAAAGTTTCCAGTTTACACAAGACAAGGCACGAGAACGTCCCAAGTTTTACACACACAAACAGAAAATAATGGGTTCCATAGGGATGCTTGCATATCATAAACTACAATGAAACCGGAGGACTAGTCCAGAATGACTAAACCTTTCTTCCCATATAAAAGGCAAATATCTCTGCATCTTCCGCGAAGTCCTGTTTTGCCTGAAAAGGACAAGATGATAAAGATGAGGTTCCTCTTTGAGCCAAAAAAAAAGAACATAAAAGATGCAGTAATAACAATGGTCACAAAATGTTATTCTTCTTGATTTTGTTGTTTTACCTTTTCTTCCTTCTCCATAAGATCCGCTACAACATCGCCCAATATCATCCCACCTTAATACAAACAACAAGGAACAAACAAATTCCAAGCTGGCTATTTCGACTCTAGTTAGAGAACTAGAATAAAATCAAGGGGAATAAAATATCTCTCCATACCTATCTTAAATCCGAAATACCCACTTACACCTTGAGTTATGAGCCACACGACTCTCCCCACTCCGAGTAACATTTACCCATTGCACCTTCTCCTGCTCCTACCTTCGGCGCTACAGTCAGAGAGAAGAAAACAGAATCCGAGATTTTCTTCTTATTTACAATCACATCGAAACCAATTTAGATACAATAATCGGAATATGATCAGGGGTAAGAGAACTTTACCGTTTCCTATGCTAGGATCTGAAGAGAAACTACGGCGAGGCCCGATCGGTAACGATTTTCGGTGTACCTGCCCAATTGCGGCGAGACCCAACCGAACAAAGAAATTAGAGAAATTCCGGCGAGAAAACATCACAGAGAGAAGAAGGGAACAAATAAATAGACTCGCATAGTACCTGAGCGACGACGGATCTCAGATATGGCAGCATGATCGATAATTAGGGTTTGTAAGTTGCTATTGATCGTATCGGATTTCTTCAACAGAGGGATAAATATATATGTGGTCTTCGTTAAACGGGCCTGCATCTTCTTTTATCTATGTCCCTTCTACTAATATTAGGCTTTTCAAAGGAAAAGATTATTCATCTTCTGTCCCAAATTGAAATGACTAATTTGTTGCATTATATATCCTTCTTGCATAGTGTCCCTACTTTTTTGTTTGGCTCAATATATTTCCGTTTTCCTTTTCTCCAAAAAGAAGTTACTGGTTTTATTGGAGAAATATTAAAAAATGTAAAACCAGAAATTTTTTTCCCCACTCAGTTTTTATATTTTACACAAACCACTAAACCGAACACTGCCTGCTTTTGCAATTTACATACAATGATGTGAACTTTGATGACATTATCATTTTCTTGATGATCAAAAATTCAAAACTTGGAAGAAGGCGCACACAAGGATTTACGAATGTAAGCATTACTCGCTGCTAGTAAAGAACATATGAAGCTGGTTTTTAATTATACTACACATTTGTCGCTCCAATGCCTCACAACCCCAGCTAAGATTAAATGAAGAAAACCAAACCAAATTATAAATGTGGCAAACTAAACCTGAAAAGTTGAGATTGCTGACTAAGATTAGATGAAATGTTTGTATTGGCTTTGTGATTTTAATGAGTTGTCACCTCCAGAACACTTAAAAATGCTTAGGTGTCAAGACCTCAAGACCTGGAGAAGCACAAAGGACTTTTGCTGTGTTTGATTGTGTCTAACCATGTGAACCACGTTTGGCAAACCGAAATACTGTACCCGGTTTTTTTTAATACATTGAGATTGAAAATGCAAAAGCCTCTTATTCAGTCGTGGATATTAAATTCGAATTTCTTAAAATGAGCTATTTCCCGGCATTTGCACGAAGAAAACGCTTCAATGGCGTTGCCACCGTCACGATCGCTGGTTTCTTCCTATACCTTCGACGATAAGGATCTAGACGACGCTGATCTATGGGCGGTGATCGATTCCGCCGCCGCTGCAGTCTGCCAAGCTAAGAATACTAATACAACTTTAGCCGTTGGGAAATCTCCCAAACCCCTCCCTATCAGGTTTCCAAATTACAATTCTCCTCCGACGCCTGTTTCTTCTCTTCCTCCTCCGCAGCATAAGCTTCTTCAGGCCCCGAATCACAACCCCAGCTTTACCCGGAGGTCAAACGAAGAGTCACCGCGTCCGAGCAAAATTGCCAGATCCGGCGTCTTGTCTGAGGCGAAGAATGAGAGTCCTATGGCTCTTGTTACGACGGCAAACCGGAATTCGACTCCGATTATCAATTCCACAAAGTTCTCTTCGCCAGAGAGTTACTTGTCGCCTGGGATCAGGCAGTCTACGTCATTTCCGGTGGTTTCTCCGTCGGCAAGCTGCGTTCAGAACGATCCGGTTAACGAGATGAGACATAGTTTGTCTGGGAGCTTTCCTTCTGCTTCTCTGTTCAAGGAGTACCAGAATACAGCTATGGCGGTACGGTATTTCGATTTCCTCTTCTCCTAAAATTTTCGTGAAAGAGTTTTTTAGCATTGAAGTTGTTCGATGAAATGTCAAGCACTGATTTGCTCTTCTCATGATTTCAATTCGTTCAGGACTTGTTCATAACTACGTTTCTTCCTCAAATATGGTTTTTGTTATGGTTACATGAAATGCTATGATTTTGTGAAGTAACAACATGGCTTCATCAATTTTACAGATTCTAGAGAAACCTGATTACACGATGATATCAGGGAAAGCATACATTAAAAAGTCAGGTGAAGATTATGCTTTGCTGTTTGCTTATTTTCATCTGAACAATTGATGTTTTGGTTTTTGATGCCGCATTTCTATGGAAATGTGAAGGTTGGAGGAAGATATCGTTTTACTTCAATGTGTCATATGAGATAAGAGACAAGACTATTGAATTCGACGATAATAGAAATGTGCAGCGTGCTGAGTTCATCGTCCGAGCCATCATGCAGTAATGTTCTTTTATTTAAACCTGATTTGTTGACGATTTAGCAGATAGTGTGTAAATTGAAGTTTAACCTATTGGTTTATGGGCTCTCTCAGTGGAGGAAGATTTGCTGACGGATGGGGATCTTGTGAGCGACGTGAGAAGAAGTTTCTTAAACCAAATCATGATATTCCAAGCACCGCAGAGACCAGAGCCAAAAACAGGGCTTGTCAGGTAAACGTCCTCTGCTAATGCTCCAGTTACTTGACTAAGTTGCTATGTAGTGATGTCACAGACTATACTTGTTGAAAGTTGAAACATCTGCAAGCATGACTAGTCAGGGTAACAAAGAAGCTTAGAGAATCAAGTAACTTAACATGTAGAGGTTTTAGCCTTAGGCTCCTGTATATATGATTACACACTGATCTCTTTCTAAATACCTTCACACTGAATGCTCTTAACGGAACATGTGTCTTGCACAATGTTATGATTGCGATGTCTAGTACTCTTTTAACAAGTTCAAGCAACGGATTTAAGAGCAAAAACTAGGAATCAAAGCACATGAACTTCGAAAATGTTCAAATATCGAAAATCTCATGGTTGTACTTGTATGCTTATAGCTTCAATGTTCATTGTGTTATGTACTTCCTAATGCTCTAAGAAGCTCTCGTTTGTGTCCTGCAGGATCTTCTAGGAATAGGTGAATATCAAGAAAGACCTCATTGAGTTTCCAGGATGATCAGAAGAAACTTACCTTTTGTGTTGTTGTCTCTGTAATTTTTCATCCATACCAAGTAGTCATAACGTTTAACGAACCTCCGATTCATTATATATTTCGTAGTCAGCCGTTCCATGAGGACATGCTGCTTATACAAGAAGAGACTAATTTACTTGTCACCCGTTATTTCATAGTTAACTAATACAATTGAGAACTGAGTTTTGTTTCAAGGGAGTGGAGAAAGACTGTTTTTTCTAAACTAAAAGAAAGGAGAGATAGAACAAAAAGAATCAACCATAAAATCATAAACAGAGGACATAAACGAAAAAATTAAACGATCCCAAAATTTAGCTAATACAGGAAAAATAAAAAGGAGGCAAAATAGAAAATAAATTGTTCGAAAAGCAATCACAAGAGATTGAGCAGAGAGGGAGAGATTGAAAGGGTTTTGAGGCTTAGTCGACCTCCTCAATCTTGGGACCTGCACCTCCGGCGGAAGGTGGGACATCCTCGTCCATTCCTCCTGCAGCTGGACCACCAGCCTCACCACCTTGGTACATCTTGGCTATGATCGGGTTGCAGATGCTCTCGAGCTCCTTCATCTTGTCCTCAAACTCATCGCACTCCGCCAACTGGTTCCCTTCAAGCCACTCAATGGCTGCCTCGATCGAGTCTTCAATCTTCTTCTTATCATCAGCCGCCAGCTTCTCGCCAATCTTCTCGTCCTTGATCGTGTTCCTCATGTTGTACGCGTAGTTCTCAAGAGCGTTCTTGGCTTCCACCTTCTTCTTGTGGTCTTCGTCCTCTGACTTGTACTTCTCCGCCTCTTGAACCATTCTCTCAATCTCGTCCTTGGACAACCTTCCCTTGTCGTTGGTGATTGTGATCTTGTTCTTTTGCCCCGTCGTCTTGTCCTCCGCAGAGACGTTGAGGATACCGTTTGCGTCAATGTCGAAACACACGGTGATCTGAGGAACTCCTCTTGGAGCTGGAGGGATGCCAGAGAGCTCGAACTTACCCAAGAGATTGTTGTCCTTGGTTCTTGCCCTCTCTCCTTCGTAGACCTGGATCAAGACACCGGGCTGGTTGTCTGAGTAGGTTGAGAAGACTTGCTCCTTCTTCGTGGGGATGGTTGTGTTCCTCTGGATCAAAGTCGTCATGACTCCACCAGCAGTTTCAAGACCGAGAGAGAGTGGCGTGACGTCAAGCAAGAGGAGATCTTGAACCTTCTCGTTACCCTCACCGCTGAGAATAGCCGCCTGGACAGCTGCACCGTAAGCAACGGCCTCGTCGGGGTTGATTGATTTGCAGAGCTCTTTGCCGTTGAAGAAGTCGAGAAGCAACTGCTGGACCTTGGGGATACGTGTTGATCCACCGACTAGGACGACATCATCGACCGAGCTCTTGTCCATCTTAGCGTCACGAAGACACTTCTCAACAGGCTCCATACATTTCCTGAAGAGATCCATGTTAAGCTCTTCGAACCTCGCACGTGTGATTGGCATGTAGAAGTCAATACCCTCGAAGAGAGAGTCGATCTCGATGGTGGTCTGAGCGGTGGAGGAGAGAGTCCTCTTCGCTCTCTCACAGGAAGTTCTCAATCTCCTTAGCGCTCTCGGGCTTCCGCTAATGTCCTTCTTGTTCTTCCTCTTGAACTCTTGGACGAAATGGTTCACCATCCTGTTGTCGAAGTCCTCACCACCGAGATGAGTGTCTCCGGCGGTCGCCTTCACCTCAAAGATACCTTCTTCGATGGTTAGAAGCGAGACATCGAAAGTACCACCACCGAGGTCAAAGATCAAAACGTTCTTCTCCCCAACGCTTGTAGCCTTCTTGTCAAGACCATAAGCGATGGCAGCAGCGGTTGGCTCGTTGATGATACGCATAACGTTCAAGCCAGCAATGACTCCGGCGTCCTTTGTCGCCTGACGCTGAGAGTCGTTGAAGTAAGCTGGGACAGTGACGACGGCGTTTTTGATCGTGGAACCGAGGTAGGCTTCGGCAATCTCACGCATCTTGATGAGAATCATGGATGAGATTTCCTCGGCGGCGAACTCTTTATCCTCTCCCTTGTAGTTAACGACGATCATTGGTTTGTCAGCAGGTCCGGGGATGATCTTGAAAGGCCACAATTTCATGTCGCTTTGAACGGAGCTGTCACTGAATCTACGGCCAATCAACCTCTTCGCATCTGTTACATGACAGATTCAAAGCCAGTTAATACACAGAAAACAATCTCTCAGCTACTATTGAATCAGGAATTACTAAAAAGCTAGCAGAGGATTTCTAAATTAGGTCAAACTTCTTAATAGAATGCAGAAAAAGCAGACCACCATCGTTATAGCAATAATCACAATCGAATAATTCAGATTCCCCTTTTGATTTTTGAGCTATAAGCAAACAAATCGAACTTCGACACTATCCTACAGTGAAACCTAAAATCCATCACTATGCGTCTTCTATGTACAGATCTACGAATAACCTAACAAATCCGATAGCAGAGCCAGCTATTGAGCATCAGAATGAAGAGGGAAAAAAGAGAAATACGTACCGAAAACGGTGTTAATCGGGTTCATGGCGACCTGATTCTTCGCGGCGTCACCAATCAAACGCTCGCTGTCGGTGAAGGCGACGTACGACGGCGTGGTTCTGTTACCTTGATCATTAGCAATGATCTCAACGCGATCATGCTGCCAGACTCCAACACAGGAGTAAGTAGTACCGAGATCGATACCAATCGCTGGACCTTCTCCTTTACCCGCCATTGTTTAATCGAAGGAACTAAAAAGTTTAAGAGATTGCAAAAAAAGTAGAAGACGAGTGTGGTGGCTAGGGTTTTTCTTTTTCCGAGAGTTGTGGTGGAAGGAGATGGCTATATAGAGGTTTGGGCTCATGTTTCGAGAATGTTCGATGGCTCGTTTTGTAACCGTGCGATCTTCCGGAGGTTGATCTGACGGTCGTTGAACGATTCTTTTCTTACCTTTTCCTTTTCTACCTTTAAAAGTTGAAGCGCGTAACTTTAACATTTTTTACCAAAGAAAAAGGCGCGTACTCTCAGAGCCGTTTAAAAGGATCGAGAACGTTCGATTCGATTGCTTATTTCCAAATCAAAAGTCGGTCATTGGCTGTGACGTTCTCTACAGCTTGACATTTCCTCTCGTTTTCATTGGCGTTGAATCGACCGACCATTGGTCACCGCCAGAACTAGTTAGACACGTAATTATTTTTCAGTTTAAATACTTTTAAATCAACATCCGATACTTTGGGTAAAATATCCATTTTGCAGAAACTTCTCAAATAATATCTGATAGTTTTTTGGTTTTTTTAATAACGGGTATGAATCACAATCACCATGATATGTAAAGTTTTGGAAATCTTTGTTATTTAAAAACGTTTGCAATGATCAAGAAAAAGGTAAGGTGTTTGAATTGGTAAAACATAGGTTGAGATGGTGTAAATTGACGTTTGGAAATTTCAGATTTGGAGAAAAGATGACAACAAAGAAGAAGTTAATGTGAAATATTATAAGCTGCATATATATGGTCAATGACTGTGAAGAGGTCTTAGACAAATGATAATCCATGACAGTTGTTTTAGATATAGATGGACAATAAATGACAAAAAAATGTCGGTGAGATGAGTTTTAGATATGTCATACACTCATTTATTCGATAGGTCTTAGACAAATGATAATACACTCAAGCTGGAACAGTGCTTGAGCTGTTTTCAAAAAGAGACCAAAGAGTTGCACATACCAATCCAGAAAAACAACCGAGAAAAAGAGTTTTGGGCTTATTATCATAAATGTTTTGCTTAGGCTTACTAAAACATGTGGTCAAGTGCAAGAGATCTTCGGCCTTATTTGATAACTAAAATGGCCCAAACAACATATGTAAGAGCATGTTTATTGGTGTTACTTACCATGTCTCTTAGAGTAAATAAGTCATTTTTTTAAATAAAAAAGAAATACAAAAGCTAAAAACGTCGCTTATACAAGGGACGTCTCCAGCAGCCACGTGTCGAGGAGAGAACGCTTTGTTCTCACGACAATTTTTTTGTTTCTCAGTTTTTCTCTCGATGCTTTGTCTCTGTGATGCGATTGTATGGCGATTCATGCCCAAAATCGGTTGTATGGTATTCCAAACTCTGTTTTTCAATCTTGTTTTCGAAATTTGTTTCCCAAATTCCGTTTTCTACTCGAAACTTAATTTTTCTAAGCCGATTCCAAACACAAGTAACCAAAATTCGAACATCCTTTACTCTTCTTTGATTCCGCGTCGGAGCAGGAGAGAATGGACGAAGAAGAAGAATGACGTGGAGGAGGATGAGGAAGTCGTTTCTCTGAATTGATGGAGATCAAACTCCTAACTGTTCATCTTCTTCTATGATGATGGACTCTAATGGGTATTTTTATTTTGTAGAATATGTTTAAGAATACACCTCGGAATTGCAGAATTTGTTTAAGAATCTACCTCGAAATCTTCCAATTGAGCTTGAGAATCCACTTTTTTAGTTGTGTATGACTGTATGTACAATAATAAGAGAATATGTTGTGATTTGTGTTTGCAGGGGATAAGCAGCTGGTGAAAAAGATGGGATTGTCTGAAAGCTACAACCTTTATGATCATGTTGATGATTATGGCATTGATTAATAGAACTATAGAAGCTGAGGAAACTGGAAATGGTAATCGGAGCGGCCGCGATGTGGCTATCGACGATTGCCGCATGATTGTCTCGTCACATGATTCCCTCGTCTCTTCTCAGTGTCGCCAAGTAATCATTTCTCAATCATTTCTTCTGTACATGCATATTACTAAGCGATCAAAGAAATTCCTTGGTGAATCGAGAAATTCTTATTCACATGACCATCTGCTTAAAGAACCTGTAAAATACTCTTTAGCTTCTTTCATAACACACTTTAAAAGACCACACAAATCCCTCATTGTAGTATTGTCTAATCAACTCGAAGAGCTGGATGGGTTAAAAGAGATGTTAATAATCCAGAATCAATAGCTGATCACATGTATTGGATGGGTCTTACGGCTCTGATTTCTTCAGATATTCTTGGGTGGAGAAGAAAGAGGTTTGTTCTCTTCTCTTGTCTTATTTATTATCTTCGATGTTCTTGAGTTGGTTTGCATGACAAAGTACATATATGGTCAATTGCAGCTAATGAAATCGCTGAGCTATGGAGAAAATACGTAGCAAACTCTTCACCTGAAGCTAAAACTGTTAAAGATTTCGATAAGCTTGAGATGATACTACAAGCTTTGGAATATGCAGAAACTAGAAGAGTTTTTTTCAATCAACCACATGTATTGTACTTTGTAAATCACAATCCAAAGATGTTATCAGTATATAGTTTAAAGGCTTAAATTTTGTTGCTGCTTGATCCAGGGAAGTTCCAGACCAATATAGGCAAAGCTTGGGCGTCGGAGATTGCTTCAAGAAGAAGAAAGCAACATTAGTTTAGTTCTCACTTGATTTTTTTGTAAAAAAGAAAGAGAGTTTGTGTTTTTTTGGTATCAAGACTAGTTATTGATAAAACATAGCCTCTCTTCTTCGAGGTCATTAATTCTCTTGACGTGTATGTTTCAATCATCAAAGCTTATGCATGGTTCACGAGATGAGCTATAAGGGTCTGCATCCAGACCCCTTTGGTGGCCACAAACTTGGCTGTAACACATGTGTACAATCAATAAGTTGAGGTTAATCAGACGTTGTTCTCATGCAATTTCAAGATGTCGATAATGAATAAGGTTGAGGTTAATCAGACGTTGTACAATCAATAAGGTCGATAATGAATTATCACTATGAGTTTCTTTCTTGTTTATGGTTTCAAAAGCTATATCGAAAATGTTTTTTATGTCAAACTATAATTCAATTTTCATCCAATGTTTTATATATAAATCAACTTCATTCACACACACACACAAAAAAAAAAAAAAAAAAGTTAAGAACACCTAAGAAACTTCACCAATAAATGATGCAAAAACAAATGTCTCTTAATCATGTCTCTTAAAATAAGTTTATTGATATAGTATAGTTAAGAGACATTTTGGGGTTTCACCAATAAACATGCTCTTATATGTATATTTTTTGCAAAACTGTCAACTGTATATGTATATTTTTTGCTCAACTATGGATGTTTCCATGCAATGATGTTAATATATTCAACAGTTAAAATAATATTTTATTCAAATGCAATTAATCAACCAACTTTGAAATCGAAGAAAATAAGGGCAAACATTCAGATTTCAATTTCATGATTTTATTTTTATGTGGCACAGAAATTTGCATCCATGAGTGAAAATAAAATAGGTGTACAAGTACCAAGTATATGATAGAGTAGGACCTAATTGATTAGTCCATCAAATTCCCTGACGAAGAGGAAACAATACTAACCAAGAAGCGTGCAGCTTGTGATAAATGCTCTCTACTTGAACTTGAACTCTTGGTGAGACTAATGTCTTTCGTACCTCTTCTTCTTCTTCTCTTTTGTCTCATTCCATCATTAATTTTGATTTACAACACTTTACCTTTTCATTCCGTCGACGCTTTTTCAAATTGAAAGAAACAGAATTATAATAAATATAGTGGATTATGTGGCGAAATAACAATTTCAAAACTTGCCGAAGAGAAACAAATTAGTATAATTCTCTAGAAACTTGGAGAAAATGAGAGTTTTCAACAAAATTATTTGAAACCAACCTATGCGGCTATGCCTAAACATAGAGATGTCCAATTTGGTTTAAACCGGACCAAATTGTTTCCAAACTGTATTTCTATTGTATGCATGTATATGGCATTATGGTTTGGCCTAAACCCACACTATTTAAAAAATCAGTTGCTTTAAATCAGTTTCACCACTTGTCCCCTCAGAAATATTTGGGCCATTTCTAATTTATGGCATTGCCTTAACCGAAATTATGCATAACAGAGTCGGGTTTGGTTTGGTTTTGGTCCCATACGACAAAGTAGAGAAAATGAGAATACTTGGAGCTAAGATACAGCTGCTCATAAGTCTTAACTCTTTGACGTTGCCACTCTAAATAGTAAATCCCATCACGCCTTATATATACGTACTCTTCTTTCTCACCATAACCATCATCTCCTCATCTTTTCATCTAACAAACAAAAAAAAAATATCTACACAAAACAATCCGTTATAAGAATGCGAGACACAACATATCTCGAGCGACTTGGCCTGGCTCTGAGAACCGCCTTGGCTTGTCTCATCGTGAGCTTGACCACTTTGTATGGTCCCAAACCACTAAAACACTTCACAACCTTTCCAGCCTTTTCTTACCTGACCACAATCTTAATCTGGCTATCCGATGCTGAACCAACATACGGCGAAGTCCTCAAGTGTTGTGTTGATGTCTCTTACGCCACTCTTCAGACAGCAGCCATCGTGCTAGTGAGTGTCTTGGTGGTCGGACCAGCATCACTAGGGAATGGCTTGGTGGCTCCAGTCGCTGTGGCGATAGCTTCATTCATAGTGGCTTTCCCCGTTTCCACGAGTCTTCTGACTAAACGGATTGCCTTTGGGCAGATTGTGGTTGTCTACGTGACTTTTGTCGTGTTCAACGGAGAGATGGCTCATGTGATCATGCTCCCGGCTCATGTGGCGGCTAGTACAGCGCTTGGTGCCATTGCTTCTCTCCTCGCCGTGCTTCTCCCGTTTCCAAGGCTGGCTCATACTCAGATGGCTAAAGGTTGCAAATTGTATGCTGAAAATGCTGTTGAGAGGTTGAACTTGTTCGTCGAGGTCATCATGGCTCGAGACAACACCACAGCTCAGGTTTTGATCGCAAAGGCCGCTTCCTTGTCTTCAGCAGCAAGAAACACACTCAAGAGCATCCAACTCCACCATGTAAGTCAACCGTCTTAACAAAATTGATTATGATCATATTCTAAATACTCGTAATTCTTTTTTTCTTGTTGGTCTAATAATATGTTTCTGACAAATCTTTTCTTTGGTAACAGGATCGTATGGTATGGGAGAGACCAGATACAAAGTTCTTGAAAAGGAAGCAGAAGCATCCTGAGGACACAGAGTTTCTGATGAGAGGGATGGAGATGGCGTTGGGATCTTGCACTTCTTTTCCTCTAGACATGAGCCGCGACGAACTCACACGTCTTTTAGAAGCTCCAAGAACACAGATCGCTGCCGAGTCAGCATCTACTCACAAGCCTGAGGACAGGCTGAGTTGGCAACCTGAGGCTGGTTCTCTGTCTTCCGCAGCTTTACCGGTTTACTTCTTCCGCTACTGCGTTGAACTCTTCAGGGGTGATTTCTTATCTGTGAGTAACACAGAGGAAGACACTCCATCAGGAAACAAAGGGTTGTCCTTTCCCAAAAGGGTTTTGGATATTCTCTGTGTCTGGATGGCTAGAGAAAGGTTTGTTTTTGCATTCAAGTGCTCGATCTCTCTAGGCCTTGCGGTGCTGTTTGGTATCATTTATAACAAGAAAAACGGGTACTGGTCGGGTCTAACGGTAGCGATTAGTCTTGTGTCCGGTAGGCAAGCGACATTAACGGTAGCGAATTCTCGTCTACAAGGGACTGCGATGGGGTCAGTCTACGGTCTGTTATGTTGCGCTGTTTTCCAAAACTTACAAGAGTTCAGGTTCTTGCCTCTGCTCCCTTGGATAGCCGTCACCGTCTTCATGAGGCACAGCAGAGTCTATGGCCAACCTGGAGGAGTTACAGCTGCAATTGCAGCACTGTTGATACTTGGAAGGAGAAACTACGGAGCTCCGACTGATTTCGCCATCGCTCGGATCGTTGAAGCTTCTATTGGGTTGCTCTGTTTCGTCTTTGGGGAACTTCTGATCAACCCTGCGAGAGCAACAACTCTTGCAAGAACCGAACTTTCACGCTGTCTCGATGCGGTCGTAGATTGTGTCGGATCAATTGTTCTATGTTGTGAGCAGAAGAGCCAGCAGGAAATGTCAGAGCTAAGAAGCAAGCAGGCGAAACTCAAGTCTCACGTTGACGCATTGGAGAGGTTTACAGCAGAAGCCTTGACAGAGCCTAATATTCCATTCCTCCGACCACTCAACGCGGTCGGTTACAACAAGCTTTTGGGATCTTTCTCGAAGATATCTGATCTTTGTCTCTATGTCTCTGAAGAACTCAAAAACATATCTGGAGCGGAGACAACAGTTGGGTTTCCCTGGGACAGTATCACTCATGACCTGAAAGCCTTCCAAGAAAAGCTTCGCTCTTCGGTGAAATGCTTTGAAGAGAACGCATCAACCAAGTCTCTAGCGAGAATCCAAAAAGAGTTAAAGAAGAGAAAGATATGCCATGATGTTGAAGCAGGAACAACAACAAACGACAGCAACTTAATCATGGAGTTGGGTCCAAGCCAAAATGATGCAGAGAGGTTTTCGGTTTCTTTTGTAATGCTACTAAAGGAAGCAACAGACAAGATAAGTGGTAGCACAGCTGAAGAGGCGTTCAAGAGTGAAACTGATCTATCTTTGAGCAGCCTAGGGTTTTGTATTAGCAGATTGATGCAAGAAACAGTATGTATTATGGCAGAAATAACCCATACAAGTTGATTTTAGAAGAATTCTTGACGATGTTTAGTAACTATAGCAGATAGCATCATGTAAGAAATAGAGAAAATTGGTCTAAAAACAAAGCCTTTTAATATTTTTTATAATGAGCTAGCAAGTGTATGAATAGTATTACTACAAAAAAAGAGAGAGATTTATCCAGCTAAAACCATATTGTCAACATACATGTACTGAAAAAAGAAAAACGATCCTCAAGTATGGAATGCGAATAACATGTTCATCCAACAACAGTGACTGAATTTGAACCTCATTTCTACTCGTATTTGGGGTCAGCCATCACGAAATGGTAGGCGATTACCAGTATGAAGATGAAGATCCCCAGAAAATTGGCAAAGAAGCCCAGATCTTGATCGTCAAACATCTGCAACATCACACAACAACCATACGAGAATATTAGAAGAAAGAAACAAGCTTAGCGAGTGAAAGACTTAACTGTTCAGCTAAAAGTCTAAAGCAAAACAGATATTCAATAAACCTCTGCCAGATCTCGTAGAAATCATTTTCCAACATCAACTCTTGTAACAAAGCCAAACTCTGAATTATTTCCGAATTTACATTGAAATTAGTAGCAACCATTAAGCTTAATAATACATTATGATGAATCCAGAACTTCGATTACAAATCCAAGATAGAGGCACGAAATCCAGTAAGGACAGTACGTGTTCAATCAAACAAATCGATCTAGAAGACAAGCAAAAACCGACATTGATCGAATCCGATAGCAGTGAGATAAAGCAAAGGCGATCTTTCATCAGATCACCATGTTAAAACCCAGGGAAATGGAATTATGCCTAAGATTCACTACCCAAAAGCTACAATTTTGTAACAAATAATTATGAAGACAGATTCGAAAGTTTCACAGAAATGTCCGAAAATTACCTTCGGAAACGCAGAGAATTTCGTGATCGAGAAATCTGGAGGAGCAGGGAACGCGTGAACTGTGTGTGTGTTTAACTTTAAAGTCTGTGTAAGCAGATGGAGCGAGTCAGCCGCCACTTGAAGAAGCGCAAGATGAAACGGCGACGTTTTACTAAAAGCAACATTCAAACGGCGACGTTTCGTGCCTTGTTAAATCTTCGAAATGTTTGGTAACTAATATTTGGTTATTATGGTTGGATTTGCTCGGTTTGGTAAATGCCATATCGAGAACCGGAAAGCATTAGGAACTTTTCTTTTTGCGCAAAGCATTATGAACTTCAAAACGAGCGATGAACAAAGAAAGTTGAGAACGTCTGTAACATAGCAAGCAATGAAGCAATTACAGGGAAATTCCAGAGACATTACAACTGTACAAAGCAACCATCTTTTTTTTGTTTCTTTACAATTGAATTGAGAAGAGCGTTTATAATTTTTGTTTTTTACACACTTGGGTTTGTCCCGGTTGAACCACCAATCAAAGGATGATCATTCCTCGCGGGTAAATACTTTCTCGACCTTGAGAGCTAAAAACAAGAAAGAGAGAAGTGAAGCACAGACCATAACAAGCATCACTATGAGCATTGTTTGCAGTGATATGTACGGGCTTAGGAAGAACACAGTCGCTATTGCTGCGCTCTGCCATACTTTTAGCTGCGCAAACGCTCCTTCCTGTTCCCATAAGTAAACAAAAAAGAGAGACGTTTTAGCGGATTTTGTCAAGTGTTTTGGTGAATGAGAACATCTTAAAATAGTAATAATGTTCTGGTGATATTTACCGTGTCATCTTTGAAGAGTAAAGCTAACAGAGCGCTGATTTGAGTGTTTAATATTCCATCACCAATTCCTAATATTGCCGCCATTATAAGTAGGTAAGCTGTGCCAAGTACTCCACTAGTTTGCCTGCATCATCATCATATCATATTATCACAGCTGAGTTTTCTTCTAAACTCGATTGTAGGCTATGAGATTCACCAGAAGAATAGTAACAAACCTGTACCCAAGAAGAAGCCAGAGAAATACAGAAGCTTGAGCAACAGCTCCACCAGAGACTATGAAGGTGATTGATGACAAACCAGAGGTAAACCGTCCAGCAGTTATTGAACACTAGAATGATTTTTCAGCAAAAAAAAAAAAAAAAAAAAGGATTAGCCTCAATACAATATCCACGCCAACTAAAAACTTATCAGCTAAAACAGGAAGATATTTTTGGCTTTTCCTTTAAACTTACAACAGCATTAACAGCTCCGTAGGCTGCCATTGCCCCACCAACACCTGAGACACCAATCGCAGGTGTTACTACTTCCTTTGTAAACTCAGCCCTATCAACAGGAAGATGAAAATAATGAATATACATATTAAAAATAAATTTGGCTGATTTCAGTGACAAAAATAATAAGCTATATATAGTTTGTTGATAGACATACCAAACAAATGCTTGTTGCAATCCTGAGTATGCAAGGAGTGGAACGATCAGTAGCATCCGTTTGTCGAGCAAAGGAGTGATTATCATCTTAGGAAGAGAAACCAAGGAATCAACTATGCCCACAGAAGAACCCACTGGTTCTTTTCCGTCTTCTCCGTCAATTTTTCGGATGAAGAACATTAGTATTGTTCCCAATGTCATACTGAGGAGAAACACCAACAACAGTAAGGTTGTGCCAGTGGTGCTTCCTTCCTACAGTCATGTCAACAAGAAGAAGAAAATGGTGGAGCAACCCAACTAGAAGAGGGAATATATTATCATCACTGAGAATGTGGTAGCATGGTCAGCTATTTTATACTTCAACCTTAGAAATAATTACTTTGTGAACTGATGGAACCAGTAGTCAAGTTATAATTAGCACGATGAAAGAAATTAAGCTATAGCAACCTAAAAGGGAAGTCATCATGAATATGAAAGTAAAACTCTAAAACATGCTATCAGATGCTGTCAACAATTTTTTCAAAAGAGTCAGTACCTCCCCATCTTTCAGCAAAGCAAGTGTGATGAGATTCCCAAACAGCTACAAAAAATATTGATGAGAAATGTGTCACAAGAAGAATTTAGAGTAAGGAAGAGCACTAAGAAACTCTGAGCAAACAAGCATGCACCTGGTGGGAGGCAAACATAGCCCAAAACTCCCCATTGAAGGCACCGATTATTGACCCTTCATGCACACCATGATCTTTAGCATGTCTTCTCGCAATTGATGTAAGGTATGTTCCCTAATGCAGTCAAGAAAATATGAGTTAAGGTCTCGGAATCCACTAGACACCCGCAAGGCTAACATCAAGAAAAAGAAACATGCAATTGCACCTGGCCAACCCATATTATTGAAGCTGCAAATCCAAGGTATAAAGAAGCTGGTACCATAGTAAACCTACAACCAATAACCATATATAAAGAAATTTTTTGTTAAGTGTTCTTAAAATTTCCACAGAGCAACAGTTAGTCATTAAGCCAAGGGAACACAGGAGAATACCATGTTGGCTTCAAATTCGCAGCTACAAAGAGCCAATACCCTGTAGTTCCTAAAACCAGAGCATTCTTTGACCCCATTAACCGGACCACCAAAGATGCAACCATGGAGCAAAACATGAAGGACACATACAATATCCCTAGAGAGATTGTTCCCAACTCCTGAAAGAGTCAAAACAATGCAGTTCTCAACTTATCACCACACAAAGAAACTGTGTAATCAATTTCGGCACCACACAAAGAAACTTTGTAATCAATTTCGCCAAATTCTCATTCCTTTTTAGATCCATCACAACAAAATAACAGAATAATTTATCCCCAACAAAATTGATGAAAATTCAAAAACTTGTAGTTTCCCTCTATTTCCAATCCTAGCTAATTTTCCCGAAAACAAAACAACAGAGTAGACTTCGATATGCAAATTGACTAAAATGGAAAATGGTAAGATCAAGCACCTTATTAACGGTGGTCTCAAGGTTCTGAGCGGCACCGTAGGCGAGGAAGATCAACAGAAAGGAGATGCTGAGAATATGAACATCCCTTGTGTAACTCTTTCCAGCTCTTAGCTTCTGATCCTCGCTAGAGACCAACGGCGCTTCCTCGTCGCCTCTGTAATCCATTGCGGAGAATCGGTCCGAGCACCTCACCGACTACGGCTCCGGGAAAGATGAGCGGAGCAACACGGAGAGTGAAAGTCAAACCATATGAGAGAGAGAGAGAGAGAGAGAGAGAGAGAGAGAGAGAGACGTAGAAGCCTGAAACTGGAAGGAGAGTCGCTTCAGAGATTCGCTGGTGATGATTCGGTACAATTTGATTGCGATTCGGTACAATTTGATTGCAGTTCGGTTTATCTGCTCCGGTAGAGTTTGAAGTTTCGAAATTTCGAGAGGATTAAATTCAAACTGAAGAAACCGGTTTACTTCACCACAGCAGTTTACTTTCCGTTTGTTTCCCGGGAAAACTGAAGAAACCGGTTTCCCTTTTGGTTAAAATCCGGCGTAAAGTTTCTAGTCGGTAGGATAGGCCGGTACAAGCACATGTTTTTCTCATAGTTGTTACTTAGTAATAAAAAATTCCGGTTTACACTTTCCACCAGATCTGCCTTCTTCTTCTTTCCCTTTTAGCTTCCTTCATCTTTGACTTATTGGCTGTTAAGAGTTTTTATCACTTATCAGAATCAACAATGGCGTCTCCGGCGAAGTTTCATTGCTCCAGACCGACATTTCACCTCCAGATCAATCTCCGGCGAAGTTCTCCCGACAGACTATCGTTTCCCCTTTTTTCCAGAGACCTACCGAAGTCACCACGCGTCAGATTTCCGGTCGTCAGAGCTTCATCGCCGCCGTCGAATCCCAAGCCTTCACTGCTCAAAACCACCTGCATCACCCTCACCGCAGCCGCAGCTCTGTTCTCAGCATCCTTTTACTTCGCCTCCAAACCTCCGGCCATCTCTCCGGAAGAGGCGACGCTCGAGAAACACCTGGAGACAGAATCAAACGATGTGGAAGCTTTGTTATCGCTGACGAAAATCAAATTCGAATCCAAAAAGTATGACCAGGCGATAGCGATTCTCAACCGTATGATCGAAATCGATCCGGACGAACAGGACTGGCCGGTTATGAAGGCTCGGATTCTGTCATGCAACGGCGAGAGCGAATCGGCGATCACAGCTTTCGAGGAGATTCTCGCAAAGGACCCGAACCGCGTCGAAGCATATCATTACTTGGTGATGGAGTGTTACGACTCTATACCGAAATTAACCGAGCTAGAGAAGAAGATCAGCGATGCGATTGGAAGATGCAAGAAGAAGACCAAGGAGATTCGCGATTTCAGGTTGTTAATCGCACAGATTAAAGTTATTGAAGGGAACTCGGTCGAAGCAATTAGGATTTGTGAGGAGTTGGTGAAGGATGATCCGAAAGATTTCAGGATGTATCTGTTTCAAGGGTTGATGTATACGTTGATGAAGAATGAAGACGAAGCTGCTAAGCAGTACGAGCAAGGTGCGATGTTTCTCCCGGAGGATCATCCGTTCAGAGATTTTGAGAACAATTCGGAATCGGAGTGGCGAGTGATTGTAGCTTACGATAGTGTCTTCTGCTATTTATGTACATTCACTAAGCTTTTGGTAGCTTCCTCATTTGGGAAGTTATTTTAACTTTGGAGTTTGAGAATAACCTTGAATTTATGTATGAACTTCACAGTTCAAAGTTCAAACAGTGAAGTCATAAAACGAAATTGTTTTCAGTTCAGCCCTTTTCCTTTTAATAAACTTCTTCAGTTCTTCTTGACAAGTGTTGTCAAATCGATATTTGAAGTGTTTATGATAAATGGGCTTGAAAATTTGGTGTAAGGCCCGTTAAGTAGTCTATGAATGATAAATGGGCTTTCTTTGACCCACTAAGGAAACTCGAGGGTTTTTTTCTTTTCTCTCGTTGATTAAAAACAGGCTTCATATATAAAACCATTCCTCCAATTTTAGGGTTTCTGATTCCTCGGAGCGAGAAGAAGAGAAGCAGCGGCGCAGCAGTTGAACACGAGTCAAGCTCACGATGGGTATGTCGATGGATTATCACTTAATGTTCTTCGTTTCTGAAATCGTATTACACGGAGGATTACGTCTGATCTAACATTTGGTTTGTTCTGTTTCTAGCGAGGATTAAGGTTCACGAACTGAGGGAGAAGTCGAAGAGCGATTTGCAGAACCAGCTTAAGGATCTTAAGGCTGAGCTCGCTCTCCTCCGTGTCGCCAAAGTCACCGGAGGTGCTCCCAACAAGCTCTCTAAAATGTAAGTTTATCCCAACTCAGAAACTTTAGATTTTAGCTTAGAATTGCTTCGATTTGTAGTCTATGATTCCGAAATGGTGTTTGCATATGTTATTCGCTTATCGATTTAGATAGTGTAGGATGTGGAATTGTATAGATTTGACGCTCGTTAATCGTTGGATTGTTGAATTGAAAATGTTTCGATCTGAGATTGTTTGATGTTTTGGAATCTGCAGCAAGGTCGTCCGTAAATCCATTGCTCAGGTCTTGACAGTTGCTTCACAGAAGCAGAAGTCTGCACTTAGAGAAGCGTACAAGAACAAGAAGTTTCTTCCTCTCGATCTCCGTCCCAAGAAGACTCGTGCGATCCGCAGACGCCTTACCAAACATCAGGTCTGTCTTAATCATTAGCGCAATTTTGTTTCTATCGTTGCGAATGCGGTTGTTCTGATATTCTTCTTGGCTTTTTTGTTTCTGTCTCTACATTGCAGCTCTCTTTGAAGACAGAGCGTGAGAAGAAGAGAGCTATGTATTTCCCAATAAGGAAGTACGCTATCAAAGTTTAGTTTTTTTTCATAATATCAGCTTGCTAGAAACTGTTTCGGCTTTGGTTCTGATGGAAACTTGTTCTTCACTTTTGTTCTTTTGTCAATCAAGATTCAGCGACATCGATTTTGGATCCTGTTGGTCTTTAGCTTTAATCTGTTCAAGTTATTATTTTTTGGTTGTTGAGCTATAACGAAGTTTTTTACCGCATCTATATCATTTTTGGTATTTGTGCTACTAACATAGCTAATGTGCAATACTAATACGTACACGCGACGGTCGCGACCATTAATCACTCCACCGATATAAGAAAATCCGGAATTCAATGGAATAAGTTAGAATTTAAATCATATGTTGTCTATAAAACAAATACGAGAAACATACGGATCTTCTTTTCTGTTCTCATTTTGAACTGAGCACAACTTGGAAAGTCGGAACCATGATGTAATCGTTTACTACTAATCATTTGTAAAAACAAAAACAAAAAATCATATCCATATATCTGCGCTCCAGATCCAGGAAAAAAAGACAAAAAAGAGTCGACCACAGTGGGAGTCGAACCCACGACCTTTTGATCCGAAGTCAAACGCGCTAATCCACTGCGCTATGCGGTCATTGTTGTACAGCATCGTGTGCACATAAATCAATTGGAATAGTTAATTGTAAACGTAACTCTCCGGATACCAATATTCAATTTCTAGCCGTGACGTGTTATTCTAATTTCGGACATTTTAGAAAAAGTAACCCAAATGCCGTCACTTGTCATGGAAAAGTAGATTTTGACTGCGCTTGTTTGGACATCTCGACGTGAAGATGTTAATGGTACTTTACATCGATATGAAAAGAATATCACATGATAGTATGAATGCAGAGACGCTATTTGTTATAATTAGTTGGAACAAAGATTAATCAATGTTTAAGTGGTGCTATATTGCAATGTATTTTCTATCATATATAATAGATATTTTATTTATCGCATGTGAACTGATGATTAGATTGTTAATCCAAATTTTGGAATTTCTAGATTGTTTATTACGTGATGTTTTAATTAAAAAGTCAATTTTAATAGTTATTGCTTCGTACCCTTTTTCAAACGGACGTATTTTGTCTTGATCGAGTTTACGTGTACGGACTAATAATCGAAGAGCAACAGTAATAAACTCTCGAAGATTGTGTAAAGGTCAATGACAAACAACCTTGTTCTCAGAGAGAATAAAAAACAACAACAATAATAACCTTGGAATAACTCAACCAACATATATTGAGGTCAACATTAAGACACGCATATTCCTTACACGTTAATATGCATGCACCAAGACTAAAGGGGTTTATATATGACAAATTGGCAATATATTAAACTCTTCGTATACTGTTTGATTAGATGATCAAAGAAATTTCCAAATGCTTACCTTTCAAGTAAGATTATAATTATTTTCGGGGGTCTTACATCTAACCATGAATCTTGTGTTTAAGTATGTACAAATATTATTCATGCATGCCAAACTTCCTTGTTTTTTCTTAGAATACTTGATAGACAAAATAAGAAAGAAAAAAACAGTTAAATTTCGATTTGACGCATATCTTGTCGTACCGGTAAAAATATCATGGTGGCTAGACCGTAAGTTGGACATATCATATATATGTAGTTCAGTTTCGATTCATAAAAAAACTAAGTAACCTAAAACAACAACAAAAAACGTAACTAGTCTAATTAAGCGAGACATGTATTTGCCTATATAGCTTTGTATATATTAGATACCTGAATGTATATATTAAAAATCGACTAGCAATATAATTTTAGCCGAATATTGATAAAACATAAACACTAGTCTATTTCGTAGTAGCTTATACATATCAGGGTTGTCGTTGTTAATTGGTTTCAAATTTGACGACTTATAAAATTATAATAATTTAAGTATTGACGAAACTATAATATATATATATACCAAATATGTATTGTTATTTGATAATGTCACGCCTCACGAAAATTTGAAGTTGAATTTGACTGTTGATGAGAAGAAATAATCAAAACAAATATAATCATTTTTAATCGATTGAATCTGCATATAAATATGTATAGGCTATCTTGTTCAATGCATAAGCTATCTAGTACAAATCGTTGGAAAAAAAGCTGTATATTTAGAAGACTATAACACTTTTGAAAGAAAATCAATGTATTAGTCCATTGTTGTATTATAGTATCATTATGGAAGCTTTTAATTGTTAATAATCTTACGTATGCATGTATGAAATTAGACAATTTAATATGTAATATTAACATTCGATCAGCCGACTTTCATGTATAATAGTATGTTTTATTATATACATGTGATGGAATGTATAATTGTAAATTTGTTAAAAGGCGACAAAAAAATGAATTAAATCAAATAGTTATAACCTAGCTAAACAAACTACATACGGCAGCAAAAAAAAGACACTGAATACGATCAGTTTAAGCTATAATGATATGGTACTAGCATCTCTCCCAGCAAGAGGACGAAATTGATAACACTCTCTTTGCCATTGTACTATTTTCCGGATTCGTTCTCGGAATCTTATGCCACTTTTTTATCGTTTTGCTTCTTATGTAGGCTCATGGCCAAAAGAAGCAACCAAATCTGTTACGATGAGATTTGGAGATGAAGATTGGTTATCAAAGTCACATGCCAAAGTGGCTACATCTCGATCTTTTGGTATTGCCGTGATTATCACATTGACTCAAGCGAGACTTGTCTCCATTTTGCTGTCGATCAACGTATCTCGATGATAAAAGAATAATAATTTGTCAAGTAATTTAAACACATATACACTTTAACAACAACAAAATTAAACCACACATTATACACGACTGAAATAGAAAAGAAAAAAAATAGTTTGCTGCATAAAATGCAATTGCCAAAAAACTAGCCTATCATCACTGCCATCAACATCGTCACTATCACCGATTGGTTTTTAGATAAAAACAAAATAAAGAGACATGAAGGATTAAATAGTTTTTTTGGGTAATAGTACATGTGAGAAAAAAAAAACATTTTTGTGTTAGTTAATTTAAACATTACTGGATGTCATATATTACAATTTCTTTAAATATTATCGGTAACTGATTTGGATCTAAAAGGATGTGAACGAAAAAAGATACAGATTACTGGTTGATAAACAATTATATATTTTCAAACTCTTGTTTTAGAGGGCAAATTATATATATCATAAAATAAAAAGTTGTGGGAACACATATTAATACCAAGAATCTAAATAATCACATACCTGATACGTCCAAGAAGAAAGCACATCATCTGTGTACTGTGTGCATCTCTTTCGAACAAACTGATAAAAAAGAAAGAATGACGTAGAAAAAAGATTGTGTAAATCACAAGTATGTACTCAAGTCGTTATAAAATGCGTCACACATCAATAAATTTTGACATGAGTTACGCGATCCATTGACCTTTAATTTTAATCATTTTAATTTCCAATTTAAGAATGTATTGTTTGGTAAAACATATTATCGTGTTAGGAGTTAGGACCATGCATCCACAATTGACATAGACTATATTCAAGGCTGTAATTGACGGATAGCTCATGGGGTCAAGGTCAGGGTCAAGCATACACTATGAGATAACTTCGTCTTCTTCATTGAAATTGCATATTCAATTATAATAAAAGTTGTATACCCTTAGATTTAATCATTATGGACGTCCAGTTTGTTTATGTTGGAATTAATTAAGCCTAGCCAAAGTATGGTTTGGTTTGGAAATCAGTTTGTATGGTTTTGGTGAAAGTGAAATCAGCAGCACCAGTTCGTTGGTACACCTACGCATATAACGGTCGAGGAGGCAATATATTTGAATTCTTCTCTTGGGATTGAAGTAAGCAAGAGCCGATCACGATACATATTACATGTAACATGTATGCAAATATGTAACAAAATAATGATTATGTAAACGTTTAGATTATGCAAATAGTTGTGTACTTAAAAACATATTGATCCTTAATATTTTCAGATCAAGATATTTGCATTATAAAAATAATATTTCAGGTCAACTTATAATATACTTAAATTAAAAAATAGTAAATTATTATGTCACATTTTTTGGGAAAGATACATATATAATCATGCAGAGAGTAAAACAAATCGGCAAAAGTCAAAGGTCAATAACAACTTTCATCGTCCCTTCCTCTCCACAAGTTTAACGACGTCGTCCCAACGCTGTGTTTAGTCTATAAATACTGTCACCAACGACTTGATCCACTCCCCTCATAACTCTGACCACCACCACAGTTTCAAAATTTCAAAATCTTCTCTCGAAATTTCTTCGAAGACTTACGTTTCACAGAGCTTATGACGAGGAAAGCGATGAGTAATCTTTGCTGCGTCGCCAAAACGCCGTCGAATCACCAACCTCCTCTTATGTTAACCCCTCGCCAGAGTTTGGAATCGGCGGCTATCTACGGAGTCATCGAGTCCGCGGCGGACATAATCGAGAGATGGAACACGGAGAGCTCCACTTTCGCCAGAGTAACTTCCATGTTCTACGAGAACAAGCCGGAAGCCATGGTGTTCATCGATCGAGTGAAGGATCTGCAGAAGACGATGGATCTGCTGGTGAGTGAAGATCCCAACTCGGAGAGGCTCATGAGAGCGCATAAGCTGATGCAGATCGCGATGAAGAGGCTCCAGAAGGAGTTTTACCAGATCCTCTCGATGAATCGCGCTTATCTCGATCCAGAATCCGTCTCCACTCGATCTTCTCTTACCTCAGCCAGATCTAGCTACTCCGATTTCCCCGACGACGATGACTCACACTCCGCCGGTGACACAATCGTGGAAGTGGAGGAGGTTTCTTCCAGCGCCATGGCGGATTTAAGATCCATCGCTGAGTGTATGATCGCTTCTGGTTACGCCAAAGAGTGTGTGAGCATTTATAAAAGCATCAGAAAATCGATCATCGACGAAGGGATTTACCGTCTCGAAGTGGAGAAAATTAGTACAGCGAAGGTGAGGAGAATGTCATGGGAGGTGATCGAATTGAAGATCAGAAGCTGGTTAGAGGCGGTGAAAGTTTCCGTCGAGACTCTCTTCAAGGGGGAGAAGATTCTATGTGATCACGTCTTCGAATCCTCTAGCGCAATTAGAGAGTCCTGCTTCAGTGAAATCTCGCGAGAAGGAGCTCTTCTTCTGTTTGGATTCCCTGAAAAATTTGCTAGTAGAATCAGCAAGAAAAATTCTCCACCGGCGAAAATTTTCCGGCTGCTGGATATGTACACCGCGATCGCCGGAAACTGGCGGGCGATCGAATCAATCTTTGCGTTTGAGTCAAGCTCCGTCGTCCGATCTCAAGCACTTAAATCTCTGATCGCTCTTAGCGATTCGATTCGATCGGTACTTGTGGATTTCGAATCCGGAATCCATAAGGACTCGTCGAAGGTGGTGGTTCCAGGCGGAGGAGTACATCAACTGACGGTCTCCGTCATGAGTTATCTATCTCTCCTCGCCGACTACAGCAACGTACTAGTTGACATCATCGCCGGATCTCCGCCACCGGACAGATCGTTGCTTCCGGAGTCTTACTTCAACGTCTCGGATTCCGACGACTCGCCGTCGTCGGAGCTCACGATCCGATTCGCGTGGCTCATCCTCGTCCTCCTCTGCAAAATCGATCGTAAAGCAAATCACTACAAGGATTGCTCCGTGCAGTATCTCTTCCTCACCAACAATCTACAGCACGTGGTCTCACGCGCTCGTTCCTCGAACCTGAGGCAACTCCTTGGCGACGACTGGGTCACGAGGCATTTCGCTAAGGTGAAGCAATTCGCCGACAGATACAAGCGACTCGCGTGGGGCCCAGTGCTAGCGTGTTTACCTGAGAATCGTACGGTGGAAATGTCGCCGGAGGAAGTGAAGGAGCGGTTTGAAAAATTCAGCGAGAGCTTCGAGAGGGCGCACGGTAAACAAAGCGCGTGCGTTGTACCGGATACCGATCTACGAGACGAGATTAAACTGTCGATAGCGAGAAAGCTGGTGCCGGCTTATCGCGAGTTTTACAACACTAGAAGTTCTGTTATCTTGGCGGGAGCCGGTGGCGCGAGAAAACTGAGATCTGTTGTCCGATTTACCCCTGAAGATATTGAAAACCGTTTGTCTGATTTGTTTTTGGATGAGGGTATTTCGGATAACTCTTACGATTCCTCCTCTCGTTCGTCTTGTCAGTCACGGCCATCCACAAAGTAAAAAAAGAGAGCTAATAATATTTTGCATTCTTGTTTTAGATGTAAAAATCAAACACTAAATAGTAGTTAATCTTTGAAAGCTTTTAGTTAATCTTGCGTAGTTTTTATCCAACGAGGACAACGACATCGGAGGATGCTTCTTATGGTAAATTTTCTCGTTTCATAATTTGAAATAACGACATTGGAGAATGCTTCATATGGTAAATATTCAAGTTTCATATTTGAACATCACATTACACACTTATCTGTAATGTCCAAGGATTGAGGTATTATTGTTTCTAAAAATGGAGGGAGTACTGTATATTGCACTAAAATTATATTGTACTATACAGAAAGTTTTATCCAAAAATTTCTCATATTGTTGTTACTCGACAAAAATATACAGATGTGTCCACGAAAATGACACGTGAAGGGCAAGGATGAGTCAAAGGCCAACGCCACAACGATAAACGACCTAAATAATTCATTATCATGGTGTAACAGATTAAAAAAAGCTCTAGAGTTTATCTCTTGTAACGACACCTCCCTGAATTTGGATTCAGTGGTAGGTTCTTCAAAAAGAGAACCTCACCACTTGGTTCTTGAATCCCACACAGAAGGCGTTTCGTTATCTAATGTAACTAAAACCATTTTTTTCCTCCTTCAAAATATCCCTGCAACGACATTTGAAAAAAAAAGAAGAAGAAATAATTAAGATCAAAATGAGAAGCAAAAGCGGCTTCAGTTTCTTCAGTAAGATGACTTCTTCCAAGAAGAAACCTTCTCCGGCAATACCTAGAAAGGGTTTCGAGTCGGCGCATATCGACCGGACGATTGATTCCGCCGCGGAGATCATCGAGAAATGGAATACAGAGTATGTTTCCGACACGAAATTCTACTCTCTGTTTCGCGAGAGCAAACGAGAAGCGAAAGAGTTCGTAAAACGCGTGAAGAATCTGCAGGACGCGATGGATTTACTGATAAGCGAGGATCCAAATTCGGAGAAGCTTCTTAGGTCACATAAACTTATGCAGATCGCTATGAAACGGCTCCAGAGTGAGTTTCTCCAGATTCTGTCAATGAATCGCGCGCATTTGGATCCCGAATCCGTCTCCGCTAGATCGCCTACCTCCGTCCACGACGTTTGGCGGGAGTCTCGTTCGGCTAGAGATTCCATCATCGAAGTTGAAGAAGTGTCGAAGAACTCTACAACGGAGCTGAAATCAATCGCCGAGTGCATGATCGCCGCCGGTTATGCGAAAGAGTGCGCCACTACTTACAAGTCCATCAGAAAATCGATTGTCGACGAAGGGATTTACCGTCTGGGAGTCGAGAAAATCAGCTCCTTCAAAGCGAAAAAGATGCCATCGGAGGTTGTTGAGCTGAAGATGAAGAGCTGGATCGAAGCGGTTAACGTCTCGATGAAGATTCTCTTCGACGGCGAAAGAGATCTCTGCGACGAAATTTTCAAATCCTCTGTTTCTCTCAGAGAGTCTTGTTTCCGAGATATCTCTAAAGAAGGAGCTCTGCTTTTGTTTGCGTTTCCGGAAACAGTTGCCGTGAGAGACAAGAAAAATCCACATCCGGAGAAGATTTTCCCGTTGCTGGATATGTATTGCACGATCGCCGAGAATATTCCGGCGATCGAATCGATCTTCTCGTTTCAATCGATTTCCGTTGTTCGATCTCAAGCTCTCAACTCGCTTACCCGACTCAGTGAGTCGATTATTTCGAATCTAGTGGATTTCGAATCTGAAATCCGGAAAGACTCGTCGAAGACGGTGGTTTCCGGCGGAGGTGTGCATCCGATGACTATCTCCGCCATGGATCACCTCTCTCGTCTCGCGGAATACAGTGACGCCCTCATGGATATCCTCAACGGAACGTCATCATCCTCTTCCGCTAAATCGCTGCTTCCGAAATCTTACTTCAACGTCACGGAATCCGACGGGTCTCCGGCGTCGGAGATAAAATTCCGATTTGCGTGGTTGATTCTCGTCCTCCTTTGCAAGATCGACGGCAAGGCTGAGATGTACAAGGAGTTCTCGATGCAGTATCTCTTCTTAGCCAACAACCTCCAACACGTGGCGTCACGTGCACGCTCCACGAATCTGAAGCAGCTGCTCGGAGACGATTGGATCGCGAGGCATTTCGAGAAAGTCAGGCAGTTCGCCAGAAGCTACGAGAGGCTCGCGTGGGGTCCACTCGCGTCGCTGTGTCCGGCGATTAGTACTTCGGAGGCGGTGGAGAAGTCCTCGGAGGAAGCGAAGATGCAGTTCCAAGTGTTCAACGAGAGATTCGAGAGCGCGTGCGAGTCGCAGAGCGTTTGCGTTGTGGCTGATCCGAAACTGCGGGACGAGTTGAGAATTTCGATCGGGAGGAAGCTGTTGCCGGTTTATCGCGATTTTTACAACGCGCATAGAAATGCCGTTATGTTGGCGGGAAGGGATGGTGAGTGGAATGTCCGATATACCCCTGAAGATATCGGAAACCACTTGTCGGAGTCGTTTAGCGGGAAGGGTGTTTTGGATAAACCATACGTGTGTTCCACAAATTTCTGTCTTGTTACAGCTTCTCACACTACTCTTGGAAAGAAGCAGCGATCTTTGTCATGCAGAAGATTTTGAAGTGGGAAATAAAAGTTTTTCTAACATATTTATTACTTTCCCGCCAGTTTTCACCCTATAACATTTACCTATAGAGGTATCAATTTTTCTTCCTTTTAAAAACTTCTTGACTGATGTGGTTAAAGGTATAACGAGGATCACGAAATAAGAACTAACAGTAACGCGACATGTTTATGAGATGTAGTTAGTGTTATCACTACCATTTCATGAATAGTACTACTATAGGTATCAAATACAATAATCTATAGGTATATAAAAGGAATCTATAGGTATGAGACTATTGAGTCTTTTGGACCATGTAATGCCAGGTGGACCATCAATGGTGGGGTAGTACCGTGAAATCAAAGTCAAGTCACATAACACGATTTGTAGAGATCCACACATACTTGTACAGAACCAATCAACAGAAGGCGACTTGACTGAGCTTAAGAGCCACAAAAGTTATGTGGACTCGTGACAAACAAGAAATAATTAAAGCCTTAAAATCTGCATAAAACAACATATGAATTGAGTTTGTTGAAAAAAAAAACATTTGATCTCACGCGCTTTCAGGCGGCGAAGGTGTAGGCGCAATCATGATCTGCAATTCTGCATTGTAGTTTCTTCAATGAATGAATTCGGAAAAAAGTTTGGTGTTAATTCATTTTTGTTTGATGCAAGAAAAAAAAAAGAAAAAAATGTCTTTAGTCTAGTGTGGTTAATGGAAGTGTCTTCCTTACTAATACATCACGAGTCAAGCTAGTTTTTTATTTTCTTAATGTCAACTAATTAATACTCCCTCCGTTTCAAATTAATTGTCGTTTTGGCAAAATGTATCTGCAAATATTTGGACGTATCTGAACATGTTTTGCACTACAAATACATCCAAATAATTGCAAGATACATTTTCTCAAAACGACAACTAATTTGAAACGGAGGAATTATACATCATCTGAACTGATCAACTTGCGTTTGCGTTAACGTTTAAGAGTTGAAGAAGTCAAAACGGACGAACCAAAAGAATATATTAAAGTGGATTAATAGACTTAATCACGATATCAAGACCACGAAATGGTTTAAAAGGTTGAGAAGGATTGACATGATCATCCCTTCGACCTTTCTTTTTGCTCAAGAAACCCTGGAAAACATACTATTCTTTGGGTCTGAATGGAAGGTCATGTTTGAGTAACAAAACAAGTGGGAAATTTTTTTTACTCCCATTTACTCTGATTTACTCTAATTATCTACCAATCAGGTAGAAAAGTCATGTCAAAAAGTTTCTCCACATAACGCTAAAAGTAGCGTTATCCTTCCCTTCACATTTTCTAAGATGGAAACCTTTTTTTTTTCTTTTCCACCATTTTACTCTAAAAAAAAAATTTCCTTCCCACTTAATTACTCTTTCCTCAATTACTCTCAATTACGCTTAATTACTCTTTCCTCAATTACTCTCAATTACGCTAAAGTTTACCATTCATACCCTTTGTAATTCGCACGCTGTATATTCTTAATTCTTATAGTCATCTGCTAAGAATACATAACTTTTTTTTTTTACTATTTAGTTTATCAATTTATTCTCGGAGGTATACTAAAGGAAATTTTGCTCCAATTTATTCAAGTTATCCAACCCCATCTGAAAGACTGAAACCACCGGTTTTTAGTTCACAATTTGACGTCATTTGTAGAAAATCATAATCCCTTATTCTAATCCCAAAGAAATTGTGACAACCGCACAATAATCCAAATCATTGTAGTATGCGCGATAATTATGCGCTGGTCGGATGTTGGTCAGATGGAAGCGGAAGGTTCTGCCAGCCGGTCGAGTGTTTCAAGTAGTTCTTGAGTTTTTCAGTTTGAGATTCGACGGTCCATTCAGAATAGTGTTGGGTCGGAGAGAACACGTGGCGCTTTCCCTCGTGGTTAAGACATGACTTGGCACCGTTCAAGAACCAATCCCCTTCTGATCTTATGAAACCATCTTCGGGTTTCTCTTTATCTCCGGCCTAATCCCAAAACAAATTAAGAAAATATAACGTTAATTGTTCTACAATACCCAAACATATAAATGAAGTAAATAACTCTATATTTTTCTAACATGTGAAAATAAAGGTTTACCGTCTCTGTGATGTACTTAAAGACGGTCTTCTTCTCACTACCAGCTTCATATATGTTGCACTCAGAATATATCTATCAAAACAACATAATAATGTAATATAATTAAAAACTGATGATGGTTAGTAGTAGATTCGTAATTCGTAAAATATATGTGTATATATGTTTTTTTAATCCGGTGACGGACCTGACATTCGACTCCAGCTCCGACCGCGTAGATGCCCCAATTACGAGTGTAGTTGTTGAAGAGATGGACTTTGGCGAAGCGAACGCGAGGGTGTCGCTGACGTGTACCGTCGAAGAAACAGTGATGAATCGTAACTCTTATGCATCGGTCCGTCACGTGACTTGGGTCCGCCCCAATCAACATTGTCTTGTTGTGGTTTATGAAATGGCATCTGACCATTTCATTACATTAGTTTTTTGTTATTTTTGGTTCATTTTAAGGAAAAAACACAGAATATTTCATTTGAGAGACAAACCTTGAGACGGTAATGTCAGTGCTTTCACGTGTGATATCAATCAAACCATCATGGTAATTCTTGAGACTACAACGATCAATCCAAATGGTGTTTGATTTCGGTTTGATCTGAATCGCGTCTGCATCTGGCCCCACACCGCCCTCGAATTCAAGGTTACATATTATAACGTTTACGCATTGTTTCAACCTAAGCCCTTTCCCTGTTATCTTCACCCTTTGTCCTCTCCCGTCCACCGTTTTGTTCGACGATACGTGCACAAACGAAGAAAGACTGATTGTTCCCGACACATCGAACACAATCCATAACGGTTCTGGCCTCTTACAAGCCTCTCGTAACGATCCTGGACCCTCGTCTACACAAACGCTTATGATTTGATTAAATCTAAATCAAAATGTGGATACCAAATCAATGACAATCAATATCAACTAGCTATACGAAAATGGGCAAGACTTTTGAAGTAATGTCGCAAACTTTGATCCAATGTAGTTCCATTTTAGATTAATTATTTCAATATAACCACACAGTACATGATCGATCACCAAATTTTGTTTTTTAAAAAGAATGTTCTGTTACTTCTGTATATATGCAAGGAAAATATAAAATTAATCAAGAAATAAATGCTATGATTCTATCACAGATATTTTAAGATTAGGTTCCTAAAAAATGACTGATCCAGTAAATAAAAATAACGTAAACAATAGGTAAAAAAAACAAAACAAAAAAGGAAGATCCAATAAATCCAAGCATCGGAAGAATAATTGAAAGAGGAAATCTTAAAATTACCAGCTAAAGAGGTGACGTGGCAAATGGGGCCACTAAGACCACCAACAGCGGCGCGACCGAAACCCTCGGCCTTTCCGGCGAGGGAGCGGAGGCTGGAGTCCAGGTGGCAATAAGGTTCTACCGCCATGTGAGGACCGGATTGTGACGACAATGAAGACGGCGGAGCTGGAGGAGCGAGAGATTGTTGGCCGGCGTGATGGGATCGGTGAAGTCCGTGTAAGTTTCCCATATCTATTTATAAGAAAGATCTAATTTAATTTTGGACAGTTTCAGTTTCTGTATTTTCGGGGGTTTTTGGGGATTTAATTGCTCTCTGTTGCAACTGCAGTTCACCACCACCATTGATGTTATGTTAGATTCGTTGGAACGGTGAAAGATTGATCATGTCTTGTCCTTTTTTTTGTTGTCGTTGCCGACAGTAGTTTTTTTTATCATTTTGGAATCTTATTAGATATTTTCGCTTAATATATTAAACTGAATAAGTTTATTTTTCAGACAAAGATTCGCCTGACATATTAAAGTCAGTTGATGCTAAAAGTACAAAACGTGTGAATTTACATAACCTGAAAAACAAACCGTACCAATTACAATTACAGAATTTCATACACTGTATTGATCATATGTAGAGAGCAACATTATAATTGTGTGTAAAATATTATGAAAATTAAATCCCGAACGGCTCGCTCTTAAGATGCTGGCGTGGCAATTGGCAAACATCCGTAACTGAAGACGAAAGAAGACAACCAAAATTACACCTAAAAAAAGCTAAGCTCTGCTTCTCGTAACAATACCATAATCGGATCTCAAATCTTTGACGTGACAGTGAAGGTACCGGTGGCTGACGACGACGACGGCTCTTACTGCCTATTCTTCGTCTCCGATCGGAGAACCAGAGTCGGTGGTCTATCTATCATCCTACAATATCATGATCCCGCTTTGAAATCCCTCCTTTTATTTTTAATCTCTCAAAATGGGATCCAGAATCGAAGAAGGTAACAAGTATATGTCATTCTCATTCATTTTAGATTCTGACTCCAATCGTTACGAAATTAGAAAACGTGTTAAGAGATTCGCCACATTTTTGGTTCCTCTGTTTGTGAAATAAGGTTTGGTCTTGAATTGGGATCTTAGGCTGTTTTTTTATTTAGTTTCTTCCATGGACTTGTCATTTGCGTGATACACAAGCAAACGTGTAATCAATCTTGACTCTTGCAGAGAAGGAACTGGAACCGGATATGGAGAAGGGTTTGGCGACGGATCCGGTGAGTCCGACAGGGAGTACATTAGCCGACTTGTCGCCAACTCCAACACCAAGGAAGACTCTGGTTCTGTCCAATTCAGGCAAGGCTTTGATGGTGTCCAACTCAAGCAAATCATTGGGACTTTCCAATTCAGGGAAACGGTTTGATCCAACGGGTAAAAAGAAGTACGTGAAACAAGTCACCGGACGCCACAATGACACCGAGCTTCACCTAGCTGCTCAACGTGGAGATTTGGCTGCTGTTAAGCAGATTCTTAGTGACATTGATTCTCAGCTCACTGGTACCATTACAGGAGCTGATTTTGATGAAGAGGTCTATATAATGATTGATGAATCCCTTCTTCCTTCTTTGTTTTGTTTTGTTTGTGTTGATGAAAGTGTATTGACTCCATTGTCTTATGTTTGGAATCTGAAAGGTAGCACAAATAATGACATCGGTGGTAAACGAGGTAAATGAGTTGGGAGAGACACCACTTTTTACAGCGGCGGAGAAAGGGAATATAGATGTTGTCAAAGAGCTTCTACGTTACACTACCAAAGAGTCTCTCATGCAGAAGAATCTTTCTGGATTCGATGCTTTACACATCGCTTGCAGTCAAGGCCATCGATGTAAGTCTCACTAATCACAACAAGATTGCATCTTTCTTTCTTGTCCTCTCTTGGTGAAACAGAGAGATTCTTTGAATGCAGCTATTGTCCGGTTACTTCTTGAGAATGAACCTCAGTTGAGTAAAACAGTAGCTCAATCAAATGCAACCCCACTTGTGTCAGCTGCAACGCGAGGGCATTTAGATGTAGTTGATGAGTTGCTTGCGAAAGACTCAAGCTTGCTTGAGATATCAAGATCGAATGGAAAGAATGCTCTTCACCTCGCTGCACGTCAAGGTCATGTTGATATCGTAAGAACGTTGCTCGATAAAGATCCGCAATTAGCAAGACGAACAGATAAGAAAGGTCAAACGTCTTTGCATATGGCTGTGAAAGGAGTTAGCTCAGAAGTCGTGAGGTTACTCCTTCGTGCTGATCCTGCTATCGTCATGCTTCCTGATAAATTCGGTAACACCGTCTTGCATATCGCTACACGAAAGAAAAGAGCAGAGGTATAACAATATATTTCTTGATTTCTTGATTCTTGATTTCTTGGATTCTTGATTCTTGATTCTTGATTTCTTGGATTCTTGATTCTTGATTTCTTGTTTTCTTGATTTGCAGATTGTGAATGAGCTGTTACAGCTTCCGGATACAAACGTGAATGCGCTAACACGAGACCACAAAACCGCTTACGATATCGCTGAAGGACTCACTCATTCAGAGGAAACCGCAGAGATCAAAGACATATTATCTCGTTGTGGCGCGCTCAAAGCCAACGAACTAAACCAGCCAAGAGACGAGCTGCGAAAGACCGTGACCGAGATTAAAAAGGACGTCCACACGCAGCTAGAACAAACCCGGAAAACAAACAAAAACGTCGATGGAATCGCCAAGGAGCTAAGGAAACTCCACAGAGCAGGAATCAACAATGCGACAAACTCGGTGACTGTTGTGGCTGTTCTCTTCGCCACGGTGGCATTTGCCGCCATTTTCACTGTTCCGGGAGGCGACGATGATCATGGTGTGGCAGTGATGGTCCACGCAACGTCTTTCAAGATATTCTTTATATTCAACGCGATTGCGCTCTTCACTTCGTTAGCAGTAGTTGTCGTGCAAATCACGCTAGTGAGAGGAGAGACTAAAACGGAGAGACGTGTGGTGGAAGTAATCAATAAGCTCATGTGGCTCGCCTCTGTCTGCACCACCGTGGCGTTCATTTCCTCATCGTACATTGTGGTTGGTCGGAGAAACAGATACGCAGCGGTTGTGGTGACAGTCATAGGAACCGTGACGATGGCCGGAATTTTGAGTATAATGACTTATTACGTTGTGAAGTCGAAGAGGACGAGGAAAGTAAGGAAGAAGGAGAAGAAGAAATTTGCTAGAACTGGTACGAGCTCGTGGCATCATCATGCGAATCCATCAGAGACTGAATCGGAGGTAAATCCAATTTACGCTATCTGATTGATGTTAATGATTATATATCCATGGAAATTTCATGTTTATTTTTTTGTTCTCGACCTATGTAAGTATAATTCTTTTTATTAATTTTATTTACGAGCAAAAGTCGAACTATGTTTTGTGACACAAGGAAAATAGAAACAAGTGTTTATTCAAAAATGTCCTAAACATTCCATCAAAGTAATAACTTAAAAAGTTCTTGTTAATTAGCTTCTAACTGTGGAAAAATCCTAGAAATCATTAGATTCATCTTGGATCAAAATAGCACTAGAAAGGGCTTGATGTTTGTTACAGATCTCAAACCGTTCAGTATTCAGTTTATGCTTCACTTGAAACATTTGTTAGCTTATGTCGAAAGTGCTTGCTTTCCAATTTCGGATTCATGCATGGGCAAATTATTTTGCATACATCGGTCTGCTTTAAGTAATCTAACGAACTGATTCGAAAGTGGACTTTTAAAAGGTTAACTATATAAGGTCGTTCAACAACGATTTTAGTTAAGGTCTGATGATGTATTTAGACTAACTTTTCCTTTTCTTCTGTGTATGTAAGAAGAAAAATATATAAAAAATTAAGATGATATCTTGTACAGCACATTGACACAGCTTATATATAACATCCTTTCCCTATTGTGTTAACTCCTACAAGAGACATTACAAAGTAGAGACAAGTTTCCAGCTCTTTCTAGCGTACAGCGTCATAGAAAAAGCTTACAAAGTCCAGAATTTCAGTAATGGAGATTCTGAAGCCGCCGTGTCGGAGCCATCTGCAGCTCGTTTTAGAAACCGGAAAAGTTTCTCAGTGATTTCTTCACTCCACCTCTTCTACTGGTATTTTCCAGAAGTTCCATGGGTTATAATCTTCCTGTGAATTTGTAAGAAACACTCGAAACCATTAACGAACGTAGAGCGTACATTTCATTAGCATTTGCTACAATATTTTTAGCTTCAATTACCTGCTCAACAAGCGAAGTTGGAGGAAACATGTCGTTGACAAGAGTATGAAGTGACGTGTAAGATTTCTTGACATCTATCCTATGTCCTGTTGCTACCTCTCCCTGCCCCATTTGTAAACACAAAGTCCCTCAGTACACATGTGAAGACACACTCATCTCGAATTCTAAGAGAACTGACATTACCTTAGGATTGATTATGAAAATCTTGCCCTCTGGGATTCCAAGTTTTCTGTAACTCAGCTCATCGGTGTCTCTGTTTCCAAATCCGGCGTAGAACGGGTTGTAATCCTTTGGGAAGAGTTTCCTGATATCCTGCACATTTCATATGTACATTTCTTCTCTTTTAATTCAAGCCGCTAGTTTTTAACCATTCTCTCTTATTTCACCAGAAAAAAAACAAGAGAGCAACTTTTTACCTCCAAACAGGCGATCTTGAATTCGTGAGGTGCCCTTCTTATCACTGCAAAGCAGTTATGAAGTATATGAGAAAGAGAACGAGAGATCATTTATTATTAATTACAAATACGTTAAATTAATCTCCAAGGCATGAAGATAAACAAACCTTCACGGTACAATGCTGGAAATAGCCCGTCTGGTGAAATGACTACAGGACCACTTGGCATAGCTTTTCCATCCTACAAGCCACAGGCCAAAAACAAAAAAGAATTCCATAAGAAGCCGAGAGATCTCTCATGACAACCTTTGTCTATAGGTTACACATTTATTTTTACTTCCTAAGGCTTATCTTATCAATAAGGATTAGGTATGTATTTAACTTCTATTCCACAAGTGAAAAAGATATCACTCTTACCTGCTTTAGATTAAGTAAGAAACTTCTCGTTAGATATGCCTGAACGATGGCACGAGCACTCAGGAACAGCAGTTGATATCCATTCTCCTGAAATATACAAAGCCATGTGAATCATTTAGTGAGATCCACAATTACGGGGTGCTAATTTTAAGATATCCAATCTGTTGATCAAGAAAAGAAACAACTTAAAGTGCTAGAAGCAATACTGACTTAACCCTTGACTATTATTACCTCTATGGCAGAAAAAAGCTTGGCTACACCAGACTGCGTCCAATCCTTTCCAACCAAAGGCATGAACTGTCCTAACACATCAGATCTGAAAAGCACACAGATCATCACAGTAAGTGCATATCTATTATCATTATAATGTCAAAACAATTCAGTAGCCATAAGGATCCAAAGCTGTACTTTGTTATAGTTCCATCGACATCTGAAATCACAATCTTGGTGTCCCATCTCCACCGGTAAATATGTGCATCGACCTGATATAAAACCAAAGAAGTATTTGAAAACCAAAGTTAGATGAGTTTTCTCCAGCTGCTATCCAATTACTAACTTATGTTAACCATCAACAAACCTGTTGTGTTCCAAGAACTCTCGTGGAGAAACTAAAAGTTATTATATTCTGACCATCTTTCAGATTCAGAGATGTGATCTGTTCATTGGTAGGAACATTGGTCCTCACAAGTTGTCTACGTGGAGACTCATGGCGACTCTCTGTTGGTTCCGGTGAGTTCTGTTCTCCAGGTTCAGAATCAACAAACAGATCTTCTTCGCTCGAGGAGTTACTACCTGTATGCTCGACTGTTTTAACCCTTCTAAACGGAATGGGCCAGAGTCTCCATCTTCTTCCAGAGGAAGGAGTAACTGGAGTTTCATCATCCTTAGCTTCCTTCGGCTCATTTTCTTTCACAGAAATCACGTCTTCTGGCTGAATATCTAAGTCTAGATCAAACACAGCTTTCCCAAGCACAATTCGAGCAGCGTTCTTCCATGGCATATACGTTTCTCCAATCCTAACAACCAGGTTTTCACTATCAAGAATTGATGTTGCCGAATTTTTGTACTCTTCCATGGAGATCCTATGCGCATCAAAGACCTCAGCAGCTGCGCTAAGTCCCATACCCTGACGAAGCTCATCCTTGCAAAGTGATAGCTCATATCCTTTATCAGGTTTCGCTAAGTCCACACCAGAAGTCGTAGCCACTGAATCCACAGTCTTCCCATTCTCGTTATCCTCCTCAGTCGGTTTAGATGGACTCTGTTGCTCATCATCCTCCCTCGTTGAATCTATAGAGACTCTGTCAGGAGCCTGATCGTCTGATTCTACAATCCCGCCTTCCTGGTTGTCAATCAAAATGGCAGTTTCTGCAGATGTTCTTGGTTGTTCATCCTTACATTCTGACTCGGTATTAGAATCAACCGAAATCCTGACCTCCTCAGTTGTTTTTACTTCTTCTGTTGTTATTTGAGTTATAGAAGCTTCAGAACCAGTAACAAGAGTATTTCTTGTTTCAATAGCCACTTCATCTTCACTTCTCTCATTTTCCATGATGGCATTAGGTAGAAGCTCGCCTTCTTTTAGATTCCGGTCCTCAAAAGAGAGACCTTGTTCGTCCGACTCTGACTGCTCCAGACAGCTCCCAAGAAGGTCTCTTTCAGAATCTTTTTCGGTATCACCATGAGAATGGGAATCTAAATCGATACGCTCATCACACACGCTGTCTACTTTTTCAGATACAATATTAACAGCATCAGATGACTCCACTTTGCTGATATACTCAGTCTCCCACGAAGTCTCTGACGAAGCAAACTCGGTATTACCTTCACAAAACTCAGTCCCATCACCAGGAGCCAAATGAAACTGAGGAGTGTTTAACCGTAAATTCTCAGCCTGCTGCTCTTCCGCTGACACAGGAGCTGTTAGTATATGTCCATCAACACTCACCAAAACCACTTCAGAATCTGAGCCTGGAGAATCCCCATAATTTTCCACATTCAGATTCTCAAACCGAGCACTACCATATTCCGAGGTAGGAGAAGGCGGATCATCCTGAAAATCATAAAACCTCCCATTACAATCAGACTCTGACCTCTCCAGCCGACTCAAAGAGTTGAAACCCTCTCGCAACTGCTCAGCACCAGCGTCAGATAAACTATGCTCAATTCGTAAACCAACGCCGTTAGTCTCATTGCCATTGCTATTCTCACTCCCTGTAATCAAACTGCTGGTGTCACTAGCTGCAGGATCAACTTCCCTGATGAAATATGCTTCACCAGAATTATCAAGATACATGTGGAAATCCGCTTCGGTGCCATTTACAGAGATCTTCACAAACTTCTCTGCGCCTTTGAGAACACCTTGGAACTTACCAAACCTAACATACCAAGGCGTGCTACGAAACGAACCATCTTCTTGTTGCACAACGATCACGTCAATAGCACCACCAAATGGATGAAATGGTGTAGCAACAGAGTAAACGCCTTGAGAAATCAAACTCCTAACTTTTCCAACCAAACTCATTTCCTCAAAAATCTTAGAGAGAAAAAAGCTTTGACTTTTTACTGTTTTAAATCCTAAATCATATACAAATGTCTCTACAGACTAGAGAGAGCTTCTAGACCAGAAAAAGTAAATTCCAGCCTGCAAATGAAGCAAAACAACCCAACAATCCAAAATTAGAGAAGCCACAATAACATGTGAGACTAAAAAACGAAAAAAGCACAGAGAGGAAAATCGAATCAGATCAAAATTAAGAAGAAAAACCCAGCAAATTCCATTCGTAATATTCCGATTTCAGGCATGCAGCGTTAGCAATTCCAACAAGCATCAGTTTTTGAACTAACCCAAAACAGATAAAGATCAAAAAGGGTTTTCATTTCTGGACTGATGCAAACGAAATACGATAACAGTCTACGAAGAAACTAGGATTCAGCTTTTTCTAAATCTCAGGAGACAGAAATCGCGATAACGAAATAGACCAAATTTGAGGTTAAACTTACAGATTAAGCGATGAATCCGAGGAAATTAAACGCCGCGGGAAGAAACGACGAATCCCGTTGCTCCTAATCGAGATTCTATTGAATTGAAATGGATTTTTATGATATTTCTCCTATTATATTGATTGCATTATATTGGGTTCCTATAAAGATTCCCGATTTATTTTTAAAATCCAAGTAGAGAAGACTTTTCTTTGCTTCGTTGATTGTGTTTTACCGGTGGGGGATTTTCCAAGAAAGAGAGAAAAGATGTTTGTTTGGATAACCAGAAAAATTAAATCCGCCATGACTAAGCGACACTGTAATTTGCTTAAATACAGATGAGTCGTCTGTGAAGGGAGGAGGGAGAATTACGAGAAGGGTCCAGGGTTTTCGTCGTAATTAGTACATCTTTTAAAGGGTATGATTGGTATTCCATTTCACTCGACTTGTGGTAGAAGATGCTACGAAGTACGACGAATCTCAAAGGAAAAACCAAAAACAAATGCCTTGATTTTAGACCGAATTTGTATTATGACTCGTGAGTTTCTCATTTCACATTTTCTTCCATACTTGAAATTCAAAATTAAATTTCGTATTGGAAGATTAATGGTAAAAAACAGGTTTGGTAAAGACAATAAGTAAAATTTAATATTGAAAAAAGTTTGTCAAAATGAA